CTTGAGATGGGCTAACATAAAGATTCAACAGCATTCTGTTTATCAAATTAGTTACCTATGTATAATACCATACTGATGTATATAAACCAAGGCTGATGTCAACTGAAACAAATACCATACAACAGTCTGAAAGTAAAATAAAATAGTTATCTCAGATCAAAATCAAATAGCTTTAATGTATTTATAAATAAAACAGTCTTAGTTATTTTCTAAATTCATTAACTTTATCTTAAATTTTCCCCCCTGATACGTAACTCTAAAACATGATGTAACTCACTGATTCTGGAAACTTTTGCTCTTGTTTATGTATCTTTTCATATAAGGTTCCATCTATAAATAAATATAGGCATTAAGATTACATTTACTAATAAGCATTTAAGTAGAGTGTTTCTTTCAACAACATAATTATTATACTCTCATTGCTTCTAGTTATCTTTAAAAAGTTGTTTGAATCTTGATAGAAGTGGTCAAAAAACCTGATTACGTTCTATGTGATATCTAATGTTTTACATACCATTAGCATATTCCATCTCAATAAACAATGTATCACCATCAATAAAATGATTATAGTAGGATACAATATTGGCATGGTCCATAAGTGATAAAATATCAATTTCATTTTGAGAATCTCTTCTCTCCTTATCTCCACAATTGGACAAATTTATTTCTTTCCACACAACCAAACTGTTATCCTAGAAAAATGAATCAGATAGAACAGTTGTTAGTGGATAATATGTATTGACTTTCTATTAATTTTAGAAAGATCTCCATCACATGTACACAGAATATCTATTTGATCAATTATCAATTTTAATATCTAAAATCTCAGTTCAATTTGATTGAAATGCCCTGGGAACCAGTACAAAACGTCAAAAGGTGTATTTAAGCAGACCCATTTGCAAAACGAAATTTTATTGACATAATAAATGTAATTCCAAGATATAAATCAATTCCATGAATGCATGAATTTTCTCCAAAGAGAGTCATACTAGACATGGGCCATTGGGCAAATAATTCCAACCCTTATCCCGAATATCGATGCTGATGATCTCCAGAGCAGAAGACATGTTATCATTAAAAGAAAATAATATGGCAAAATTCATGTCCAGATGATGAACCTCTGTCTTCTTGTACAGGACAGCCTCGCCAAATGCTCCCTTTCCTAAAACTCTGATCAATATGTAAGAAGTTTCTTGAGCTTCCACAAATTCTGACATTTCGGAAGCCTTGATGTAAACAAACTCTTCAAATGATTGCGCATGTCTATGTTCGTCCAATCAAAACAAGGGCACCTGCTGAGGAAAGGTTATCCAGACCGACAGATTATAAAGTAAAAGTAGAATTTCTCCCCTTCAGCTGTCAAATTATTTTCGAACTATAGCTGCCATGAATCCAATATTGGTAATGGATTAATTTAATAAATATGCAGTTTTTAAATTGCTTGATGTCTATATTCTTGTGCCGAAAAAAATGTCACAAATAAGATTTCTCGAAACCTTTCCGGGTATTATAACTTTTAAATGAGTACCTTAGTAAATTGATAATTTTTTTTGCTAGCAAAGTCCTTTTCTCTTTCAGAGTTTGTCAACAACTAAACTAAAAAGATTATTCGTCATCTTTATTTCAGAAGAGAGCATTTGGATGTCACATGTTAAATGTATCAAAAGTCAGTCAAATCTCAAACCAGAAGTTCTGGGGAATGGTTGATTTTGCATTTAATAGGTAATTTGATTTGTTTAATTGAAAAGTCATTATTGCATGACTGTTTAGCTGATTTGCCTGGAGTAAAATATCTATCTGTGTAGAATATTAATGTCTTAAGACATATTTTACCAGTTATCTTGGTACATTATATTGTTAAAGATTAATAAAGATAAGAAAAAGTTCAATCTGTAAATCATAAAGTTTATAAAGCATTGTCAGATATTTGTGCGAATTTAATTTTTTCCATTCATTAGAGTTGAACGAGGAAGAAGAAAAAAATATGGTGCTGATAGATCATGTGCTGAATGGTTATTAAGAAATGGTGCCACATTAAAATGGAAGGGTATAAATTCATGGCAGTTAAATTATAATGCTTTGCCAGATCCCAATACTAGCAATCTTGATAATTATAAAATAGAAATAATTAATGTAACAGATTCTGGAGTAACAGGTTTTGGTTTCAACCATTTAGGTAATTATAAGATTAAATTCATAGGTCTAAAGTTTTTCAACCATTTAGGTAATTATAAGATTAAATTCATAGGTCTAAAGTTTTTCAACCATTTAGGTAATTATAAGATTAAATTCATAGGTCTAAAGTTTTTCAACCATTTAGGTAATTATAAGATTAAATTCATAGGTCTAAAGTTTTGGTGATGAGTATGACACAATCCAATCATCATTTCATTCATCACAATCAGATTGAATAACAATTCTACATTATTTTTTTGAGAAATTTGCTATTTTAAAGGGACAAATGTGGTAATTCTCGACACACATGGATTTCATGGCTCAAATTTTGACATTGAACTGTGAACACTATTACTGATTGGCTTAGCTAAAAGTTTCACGTTTCTGAGACTAAGATATTATTGGCGAAACAAATGGTGTAGCTACCCCTTATGTTTAGCATTCTTTATTTTTGATTGGTTGTCTAATGATTAAAGCTGACTTAAAATAATTTAATTTAATTGATCAGATGCAGTTAGTTTACTGTCATATCAAATTTAATGTAAAAACTCAAAGGATTAGGGATATATCTTCATCAGATTCAAAATCATCACTTCTCTGATAAGGTAAATATTATAAAAATCAATAAACTTGATTGTATTTCACCTATATATTATATTATAGAAGGATTAAATCATGTGAAGAAAGTAATATTACATAAATCTAGGGTAGATGATAGAGGTTTGTTATGTTTAAAGTTGATCAAACATACTCTAGAAGATTTACAAGTTAGTCAATGTCCAGATGTTTCAGCAAGTGGTTTAAGATGCCTAGCAGTATTAGTGTAAGTTGATTTTATATACATGAATTTTTTTACCTATTTAAAGGGATTGAAAAGTGGTTTTCTAAATTTTTTTATGTGTATCAGGGACACTGATTTATCACTGATTGAATATTGGAATGGTGCAAATTGATTCTATTAGTGTCCCAGTGTCCCTGATTCAAATTTTTTAGAAAACCTCTTAACAATCCCTTTAAATCATAACTTTATAATGATTTCAGCTTCATATGTATTAAAGATGGTTTTCTTTGTATCTCAGTGACAAATTAAGCAAACTATTTCATTGATTGGTCTTTAAAATGAATTATCATATATTTTTAATCATATAATTATGTTCTTATTGCAATTGAAAATAAGGGAACCCATCTTTAAATCATAGATATGATGTGACAGATTTCAACTAAGTACAGATAATCAAGATTTTCAATATTTAAGATAATAAACAATCATCTCTTTTATTTCCATTTCAGTAATTTAAAGAAGTTAAAGTTGTTTGATTTAGAATTGAGTGATAAAAAATTTGAAGAAGAAATAAATAGTCTTAAAAAACACTTGCTACAGTGTGTCATTGATACATCAAAAGAATCGTAACTTGGATATATACTGAAGCTTTGATTACTTTAAAGCAATATGTCCATTACAGTCTTAAATGCCAAAAGTAATAAACTAAGACTATGCAAACTGAGATGCATTTTGTGAATTTATTTGTAATGACATGAAAGATGGGAAATATAGCCTTATACACTTACATTACATCTATTGTTGCCTTTAAATCAAGACAGTTAAGCTAATTGACCCCTTGCTTTTAACTTTGTATTAACATTGAATACACACTGTTAGGGATGAAAATATCTTCCAAGCTATAATTTACCCACAAAACCCCGTATTGAGCTCTTCCGCACATGCTTTTTACTTATGGATCTTTTGTAAAGGTGCTAATAAAAGTGTTTGAGGTACGGTAGTTAATATTTATTACGGTCTGACAACACACTGTTTGTGCTTTTTTTTATGTTAGAATTAAACTATTCATGTTTATCTTTATCTTTTAACGGGTCTTGTAATGAATGACATCACATCTGAATTTTCGTTATAAGTTGTGAAGTCATTTTTACCAATAATAGCCAATTGTCCTTAATGAACCTAATGTGATTAGCATTACTAATTAATGTAGATTTGTCCAATTGTTTCTGGCTCAAGATTTAGAAAAGCGTCTGGGTAACCAAGGCTTCGTTTACAGGTGGCGGTAATAGTTCACTTCCTGTGTTCTTTCGAGAAAATACTCGCATGGTCTTACTAAGTTAAAAATATTTTCCTTACTCTATCAAATCAGTGGAATAGTTAATTAAAGCCTGCATTAACGTCTTTGATTGAAATAAAAGTTGCTGTAAATGGCCAAGTGGGGAGAAGGCGATCCAAGATGGATTGTTGAAGAAAGACCAGACGCCACAAATGTAAACAATTGGCATTGGTATGTAATTTATCAATTTATATAGGCCGAGGATATTCGCGACCCGGGTGTTTATATATTCAAGATTCAAAGACAAAATGTTGATCCAGTTCTCTAGAAAAAAAAATGATCGTAGAGAAAATGCTTGTTTGCATGATCCTGTTCCTGATTGCTGAGTTTATAAACATTCAACTTTCAGGGTAGAGAAAAACGCATCTGGTTGGTCTAAGGATAAGTTAAAGGAGTTGCTTGTTGGATTGAAAATTACAGATGATCAAGGTATTATATAGAGATTTTTTTTCACATTTTGACATTTACTGTCTTGTCATCTGAGTTAATCAAAGAGGTAAAGGCAGACTTACATCCAATGGCGGCAATGGATCTAGTCAAAATCGTAGGTCAACCCTCCCTTCTTATCCGTAATGTCAACTGGTTTGTTATCTACGCTGTGTAGACAGGATTTATGGTCAAATTGTGAACTGGCCATGTTGAAATCATTTAAATTTGCATTTCACGCATTGAGCATTTTCACACTTAATGTTAACACCAACCTAGTTATGTTTATTTATCGCAAAGTTAATATCCATTGGCAAGGAGTGAAAATTATGGATATTTAATCAGCGATTTGTGGGGCTGTTAAGTTGTCATTGTCAAGGTTGAGAACTTAAGCGGTTGACTTCCAGAAAATTGTTGTTAGACTCAGTATACTATTGTCTATTGACCATGTCTATTGATAGACTACAATAGATTAAATCAATTTATTTTTTATTTACATGATTAAACCTACTGCTAGATAATGCGAGCTGGATAGAAAATGTTAAATGACTATATCAGATGAGTTGATGTTGATGTGTGAATTGATGCATATGAAATAAAATTTTACATTCTACATTTGATTATGAGGATGAAGTACAGAGTAAGAACTGTCTGAAAACTACTAGCCATGAGTTGTCATTATTACAGATTACAATATGGGCTAAATGTCTTTGATCGTTTCTCAATCTTGTTTGTACTTTATTGTAGGTGAATGTGAAATTGCAGAATTATCAAAGATAGAAGGTGAAGCTTCAGCTAATAATAGAAAAGCTAAATTAATATTTTTCTATGAATGGGAGGTGACTGGAGAATGGAAAGGTAGTCTCAAAGATGGAGATAAGATATATAAAGGAAAATTTGAAGTTCCTAATCTTAGTGAAGAAAATGACCCAGAGGATATTGAAGTATGTTTTAAACCTTATATAAGTATACATTATTAATAGGCATGTCATGTTGAAAAATAAGGGAAAAGGCCAACGCCATTCATAGAAGTGTGATCAATTTGATTTGGCCTGAAATTTATTAAACGTACGTACTTAAACTTCTACAAAACTTCAGTTGACAAAGAGCAGAATCTTGACAACTTTGTGTAAATGAATATCAATTAATTATATTCTAGGTTACAGTAACATGTGAAAAATCTACTGATGAGGCATATACATGTAAAGAAATATTCCGCAAAGTGGGTACACCAATAATACAACAACAAATAGCAAAATACATCAAAGACTTGAGAGAAGGTGAGTTATGTTTATTCTTTAAAGCCCAAATCATTTGAGAAAATATAGTTAAATTTTGATCAGATGAGTACCCTTGCCTTATATGAAACACAACTTGTATTTGATATATGAAGTAGAAGAAATTCCGTTAATTAGCTTAAAGAGTGCACCTGTGGACTCCACATACATACCTCTTAAGGAATTAGCATGAAGTTCTTTGTCTGTCCTGTTTGGTTAAGAAAACTATGATAATATTATCTACATGTTTCAGAGTACAGTCAAGGCATTGTTTTACCAACAAGAACAACTGGTGGTAGTACACTTATTAATGTGGAGAAAAAACCTACTGAGGTAAACAGAAATTTATTTTAAAGCCTTAGAAAAGAGTATCTATCTACCACATTTGATAGTCATGCTTTATGTTGGCGCTTTATATGATGTACAGTTTGTCATATTTGTAATATAAGAGAGAACTCAAGAGGAATTTATCATGGAGCAGTAAAGTTGTATTTGAAATTATTGTATTCATTTTATGAAGACAGATTTTTTTTAGGTTTGGATATTGCAAGCCCAAGACATCCTATTCAATGCTGAAGTGCTCATTTATAAATAATATCTTTCAGAATGCTGCTAAGAAGGAATTAAATAAGGTAATTACAAGTTCAGAGAAGTCAAATGCTGGTGTTAAAATAAGAACAAAGATATTAAAGTCTAAAGAAGAGTTCAAATGTAATGCTTCTGATTTATACAGAGCCCTGACAGATCCTGGGGTAAGATAATAAAGTCTTAAAAATTCAATAGATTTGAAATAAAATACACAATCTATCTGGTTGATTATAGCAGAAAAATTGACTGTATCACAGTAAATGCCATGTATTTTTGAATTGTTCTTCCATTTGATAATAAAGTGAAAATATTCAAATCAAATTTAAATGGCTTGATGCCTAAAAGATGAATTTATCTGAAATATCTGGTTTGTTTTAGATGGTATCAGCATTTACTGGTAGTACAGCTTTATTAGAGCCTGAAACTGGAGGTAAATTTTCTCTCAATGGTGGAAATATTTGTGGAGAATTCATTGAATTGGTAAGTTTGATTGTATTTAACATTTTTCTTGAATAAATTCTGATAACAAGAACTCAGGAAATATATATATTATTTTTTTAAATTTTAGGTTCCAAATAAAAAACTTGTTCAGAAGTGGCGTGTAAAGTCGTGGCCAGAGGAACATTATTCAACTGTGACTATAGAATTAAGTGAAACTGAGGACTGTACACGATTAAATTTACATCAAGTCGGTATTCCAGAATCAGAATTTGAACGAACACAATGTGGCTGGCAAAATCATTTCTGGGAGAGAATCAAACAAGTATTTGGATTTGGAGCGAGGCTTTTTTGACGAGAAATTGAAACAGACTACTTATAGCATGAGAATCAGAATTTTAGAAAAATAAACAGTATCATTGGAATGAGAGCATTCTGGTCTATTGCATTTATCATCATTCCTTTATCAAGATCATCTGCTTGTAGCTGGAGTTTTCTACAAATAAATCTTCTTTCGTCTCATTGTTAACCATAAGATCGGTTTTATGTCTGGTCAGTTGTAAAAGTGAACAGTTTTATTTGCAGGGTATCAAATTCTTAATCAAAATAATTTTGATGTATTATTGTAGACCAGTCAATTTATGTGTGTGCCATATCAACTGCCACCTGTCTTGTTTTTTTTTAATGTGAAATGTATAGAATACTGTTTAATTGTAATTTATTTGAGTCCTGGATGAAAAGTGTTAAATATACAGAATGTTTTTGTTTGCTTTATTGATGACCTGAATCCTATCCTTGGTTTCTTGAATTTCTTTTGAGTGAAAATCCACTCTTCCAACTGTGTTTTGCTCTGTCTGTTGAATATTATGCAATTAAGATAGCTATATCAATTGAGAATGAACTTTTTTGACATCAGTACATAGCCCTTACTGACAATAACACCAAGTCTGCTTTTTTATATTGTAGCATAAGATTTAAACCTTATGAAAGTGCATAAATCAATGCATGGACTTCAAGAAAATGCAAATGTCAATCCTGTGGGCATATAAAATCTGTCATAAAAAGATCAAAGAAACAAACAAAATATAAGCATCTTGCCAACATCACTCAAATTTATACATAATATTGAAAGCATTTAACAAGTGTTATAATACATAACAGCTTCAAAAATAATCCTTATTAATACGAAATAACATACAAACTATACACAGCAATATAACACAGCACATTATAATACTGTTAAAACAGATAGTTCACATTCATTACATCATTTATATCTTAATAATCATCTATCTCCGAGGATAATCTTTAAACAAAACATTCCAAAATCATACTCCCGACTTCATATAACATGCTTTGAATGCAGAACAATTTTTTAAGGTTAATTTGTAACTATGATGCTCAGATGAGCTTCTCTTACATTTTGACCTGAGAATAAATATTGTTATTGATTAAATGTTATTTTTCAACAATACAAACTCACAGAGCGCAAAATTAGAAATAAAGTTAATCAATAGCCCGGATGAAGCTAGTATAATTTATTGTTATCATAATTGACAAATTTTACGACACAAACACCCCCCTCTCTCTCTCATTACTTACACACATCATAGAAATAATAAAACACAACATAACCTTTGTTTTTATTCAAGAGTTTCACCCTGCGTCCCTATTGAAGTTTTACAAGTAGTACTTCTTCTTGTGTCTAATTTTCAAAACAAATTCAGATGGCTTGTTTATAGAAGTGTCTTTCGAGTTTAGTAACAATTCTTTCACATGTGATGTTTCAGGATTAGTATATATTTACATCTCTTCCATTAGGCTTTGATAGTACACAAAGATAGGCAATCCCAATTTAAATTATAATCTGGTCCCAATATCCATCTTCAATGTTAGCCCACAAAATCACAGAAATAAATTACTTCATCAAAATATTTGGCACACTTAAACAACACATAAAGGCATTCTATTTCTTCGTTGATTTCTTCTCAATCAATGTTAACAGTTTTTGTATTTGTGTGGCAACCATGTCTACCTTGTTAGGTTTTTCTCTATTAAATAAAAGACCTGTTTGATGGTGTCTATTAGAGGCTGATGTAGAGGGTTGATTTGAATCAGCAGTAGATGTTGAAGGTGAATCTGTAGAGGGAGAGCCAGGTGATTTCTCCTCTGTGACATCAGTTATAGCAGATGTACTTGGTTCAGATTCTTTTTCTTCTGACTTTTCCTCTTTCTCTTCTTCTTCTGTACTTATTTTTCTTCTTTTAGAGGGCGTTTCACCTTAAAATAAACATATTTCAATATTATCATCAATATATCATTTAAATCAGAACAGTATACCTTAAAGGTAGGAAAATTACAAAATTATAAAATAAGAATTCAATCATTCATTCATTAAATCTATTACAAAACTCATCGCTTCCATATACTCCATAAGAAAGATAGACCAATTGCGAATCATTTCAATTTACCCAATCATTCCATTGAAGATCTTCTTGTTATGCCTATAGAAAAAGTACCTGTATCAAACCAAAAACCAAGCGATTGCAAAAGGAGAGTTTTTGGATAGACCAACTACAGTCATACCTAACGGCCTAAATATCCAATATGACAACCAAATCATACCCTTCATTGCCACCTACAATACTACAGCTAAAAATGTCCCTGTCATTGTCAAACACTTTTATAATGAGCTCCAAGATGAATTTCCAAACGTTTATACTAAACGTTTGGTCACTGCATATAAAAGAAATAAAAACTTTAGTAATGTATTGGTTCATGGTAGATTAGAACCCCTTTCATCAACTCCCTGAAACAATTGCATTGGAATTTGAGTTGAATATATTTTTTCTTGTAATCTCTCCAGAAGTAATAATCTATGAATAATCTTCAGTAAAACATTCTGTTTAAATTGAAATAGTTTTCATGTTGAAATCCATAGTCCCTACTTGTGACCTAGGCCAGTGCTTCTATAGGAGAGTATCTTCTATAACACCTATAACAAAACCTAAACTTTCAATTACCAAAATGTTAATTTCAACTGACCTGATTCCTCGTCTTTTGTTTCAGATGTTTCTTTTACTTCAGCTTGTTCTTGTGATTTTTGATTAGCTAGTTTAGTTTGTTCTTCTGCTTCTATACGCTGCTGTTGATGCAGACGACAAGCTTTCAATATATATTGTAAACTCTCCATCAATAATGGACTTATCTGTTTTGGCATTTGGACGGAAAATATTATCAGAAGTGCTCTAACGTCCTATTTAAATAAAGAAAATGAGTATAATTAAATATCTGAGGTGAATATGAACAGAAAATATAATATAATTATACAGAGCTGTATTTATCTTCTTGCAATCATGATTTTTTAAAAATTTATTTGAAATTATTCAAATACAAGCATAGCATGTAAATTTTAGACAATAAACTGACAACTGAAATGAGCCATTCTCCAAAATAGAAAAGTAAGAAAAAAGGAGAAGAAACTAAAAGAAATTTATTGGTTAATAAGGCACAGTTTTCATTTGTATGACCTTCATACTGAGAAAACTAAATAAGTGATAAAAAATAACACAATTTCATTAAATATATAATGGTAACTTACAGCATTAATCCTGTAAGATATAGCCTGTAGTTCTCTCTCAGTTTCAACATTCTCTAGAGCTGATTTTTCCGCTATAATAGAGGCTACTATACTATCTAATAATGATCTACCTTGATCCTGTAATACTTGTTGATAAATCTAATAAAAAAAAAATACATAATTGTATTAAAAAATATGGATTATTTAAAACATTTGATATAAAAATTAAGTCTTCAGATTGATAGTTTTAATCCTAACAAAATATTTACCTTCAAAACAAAACAAATTGCATGTATTGGTGAAAATAGGGAAGTTGAGCATATATAATTCACACAGGATTTTATTGTCAGGGTTTGCAAAATTCATTTGATGCAATGTTCATTTTTTTACGTGTCACAAGCAAGGCATGCATGGAATACTGGATGATTTTCTAAAACCATTCTTTTTTCACATTACCTTACCACATTATTAAAGGTATTTTCTTGTTTCACCTAATCAACCTTTGCCCTTACTATTGATCATATAATTACCTACCTTGGGAAAGAAGTTACAGAAGAAAGGATAAATAATTTGATTATTTAAAGATCTTCTTTCATCTAATAACACAGCATCAACATAATCTATAAAGGCATTACTGGAACATAATATCTTTATATAGTTTCTATCTACTTGCTGAAAAATAATTAAAAAAAAGAATTAACAAATATACTATAGATTGAACATGTCAAAAAACGATGGTTTGAATGCTGTGCTTGAACTTCAGATGTATTTTAAATAGTTGATATTAAATCATGACTGACTTTCTTATTAAAATTTTCTGCAGAACCAGCGAACCAGCAATCTTGGGTCATCATCACACATGAATGAAAATCCATCAAATCATTAGTTTTGTATTCTACCCAAAGTTAGGCAAGTTTTTGCACATACTAATACTACTGACCTCTGACTGATAAATTTCATACCATAACATGGCAAAGAATGGTAATTGTAATGGTACTCCTTCACATGCTACCATAGCACCTAAAATACATCACAATTACAATGAGAATAACAAGATTACTTAATTCAAATTAATTAAATTTCCTAGAATTCTTTACAGTCTTCTGTGTGTATTTGCAAAATTCATTCTGCATGTAGGCAATATCTAGTGTATTTTGAATGTCTACTGCTAGTAAAAGTTGAAAGTCAATTTCAGAGAGACTTACTGAGGTTGATTAAAGCTTCACTCATATTTTGTTGATTAACAGCTACCCTACACATAACATCTACTAACATATGATAGGGTTGAAAAAACTCTGTTAAAGCTTGATCATATACTTCATCAACTCCCTAAAGTACAAAATATATCATCTAAATCTATTCATCAAATAACTTTTCTACTAAACACCTACCATAATGGTCTATTGATGAATACAAACAGACTCTTCAATTCACAGTAGTGAGTATAGTATCCTAAGATCTCTATTTTCTACTAGTTTATATGATGGGTTGTTACAGTTTCACTGGAGATTAAAGTATTTAATAATGATTTTATAACTAATGACAATTTCCAAGGTCAATGAGTTTGTGAAGCAAATGATCTCAATTAAATAGATTTGTTATTAAAGATTGAAAACCATATAGACTTACATTAGAATGTTCAATTTGACTTGTGTTTAAACACATCATAAACTGTGGTCGTGGGGGACGGATTGTTGACTTAGATCCAAATGGTTTCTGACCTCTTCTAGGAAAATATGGTCCAGTGACAACTATAAACAATAATGACATGTTTTAAAATATTTAGAAACAAAGAGAACATTAATAACAAAAGAAGAGTATTTCAACATAATTTGCATGTGTTGTAATCTAATGCTTTGTTTTCTCAATAAATATCAATACATCAAATATTCTACTGGGACTAGTTCAATTTTAACAATAGTTTCTATCTATTATATAATAGTAAGTACCTGGTAATGAGTTATCCTGGCAGACTGTATGGGCTGCTGTTAATATAGGTATTATAGTAGATATACATTCTCCTTGAAATGTTAACACCATCTGTTTTAATAAATCTATAAACACAATAAGACCGCCATTATTAGAAATAAATCATAATAAATGAAATGTGAATATTGAACAGGAATAAGGGAAGGATCCTGTCTACCATTAGACTTAATGATTTTTTGTTTAAAGCAATTGGTAAATTGAAAAAAAGGTTTTCATTAAGCTTATAAATTCAAACATAGAAGTTCCAAGATATGGAGAAACTTACCAAAACAAACTTGTCTAACTTCTGGAGGTGTATAAGAATTTAATAAAGTTAAAATCTTCTTCACAAATTCCATTCTTTCCTTCCAAGCAGCAAAACATGTTTTCACACGACTGCTGATTTCACCTACCATTATAAAATTACAAAATTATGGTACTGAACATAGAGATACAAGTTGAACAGGGGAAATACTCCACGAAAACACTCTATATCTACATGCTGTAGAATATGGACACGATTTTTAAATTAACATAGCTGCTTCTATTTGCATGACATTTCATTTCAAGTTGATAAGAAGAGAAATATTGACTTACTTCTAGATTCTCGTATCTCTCTAGCTGTTTCTAAAACTTTTAACAATATAGTTAACAAATCAACAATATCTCCTGTAACATGACACGCTGTAGCTTCATAAAACATAGCATGTAATGTATTAAAAGCCTAAAATATAAAGTAGAAATATATCATTCATGCAAAGTTTTCTGTAATGATGGTCAAGTGTTTCTTTTTAATAAAATTTTGGAGGTTTATTTAAAACACTTATATAAATAAATAAAAAGGGCTCCTATTGCATGATTCCATGATGCTGTGGCTGTTAAATTCATTTCAAAAAATATATTTTACCTCAGTAATCATTTGTAGTCCACCATGAAAGACAACATCTAGCTTTTCTTCTTGACTTTCTACTAACAACTTAAAAGCACTGAAATAAATAGAATGAGCTAGTAAGAACAAGCTAATAGTTAATTATGAATATTCATAACAATTTGGTACAGAAACAGTCTGACATTTCAAAGTGGAAATTTAATGGTAGAAAATTCAAAGTATTCCTCACATGTATCCTGTACTGTATTCTACAATCTCCTTCAAACATAAGAACTATATTCAACATGAATAATCTTACCTAATTAAGGTCTGCCACATTGAACGGGCATCTATCACAGATAAATACATTGATAAAGTACTATGACGAAACGCATTAATAGCTTTTATTTCATCTGCTGGTGTATCATCATTCTTAGCAGCCATTAATTTCATCATTCTGAATAATTCTTCTACAGCCTAACAAAATAACATAGATAATTTATTAGAAGAAGATAACATAACTACATCAGAACTTCATAAGAGCTCCTATTTACTGTAGAGGATGTATTACGATTACTTTGTAAAGTGGAACATGAGATCTTTATAACACACCTGCCCTGAAGATGTATTTTATATGGTTATTGACGTCACAAGATGAACTCTTGTTTATGTTTGAATTTGTATCTTGGCAATTATACATGTGTCTATCCATAAAAACATGTGAGAAAATTATCAGCCATGTTGGTTGTAGATATTTCTAAAATTTAATGAGATTGATACGTACCACAGTATATTGTGCTGGATATGGTGTTATATTTTTGAAAGCCCACTGTATATTTTGATGTTGTGCTAATAATCTAGTAAAGTTACGATCTTGTTGACAGCACATTCTTAATAAACCATAATATGATGGTAACATTAATTTATTAAACATTACAACATCTTGATCATCATGGTCCGCTCTGGAAATCAAACAGAATGAAAATTCTTACATGTCACTTAATACTAATCCCATGTAGATCTAAGAAACTAGAATCTGAAACCAGAGCACATACATTTCTAGGTACAATTTTATCACTACTCCAAGCCCTAAATACATTATCTAAAACCCATAGACATGTGGTAATTTTAATATGTATAATATAACTTAATACTTACAAGATATAATTAAAAGCTATATTTTTACAAACATGAGGATTGTTGACAATAAGTCGAATATTTTCAACACAATCTACACAAACTTGATGCCAAAATAACAACAAAACCTGCAACAAATATATAGATCTACAATTTGATCAAAAGATTTAAGCATTACTTAATATCTGTACTTTATCATTGTCATGGAGAAAAAATCAATAAAAAAATTTATCAAAATTTGCAATTTTTCAAAATTCTTGTCAAATATTCATGTTAGAACATTGTTGTTCAATGTTAAATATTCACCACATCAAGTTCTCTGACCTACGTAACTGACAAAGGGTGAACATGGTTTGCAAAACTGAAAAAAATAACCTTACCTGTTTATTTTGATGCATTGAAATATTAGGTTCTGATAACTTAGGGTGAAATAGTTGCCATAACTCAATAAAATATTCACTGAACTGTAAGAAAAGAAATTATCAAAATATGTAGACTCAAGAAATAATTCAAGGTTTTTTTTTTACTCTTATGAGCTAATGCACTTGCAATCCCATTTGAATAAGTTAACTTAAACTTATAACATACCATGAGTTTTTCAGCTCTAGAGTTTAAACAATAGGTTAACACAGCAAAATAACATGTTAATTTAGTTGTACCATGAACTTGTGGATCTAAAAATAGATGAAGATACATTTACTTATCGAAATAAAGAAACATTAAAACAGAACTTTACTTATGGGGTCTCACACTGTGTAATCTTGAAATCAGCCAGTCTTACTTCTGACTCATTAATCAGCTAATGTCAAGAATTGGTTGAGAAAAAAAAGGAAATCATTGCTTAAGATATAATTCTTTCATCACCCATATTCTATACATTTTTGAAAATTAACTTACATATGTAGCATTTGAATAACTTACCTACATAAGCCTTGGCACGAGACAACAAGGATAATAAATGAGAATATATCTGAAAAGAACAAGAAACACATTTAAAGAGCAGTCAGCTTATTCTTGGAACTTAAAATGATTTTAGTGTTCCAGTCACCTTCTTAATCAATCATTAAAACTATCAGATTACTATTATTTCTTAAAATTTGGATTTAATCTTAATTTTTGAGAATATTGTTCCATAACAAAAGAAAATCTATCAGTAACATGATGATAACAACATAACTAGATTACAACCTACCTGATTTAAAGCCAATCTAGCATCTGTAGACATCTACAATATAAATAATAGTCAGTTAAAGAATACATATAAAATATACTACAATATATCCCTAGTATAGACAAAGAGCCCAAATGGCCAATTGAGATCATAATTAAGCATAATGTACTATAAATGTTACTTTACTTTTAAAGCCACAGCATGGAGATGGAGATGGAAAGTGAATTTTTTTTATAAAGAGGCTTTCAACTAAAATGCCTTATCGCTCTGGTTCGAAATGTATTTTCCATTTTTTGAAAATTGCCTGAAGATTCGACATGCATGACAGTGTGTTTGATAGACAATAACTTACAACTATTTCTTTAAGAGGGCTATGATAACTTCTAGGTGGTCTATATGCTTGACGGAAATTAACACTAGGTACCAAAGCTACCAGTAAATAGGCTGCAGCTGTAAAATAATGACATAGCTTAAGGAATTACATCCACTCATCTCACAATGAAAGTCAGGGCTTTATTTGATAAATTTTGTATTTGTAGCACGTGTCTATTGAATAACAAGAAGTCTTGTGAATTAGTACAGCAAACAAAAGTTACTTTTTGTATCACTAATCTCTTCTCCAGTAAGTTAAATATCTTACCATTTCGAACTCTTAAATTACTATGTGCTATCAAATAACATTCTACCCATAAATCCATTTGACTAAGACACCATGCTTGAGCAGCTTTATTTCTGGTAACTTGACCAGCTAACCATTCTAAACATTGCTGAGGACAAGCTTTAGCTAACTAAATTAACAATAATAAAATACAATATTAGTAGTAACAAAACAAAATATAAAAAAGCATTTTATTTGGTTCCATTTGAATGTTTCAGTGCCTGAACAAGTTATACACTGTATGTCAGTGAGCATAACTCCATTACATGGAATAATATCCCAGCTTCCTCTTTCAGTAATGCTGGTCATCAGAAGGGCCGAATAACTCATCTAGTACAAAAGTCAAGAACTTTACTTTACCAATCAAATAATGAAGTTGAACAAGACTTACCTCCCAGAATTTATGTAATATATATTGTGTATAGTGTGGTGTTCCTGCTGGGGCTCCCATATAATCAACTAATAATGATAATAACTTAAAGAATGGCTGTGATAGCTATAAAATAATACAAATATTAAATCAACATTAAACCTTATTCAATAAGAAACAACAAATGATATACTTATATATGCTATGCGCTCATAGATTTTACGGGAATTTAGCAAAAAATAGTTATGTGATTTCACTATAGACTAGTATTCTCCCAAGTGACATGCTAAGTTTATTTGCTTCCTCAAATAAAACTACTGATTCTTTCTGTTAGTCAGCCAGTTAGTAAGAAATGAATAAATTAATCATTTTGAACTAACCTCAGGTGTAAGTTTCTTTATAGCAGCAAAAATCATATTTACAATCTGAAATAGTTTGATATTAATATCATTGTTTATAAATTAGAGCATAGGGTATAAATATAAAACATGACCTGTTTGTAAAAAAACCTTATTTATTAACACTCATTTACTATGTATTAGGAGGCAATTATAGAACAAAAATGTGACTTACAGTGACAGCTTCATTACCATTCCATCTTGTTAAATTAAATATTAAATTACATGTCTCTCTTATATTAATATTATCACGTATTTGATTAAATAAAAATGGAAATCCCTGAAAAACACAAAATATATGTTTAGTCAAAGCAAAGCAAATAAAGATATAGTCATAATTTACGAATGTAACTAATCTCTTGATAAAATATTCTTACTGTCCAGGGTCTCTGAATACTGGCAGAGCTATGGAATGAATCTCATGAATAACAGTGTAACACCATGGCACTTGCCCCTAAAACTCCAAAATAAGACAAACTACAAGATAAAAGTTGCAATGACTTTCAATCAACATGTCTAGATTCATTCATCCCATTAAATTTCAGGTCAAATTGATTTATTGATATAAATCCTACCTTTCCTCCCATAATGGCTGTTTTATCTTTATTGGATAATCTGAGACGTTTCTCGTTAGTTCTAGCTTTCTCTACTAATAAAGCTATTAATGTTATCATTTTCTCTAGTGAGATAGGTCTATAATTATCATCAGTTAATGATATCACATCTTCCTCTTCTTCATCATCAGATAATATTTCAACCTAAATACAACATCAGAAATAGCAGATAGTACACATTTCATAGTTTTGTCAAAAGTTTCAATCAAAATATTGAAGATTTAGAGAGCTTTACACAGATAATCCATTCTAAGATATATATTTGGTCTAACACGAGTAAAGATCACTGACTATTGAAACTTACATAGTTTTCTTGTGCTTTCTGTCCCATATAGAAAGTAACCATAGTAGAAATAGCATTAATATGTATTAAAAACTGGGCTTCTTCATTACCAGCTTTCGCAAATTCCAAGAGAAAAGCAAAATATTCAGAGAGATATTTACTGTGTGGACGTACACCATGTTCAATCTGAAATATGCACATTAAAAATATCAAGAATCTGTGTATAATTCTAATGAACAAATGATAATAATGAAAGAAAATCAAAATGATTGTTCACTTAACTTTACATCAGTATTCTGAATACTAATATACTTACAATAGTTAACATCTTGCGTATAAATCTTGTAACACATGACCCTTGACCTAACTGGGATACATCTATAGTACCATCTTCACTGTAATACAAATAAATAGATCTTCAAAGCAAGACAAGTGACTGGCAAAACCAGTATAATAGAGTATATTTGGATCTGAAACTTATATTTACATATAACATTGACTAAATAATAGATATTAAGTTTTAAACTTGAAAAAAAAAACCCCAAAAAACAATATAATTCAAAATAGAAACATACAGTTCAACAATTGGTTCCATATACAATTCAACTTGTGTTGATCTTAACTGTGATATAATATGTATTACTAGACACTTAAACATCTGAAAATAACAAATATTAAATAATAGTAATAATAAGTTCTCAGATAATAATATTAATATGGCTCCAGCAATTAGATTTTCAGGAAAGCATAACAGTTAAACTTGAAGACGTCTTGTATTAACTAAAAAGATGAAACTGAAATACAATTCACTGTGTTCTGACTTTGCATGCACATTAAGGTATCCTGATAGAATAGAAATAAGGAAAATTACCTGTCTGACTATCTGATTAGGACATTTAATCAAGATCTGTTGTGGCCACCAATCACTTTCTGTCATATGATCTAATGACCACTGAAATCAAATTGAAAATTTGTAAATAACAATGCATGTTATTGTATCTGGCTCCATACTATGTAATAATACCAATGTGTTTAAGCTAAAATTAGTATGAAAGTAGAAGGTATGAAAATCAGGGAAATGGAAATAAATATATAATTCTATCAACGTAAAGACAAAAATTGAAATTGCATACCTCACAGGCTTGTGGACAAGCATTAAACTGTTTTTTGGTTAATAATTCTATCCACTGTATCATGGTTGGCTGAAAATAAAAAGACAATTACATTATATATATATCTGTCTGAACTATAAATTGATCACAGAAATATCTTTTCAAACTCTTGCATTCATATCCAAAACTAATCATATGTCCATTTATCTGCTTTTTTGTACAAAAAAGAAATATATACCTTTTCTTTGGAATGTATCATAGTTTCTAGTACAAATGATAAACTAAGTTGAGCTGCTTTCAATCCTACTTCATTGTTTTCATCTTTTAATGTAGTTGGTATATAACCACATATCTGCCACATAAACCTACAATAAAAATAGAAAAACTGAACACTGAAATTATCTTTATTTTACACACAAAACAATCAAATTTAAACAAAGAATAATAGTTTTCTTTCATGAGATGAAATGATCAGGAAGGCAATATCAAACTATACTGAAAGGCAATAGAAGTATCATGTGGATGTATCACATGTATTACATGTAACTGCCAGTGTCTGTCATCAGAATATTCAGAAGCAATGTTGATTGTCTTTCTGTATATTAAACAATGCACTTTACCAACTTTAGAAAATATCTATTAAATACAAACAGACAGAATCAATAAAACTTACCCAAAATAATTGTGTTCAAAAAGGTTTTTATCTTGAAGAAATTGAGTATTATCTTGCCAAATCCACTGAAATAAAAGATATACTTCAGATAAGAAGTAGTTTATTTGGAACAATCTGTATGATAGTGAATCACATCCAAACATCTATTTTATTTTCTGTCTGTATTTCAAAGCAGTTAAATTATTGAAATATTTTTTTCTTCATAAATAAATTTGAAACGAAATATAAATAGACATACCTGACTAAGTTCATGTGATAATTCAAAATTATATTTAACTGGTTCATCTACTTTAGCTACAGTTGTATCTTCATTTTTCTTTGGGGGACAACTTTCATAGAATAACATATAGGCACTATTTGTCTGTAATATATATATAAATTTTACCAATTAGCAACCTTTACTTTGTCAGAGGTCCCTAAATACGCATAGTAGAGATTTGAAAATTTAAACGGAAATCTATCGTGCAAAGACTATCAGTTATTTTATTGTACTGATGTGAATTAAGGATTATGGTTTGTAAACCAATGGTTTATGAAATTCCAATAAGAATGCCAATTAAAATAAAATTTTACTTACCTTTTCAAAAGAAAAATCCATAAATTTATCTGTGACTGAATCATAGGTTTTACTCTGGAAAAGAAGAAATTATGTTAAAATTCTCATTTTCTCATGAACCTTCAGGGTTTACTGAAGTTTTGATCATTACTTATATCCATTCCAAATAGAGGGAGATATGGATTAAGTGATATTTGTTGCATACAAAGTTCTGGTAGTATTGGAAAAGCTATATCTCTGTATTTAATTCTGCAAAACATGTTACTCAAATATGCCAAAAGAGAAACTCACTGTCATTTCTCCACCAAAACATTCACTAGCTATTTGTGATGGATCCCATGGTTTAACTTCAGCATCATTGAATAGAAACCTGAAAAATACACAGAACATCCTTCAGTCATATAAAATAAGGTTAAGTTAAGATACATGAATACATGGCATTGATATTCCGAGTCCAGGTGAGAAATTAGAATGAGCTGTGGCTTGTTTCTGAAACTCCACTTAGCAGTTAAACTAACCATTTATCTTGACCATTATCTGTTTTATTCAGTCTGTCTCTAATAAAACTATAATAATGTCCACCATCAGCAGTACCAGTATGTACTGTTACACCTATTAATTCATATTCACAGCTGATATCTTCAGTATTAGAGAACTCTTCACAATCTAAACCTTCATCATAATCATGGGAATCTACAACATAAATAGGTATATTATAACTCCAATGAAGACTTCAGATGACTACCAATTATATTTGATGAGGACAGGCAAGGTCATGCAGTTTTCATTAAATATTATTCAGCTATTGAAATCTTTACAGACCTAAAATGCAACTTTCCTACCTTTCATTCTATCTGCCGCCATTAAATTAGACTCCATATAAGGTGACATGTCTAGTTTTAGTGGAAATGAGAACAGGGTGTTGACTTTTTCTTTCATCATGGTGATCATATTGAATGTATATCTCATAGTATTAAAACATAGAATCCTGGGTAATTTACGGAAACAAGCTCTGAAATTAACATTCAACAATAATTATAATAATGGAAATTCAGTTAATATTTGTATCAACAAGGAGTTACCGTATCATTGTAAACAACCATCCTATTAAGAAGGACTAAAAGGGAACATTTCTACTGGTTCATTTAAACAACAGCACAAATAATACAGTGGTAATACTAGAGTTAGAAATTGTGTAACTTACCGTTTTTCTGCACGAACTTTCTTCATACATTTAGAACAAGTATACATATTATCACCTTCTAACATATCTTTTACTGTTACTTCATCTAATGATTCCTATAAAAAACATTTCACAAACAGTTTAGAAATCTAAGTTAGTCAAATTGGAGGAATGGAGAGATTTGAAGAGATTTTATGTAGATTTCTTCTAATAACTACAGAGTGTTAGTCCTTAAATAAGACAATATTTCTCCATTAAGTGTTATCAATTTACTGAGAGTGTTATAATTTCACTAAGTGTTATTACTGTAATTAATCTCTGATGTAATATAATAAACTTTATACTTACATATAAATCTTTCATATCAGTTACTTGACATCTTACAGTATAAAACTCTTCAAATGTTCGACTCACGTGTGGACAGTCCTAACATGGACAATAAACATTGTAATGTTAAATTTGATAAATATCTTACATATTTTTCCCGCTAAAAGAGACTAACTCGAAATTTTGCTCCTTATTGTAGTTGTTTCTTATTAAATACGAATCTACAGCTATGTTACTGTGACTGACAATTTTTTTAAGTTTTCAAGATATGATATAAACTTACTAAAGAGACAACATTATTTGTTAAAACTCCACCAAATAATGTCTTCACTAATATTCTCTGAAAATACAAATTAAGAACTGTTTATCTATCTCATAAACATCCAAGAATGATGTATATCAGCAATAACATCAACTAATGCCAACACTGAAAAAACTGTCTACAATATTTTAAGAATTCAGAAATACCTACCATATCAGAGGACATTTCTTCTAATTTAGATATTAAATCAGTGAAAAATTCTGTCATATCTTTCTGTTCACCAGTATTTAATGGTTGTTTATCCATGGTGTAAGCTTTACAAAAACTCTTAGGATTATATGCTTTTCTTTCACTTTCCTAAACATATTAGAACAACAATACATATAGCAATCTACATTGATTAAGATGGAACCAACTCATGAAGCAATTGAGATCATTCAAAATAAAGTGTTTATAGACATGCTGTTTTCCTTCCCATATTATACTTCATTGCTTGGATATCGTTGATATGGTCATTTTGATGGGGGTGGAGACTGATTCAACAAAAACAATTATATGTTGAGAGGGTATTGTGGTATTTAAATTACTATAGAAAATCTTACCTGAAGATAGGCAAACATTTTCTGTAGTTCTATCAGTGTCCCTTCATGTTGAGTATTACCAGTACACTGAAATAATGCAAACAAAATTCTTTTTTTAGTACACAAATCTAACCAATGTATAATTATGGTGAAACAGTATATTTCAAATATAAGTGATTAAAGCCATGTAATTCACAAGTAAATATGCACTAAATAGCCATATTGCATAAAAACAGGCTTCAACAAGCCTTTTAAACAGCATGATTAAATAAATAAATTCCACTACTAACCTTAGCCTTCAATATAGATTCTCTAGCTTGTGGTATCATATAAAGATGCTGCATACATGTAGCCATATAGCATGTTGCTCCTAAATTAGTTAACCCAACATAGCCACATTTAGATCTACCATCTTCATGAGGCCAATAATCCCATGGATATGGGGCATGAGAATCTGAAAATTGATTCGGGTATGTTAAATACCAATGATTAGCATTAATATTTACAAAAACAACCAAATATCTTGACAGGAAAAAGATTTCAGCCTAACATTACAGGATACAATCCACTCAAAAAAAATGAACCACTATACACAACTTTAACAAATTTTAATCTTAAAGGATTTGCAATAAAAATGTTAGAAATTTGAAGCATTTTACCAGACTAGACAACTATAAACTGGAGGTTAGGTTTAATTTACCACTTAGTAAGTTACTAATTCTCCTACCTTTACTATGTTGAATCATCATTTCAGCATGTAAAACTTTATAATTATCAACACTGCCCTTTACTAATTCTACTATTAAATCATAGGCTGCTGACCGTGATGACTGACTCTTACATTTAGGTAAACCACGGTGAGCAGGAGATGGTAATGAGAATAAATCATTGAATATTTCATCTAATAATTGCTGAAAAACAAAGATTTCATTACATTACTTACTGAGAATATGCGTACATGTACATGAAGTACAATTTAAGAGGATTTCATAACTTTTTACATTTATTGGGGACACAGCTAGCATTCTTCAGCACCATTCAAATTTTCTTTCAGATGTTTTTTGTAATTCGAGCTTAACTTAGCAATTTATGTTGTAGCTATTGCAAAAGCTGCTAATAATGTCAAAGAACATTTGGGAAAACGAGAAGACTGATAATTTTAAGTGATAAAAAGAAGTCAAATGAGGCAAAGTTTATCAGAAAGCATAATCAAAGGCTTTGAAAAAAAGGACATGGGTCAGATATAACAACTAAAAGATGAAGAATTAAACTGTACCTGTCCCTGACTAGAATGTTTAAATGGTGGATCATGTTTAATTATAGCTGTACACAGATTAATTAATCCTACTAATCCATCATCTTCTTCAATTCCTGATCTTGATTCATAAATACATCTTTGATTAATATATTCACTGACTGTTATAGCTAGATCATTTAAATCTATTGGACCATCCTATAAAATAAGTAAATTTTTTTTAAACCATCCATTGAAAAAAAATTAAGTCTTAAACATTTGACCTGTATTCAGTAAGTTCAACATTAGAACTGCATCAAGAAATGTTTCCAGTTTGATAAAGGCAAACATATAACTGAAATATAGCTTTTTACAAAGAGTAACATGAGTCACTAAATTATTTGAATCCTCATGCAATTTTACTGGATTTGAAAAAAAACATTCTCTTTACAGTCAAAAAGACAAGATTACAATCTCATATTTGCAGAATTGCCGTGAACTTTCCATGTGAATTGAAACAAATGTTGAAGAATGGACAGACCAACATCGACTGTTGTATTGTATGTGGGAGTATAAACGAATGTTTACTGACCTCTCGTTTAGCATCCTCTTTAGAAATACTATCTACAAATCTACATACAAGAAAAAAATAATCTCGACATCCTGGTCCATATGGTTCTTTATCTTTCTGACTTTCAAACTGTAATATTGAACATCAGTAATAAACATTGAATATCTTCAATTAGTTGAAATCTCCATTATACCTACTATTCAGTCAAGTACAAAATTGATAAAAAATGTTTGTGTTGGCTTAGGTTTCAGACATAACATCTCAATCAAATAGCCAATTGTAAATTGTATTAAGGTTAAATATAAAATAGACAAAACAAAGATCGACAATAGCAGAATGAAAAGAATAAATTCCTCTTTTATAGTAAAATTATGTTAAATTCATTACATTAATATAACTGAATATATCAACCTAAAATTGTGAACAGTAGATGATTACCTCGTGTGATTTCTGTGGTTTAAATTGTAAAGCATCAGCTAGGAAGTCTAATAAGTTAGATAATATTGGTAGAATAAAATTATAGCCAGATTTATCATCTATTGTCTTCCCTAAACATAATCTATATAATCCCATACATGCTTCTTTACGAACATATGGCTGAAATAATCAATTATTTTTTTTAATCAACACATGGACAAATAATGACAATAACCTTGATCATTTCTTTCATTTTCATGAAAATCACTTTGCCTGTAAAGTTTGAAATTACAAACAAATCAATATAGTCAATATTGCTGTAAATCCTTCAATGACATATAAACACAAGTTATAGATAAATGAGACAATTTTTTGGATAGAAACTTTAAGAGTATTTATTTCTTTTCAAGAACCACAGATAAATGTTGAAATTAATAAATATTCTAATATTATCTATTCATAAAATTCTAATCTAAATCTAAATATTGAAATAATAACGATGTACATACCTCAGGAGCCTCCAATGTTAAACGTTTTAACCAGGCAGTAAATGTTGGTGATGAACATAATAAACAATGTACTTCGTCACAAGAATAGGCTAATGATACAAGGAATGATAGGGCATAATGAACCACTGAAAAATATAAAATAATAGGACATCAGGGCTGAAAGCTAAGTCATTTGTGATGTCTAATTTGCTTGATAATTTACAGATCAATTTACTCAGCTTTTCTCTGAACTCATCTCATAAGAAATCAAGAAACAAATATTAAACCTACCTTCAGCTCTACCCCAAGAACCAAGATACAGTTGATTATTATCTCTAAAATATAAACAGTACTCAGAATGAAAATCAAACAACAAAAAATTGAATCTTGCATATCAATCATCATCAAGTATGACCAGATATTTAAAACATTTGAATATTAAGTCTATTCTTTCTTAGTAAACAACGGTTCATTATAGTTGTTTTGGCTACTTTTAATGAGAACAATTGTCATTTTTCAAACTTACTCTGGTAAAGCAGCTTCATATAAAATCTGCATTAATATTTTCAACACTGATTCCACATTTAAATCATTAACAGTAGCCTGAAATATAATATAAGCATACTAAATATTATCAGTTATTCAAGATATCTTTACTATGTTCCCAAAATCTCTCCAATATTTGATAAAGATAAATAGCTGAAAGAAACTAGAAATAGTAGTCATATTTGACAAGTCCTACAATTATGGCTGATTCTACAACGCTGATTTCTATATGGAAAGAGTGGGAAAATAATCCAAAGTAGTTCTTTAAACACAAACTAAAGAAATGATTACCTGATTGAGTCTAGGAATGATTATTTTTTCATGTAATCCTTTCTGTTTTTTAATCTTTTTCCTGGGACTTTCATAAGATCCATCATCGAAGCCTGTATCACCATCAGTTGATCCCACAGCAAACTGACTCATCAATCGTAATAAATAGGCTAAACATTCTTGATTCCACTGCAATAAATAATGTATGTTGAAATACCAGTATACATAACGAAAGAAAGAGTGTCTGTTTCTACCAGCTATTTTTTTACCAAATCTTTTGGTATTGATCTTGAATAGTTAATAATGACCCTAAAGCTGGTATAATTCTTCCATATCAAATATTTCTTACGCCTATAAAGACTGAGCTCACTTTGCCTTAACAGATCTTACTCTTTATGTTTTCAACCATTTTGTACTAAATAAAATCACACTTACTTGACTCCAAACATCACCTTCTTTAGGTTGAAGAGAACCATTCATAAAGATATTAAACAGATGACTTAACCCTCCTTTACATATAAACTAAAAATCAAATTGAATTACATTGGTAAAATGACAACATATAGATTTTCTAACAGTAACAGATATATTTCATTGATTTCTTGGATGTAATTAAGCAAGATACTTCAGGTTTAACTAAACAAAACTTAGAAATACATGTTCATATACTAATAAATTAGAAGTCCCTTCAGTATTTTTCATCCCTTTTACTGCTTTTAACAAAGAAATATTAAATAAGCAGTATCAAAGTGAAATAACTGCAGAAATTGACAAACTCAGAACTATCGTAGTAGGATGCATCAGGTGTAATACTACCGAAACTAACCTTTGAACTCCAGATATTATCAGGATGTTGATTATCAGGATGTTCTGTTTCATTAACAAACGCATCACCTCCACCACTTCTCATCTAAAATACAAAAGTAAATATACTTTCATAGTTATACACTTGACTGCAAAACTGAAACAATTTTGTTGAATTACTGGGCCTTCTATAATAAAATGAATAGTGTTTGATGTCCTAATTTTATTATTAGGTTTATGTTAATAATATCAAGTACTTTACATACCAAGTTATGTTTAATATATCATTTAAGAAGTTTATGTAGAATATTATGATTAACTTACCACTGATTTGCGACGTAGTTTACTTCTATGTGATAAATATTCTACTATTTGTAAAGAATAATATAATCTATGTGGACTAGAGGGTGGTAATAATATATTCCAATCAACACATTGTTTACCTTCTTCTTTTTCATTCTATAATAAACAGTTGAAAAAAGAATTTATTCTTCTTCATTGCAGGTTGACTGTCTAATCTTGATAACTGGGCATCAATTGATAGACTATATGAGGCATTTGAACTATAATATTTTTAATATTTTGTAACATTTGTGCCTGTTGTCATTTTTTTTTTCACGCATACACCAATATCATATAATTCTAACTTACGTTTTCAGTCATGATGCTTTTAAAGCCATCAAGATATTTCTCACTTGTAGGTAATATCATCAATAATTCCCACACACTTCTAGATAATCTTCTGGCTTCAGTCTGTAGACTATTCATCTCCTGACAATCCTAGAATAATCATAATATTCTAATATATTCAAATTGGTTTTGTACATCCTCAAGTTAGGCAGGTATCTCATAGTGCTTATCAGATATATCATGAAAATGAAATGAAAGAACCTAAAACAAGCAACTCCATGCAGTCTGCAATGAGGAGAATTTTGCCAGGACAGCAGCATGGGATGGGATGTGCATAGCCTTTAACACACAGGGCCTCGGTTCATTGTCCCCTCCATCCATACAATCTATATGGTATTATCCCAAAATAAGCCTTGGTATCCTTGATCTTCAAGTTTACAACTTCAATGGCATCCAGTAAGAAAATATTTGTCAACAGAAATATTCTAGAAAAATGAACAATGAAAAATAGAACATGCTGTCCTACCATCTCAACTAAGTCTGTATCTAGATTACTCAGTTGCTCTAATAACATAAAAAGGTTATCAAAATGTGGTTCTTGTAACAACAATATCATAGGTAGCTTGTCTCTAGCAGGTGGTACAGAGCCATCCATTTTCTTTGGTTGTCTACTGGCACCAACAGATACAAATACCAACTGCAACAATAAAAGTAATTTCTTGTTTGAACTAAATAAGTCATAAATTGCAAAATATTATAACAATAAGTAGAATTTTTCTCATTTAAAAAAAAAAAAAAAACTTTGTTTACTCTGCAAGTTTTAGACAGCCAAAGTTGGCCATACTGTTATCAAAGAAGTCATCACATTCAAAGTTATAACTGTATATGAGGATTCTTGAACTCAAGAATATTTAAGTCTGTAAACTGGTATGTTTTTGTTGAATATTTGGAGAATATTTTTATAACATGACTTTGCCAGTAAATAATGGGCAAGTTTATCATGCCCTGTACAGAAATATTACAAAATACTATTGATTCTAACATTAGAAACACAATGTAGCGTCCACATTTGTTTCAAAACTAGTTTTCTACCTGTAAATCTTTAAACTGCATTTCACCAATAGTTTTTTCATCTGTATCGACTGTTAACTCTTGACCTAATGTTATCATTCTAATTGGACCATCATGTAACATAGAGCCTAATATAGGTGATAACTGGATACCATGACTACCTTCCAGCTGTTGACGTTGTTGTTGTTGCTGTTTCTGTAAATCATCCCACCATCTTGTCACTTCTGCTCTTAATTCAGCCACTAAATCTGTTGTCATCATTTCTAACTGTGTCTACAAAAAAAGATGAAAGACAATGGGTTTAATACCACAAGGTACCAGTTATTATTATCAGTGAAGGGAAAATGAAGGGAAAATGAAAGGAAACTAATCAGCCATTCAAATTTGTAGAAAGATCAAGATCTACATACTGAGAATATGGAGAATAATTGAATCAGATCTGAAAAAGGACTATTAATTATCACTTCAGCTCTAATTTAAAGTCTTACAAGTTTTTATAAACAATTATAAAGCAGTAAAATCTTCACCCACTAAAATACCTTAAAATTATGTTTGTAAGTCAAATGATAGCTGCAATTAATTACAAGTGTGCATGTTTTGCATCATTCTGTATACAAATTGAGAGAAAGAATTTTTTTTTTTTTTTACCTTATCTGACATACCACCAGGTTGTAAGAGTATCCTGATAGGGGATGGTTGTTTTTCAAATCTATGTTGTTGATGAGAGTGAATACCACAACCATCAATCTGCCAGTTACGTAGATGGAAGGCGTAACGTCTTCTAAATGCTTCTAGATGATTCTTTAATAATGTCAGACCTTTCTGCAAGACTAGAAGACTTACTTTAGCATCCTGAAAAAAACAAAATCAATTCTTGTAAATCTAGATTATTATTTGTCAGAAACAATCCAGGTTTTCAAAATTTCCAAATCACTTGAATTCCATTCAGAATTTATATCCAAAAAACTCAGAAATTGTATGGCAACTGAAGCTCTTGATTAAGCAGTTAAGCATTATTACCTCTCTGACGCGTCCTAAAGCTTCAACTAAACTTTTCATACATCTTTTAACAAACTCTTCTTCTTTATGTAATAAGCCATTACCATATCCAATATAATAATTATTAATATATTGTATAGCTGACATAGATACATCTTTATTTCTAGCACGTAATGCTATATTCCATAGTTGATCCATACCAGATACCTATTATATATACAATACATTAATATACAATAAGGCATTTATATACTAGAAGCCAAAATTACAAGTCCTCATCTAACGATGTGTCACATATAAATCCATATCGGGAATGTTAGTTTTTGAAATAGGGTGAACTTTCAAAGTTTCTAGAACTATTAACAAAAAAAGAGAGGTCAACCACAACAACATTCTAAACTACGACAGTTCCAGGTGCTTGTTTAAGAAAAATATCAATCCTTATCAATCCAAAATATCTTACCTGATCTTCTGATAATGGTTTATCTGATGTATTATTAGCAAATCTTGCTAAATGTGATAATTGTTGGAATAAATTTAAACTGATCATACTGGTAGATTCAGGCTCTAATTGTGGCATCTAAAATTTCATCAAACATATTTAATCTTCATTTCCTTTTTATCAATTTAAGGGCAGATATATTTGAAAAATCTAATATCAAATAAAAGTAGTAGTAGTAGTTGTTATTTTGTTTCATGTTTTTACACATTCCACAAAATAAATCCCTACACCTTAAAACAAAAGTTTGTAAGAATCTTGGGGCATGGCTAGCATTTCTAAGCAACAGAAACAACAATCTTGGATAGTCTACAGTAATTAGTGGAGTTTAGTCATTAACTTGTCTCTAAACTGAAAAAAAATACTTATAAAAATGTACCTTTTCTAGGAATATGTGTTTAAATGTTTCAACACCTAATGCATGAAAATCTTTACTTTTAGCCTGATCTAGAAACCAATGTAAACAATCATCAGCACATTCTTCATCTGTAGCTAAACAATTCCATAGGATATCTACCTGTCTTTCACTTAGTCCTGAAAATTAAAGAAAGAAAGTTTATGTCTCTTTTTTGACACAATTATAATAAAACTATTTGAAGGTTTGAACATAATAAAATCTCTTGCTCCCATCTTCTCAGTGCAAGGGAAAATCAGAATTTGAAATAGTAATATCAGTGTTTGTGATATGACTGAGCATAATATAATTATGAGGTTATCTCATGTTGTCAACACTTATTTCAGATAAACAATCCTTCCGGTACTAGTTTTAGAAATGGTGAGTTAACTTTTTGGACTTTTAAAATAAGCAACCATATTCTAGTTTTATTTATGAAAGACTTAACTTACTAAAGATATCTGGAGAACCATAAGTTGAGAAGACACATATCAAAAACTGTAATCTTACTAATACTTCTTCTCTATGACAATATCTACAAAATAAAGAGAAATAAAATATATAATCAATTAGTGCCTAGATACACATTTTTATACTGTTATATCACCCACACATAAACAATCAGTGAAAACTGAGTTATTGACACATACAATAATGGTTCTTACAATCAAAATTCACAAACCAGATGTATCATATGTTAATTTATATATCAAATTACAATTTCTTTCTTCTGTGAATACTTACAAGGCATTAGGTGACGTTTGACCCTCTTTAACAGCATTGGTATAATAAACTAGATCATTGAAGAAATGATCCATCATATTCAAATTATTCTCAGCCCACCTGAAAATATCAACAATAAATATATTCTATAAGACGATATAATATGTATGTTAGTTTACACTAATCATTACACTCACTGACTATAAGATAGTTGAGCTTTAAGATTCCTAGTTTAATAGTATGTCTTAGGTATAAAATGTATTGGAAGATTTGAATTTTCTATATAATCTACAGCAATTACTATATGCTTACTACTTACATTGTAACCGAACCATTTCTATATCTCGGTATAGAATTAAAAATTCTTGGTAATAAACGTAAGGATATAACAACAGATCTGAAAGTAGAAAATCATGTTTTCAAGAAATATCACTACTGCATCAGATCACTTCAATATTTAATATAGATACTCTGAGTGAACTTCGTTCTGTGATATTTTTTTTAGAAAAAAGGATCATATTATAATGTGCAATTTACCTTCAAACTCAAATCCCAAAAGAAATTTTTTAATTTGATTTTGATAAATTATTATAATAAGAAAAGTAAATACTAAGGATTGAACTTACCTATGATTTGCAACATTTTCAATACAAGCAGCAATAAACTTTAATTTAATACGCTTATCGGTTGTACCACATACTAATGTATTTAACAAGGCCTTTTCTGCCTCCACAGCCAGCCCTTCTGGTAGCAAATACTGAAAGCAAATAGACATATCATATGCCTCAAGTCTTTTAATGGAAATATTGCTTAGAATCACGTCTTCACTTCATGGATAAAGATATGAATTAGTTCTAATTCCTTTTCAGTACAAGATGAATATAAATTTGTTCCTCTCAAAATTATCCTTCCAGAAGTCCACAGCCAAAAGAGTAATTAAGGTGGCAATGCTGGCATACAATCATGATTTCTAATGATCTAAAAGGTGTAAAGTTAATACTTACAGCAACATCTTCTTGTACCAGATCCCATAATAAAGTGTTCCCTCGTGTACAAACATCATCAAATGTAACATCACAACAAGCTAATTGACTAGTAGATGGTATTATATCTCTCTGTACAGGTCTATGGTGAATCACAGCTAAACAATATAAATAATAGCAATTAAGTAGGAGAATACTACAGACAAAATTTATCATTCAGTTAAATGTGGAGACACAAACCATACAGTATATTGTACACTAGTTCATTACATTCATACTAGTCGATGTGAAGTGCATGAAGATTTAAGTGCATTTAACCTTGTTTTAACACTTTTTTGTCAAAATCTAACATAGTTTTGTTCTTATATCACAAAATTTAACATAGTTTTGTTCTTATATCACAAAATTTAACATAGTTTTGTTCTTATATCACAAAATTTAACATAGTTTTGTTCTTATATCACAAAATTTAACATAGTTTTGTTCTTATATCACAAAATTTAACATAGTTTTGTTCTTATATCACAAAATTTAACATAGTTTTGTTCTTATATCACAAAATTTAACATAGTTTTGTTCTTATATCACAAAATTTAACATAGTTTTGTTCTTATATCACAAAATTTTACTTGATTATCATAAGTAACAAGGGAGATATCATTTAAATTTTACCTCTTGGTACATGTGTGGTGTATAAAGAAGATAAATGTTCATGCATTTGTTGATGATTATAATGAGCATTAGCACTAATCTGTACTAATTCCTCTTCACTTAATCCTTCTTCCCCATCAAAATCAGCCATGTTTTTCTCTGATTTAGTACTAATACGTGAACTATGACAGCTTCCCTCATCTGGACTCATTATACCCTCAGAAAAATCACTACAATATAAAACATAGCATAATGTTATTATTGCGACTCAAAACTCATTATTTACAACATGAATTCAACTGGCAATTCAACCAATATTGAGAAACAAATCTTGTATGCAGGTGATAGGTTAACAGACTAAGCACATGTTGACAGAAACTCTGACATTTGCTACAATTATCTGCTACATAATTTCCACAAAAACACACTAAACAAACTATATTTATGAATATCCTTTACTTCAAACAAAGAATAATACACCAACCTGTGTAAATGTTTATGTTTATGTTGAGCTTGTTGTAATTGTTGTATAACCTCTCTACAATCATAGATTTCTGTTTCTTCCTGTTCTGATTTACTAACAGATGTATTAGCATCAACTGAAGCTTCTAGTTCAGCTGCAGCTTCAAGAAGTACAGCATCTGATTTCTTCAAAATAAAAATTCAGACTAAATCATTCATGTGTTTTGTCATTTGTATTTCATATGTACAAGACTCTCTTAAAAATAAAGTTTCAATGAAAATTAAAATCCACAAAAATGGTTATTTAATTCAAAAGAATTGACAAAAAAGAAAGCGATGAAATGAGGCTTTCGAAATATTGTTTGAACAATTTCATTTCTCTTCATACAATCCATTCATTCACAAACATATGTTTCAAGCAGAAATGAAAAAATGTTTGTACATGGGGAAAGATGTTCAAATCAGGATATAAACATTGTGATCAATACTTCAATTAACTTGAGCTACATACCTGAGATGAAGTTATGGAATCTTGTTTTTTTAGATTAGGCTGAATTTCTGGATTACCTATATCACTAACAGCGTCTTTATCACCTGATATTTCTATAGTTTCCTCCATTTTTTTGTCGTCTGCTCGTTTTGTTGATGGTCCCGGTTGATTATCATCATCACTCTGACTTACACGACCATGTGATGGTATCAAAGCTCTGCGTAACATGACTTGTCGAGCTTTACGCTGTTTATTCAACAACTGCTGAGCTTCATACTGACGACGTATCTCTTGTAATTTCTTCACTTTTTCTTCATCTGCTTCAAATTCCGAACTTTCTTCACTTTCACGTTCACATTGTTTTAATAACATAAGATTTACTTCATCAATTTTCTCTTCTTCTGAATCCATAAATTCTGAGTCACCTTCCTCTAAATCTTCATCATGACAATGTTCACAATCATCCATACATGACTCTTCACTTTGGGTATCCACATTCTCATTCCGCACTAGTCTCATGACTGTTATTTGACGAACACGCTTACCCTTACGTTTCTCTTTCAATTTCTCTGGACTTTCACTAGAATCTGACACTTCAATTTCACTATCACTTTCTTCCACTAGTTTAACTTTCGATTCCAATCGGAACTTGGAGTTTTTATGATGAAGTCTGATATCTGACTCATCACATCCACTATCTTCACTTCCTACACTGAGTTCACTATTACCATCTAAACTACTGTCTGATTCACCGGGTTCACCATGTTTTAGATGCTGGTGATGGGCATGATGATGTTGGTGAGGACAACATTCACCAAGTTCTAAATCTTCAGAATTCATACCACTACAACACTGAAACAAAACAAAACTTATTCATACAAAACATTTTCCAAAGTTCCTACGAAGCATAAAATGTTTAGAAATTGGCAAAAAGTCTCATTATAATAATAATATTGATGATAAGAAAGAAGTTTCTTGATGCAGGCCATCTTTTATCAGTGAGTAAAGAGAGTAAATCAATGAAAAATTTGAGGTATTTACCTTTTTAGGAGGAATTCTTCTGTTACCATAGCCTTCTGATTCTTCACTGCTACTGACTACATGTTTACTTCCTAAATAAACATCAATCAAAAAACTGCTTAATAAGATAAATCTCTTTTCAAAAATATACTACAATAGGTACAATAGGTGGAAGGTGTCTAAATTGCAAAATAAATTAAGAGAACTTATTCTAAAACTTGGAGAACACTGTCTCTAACTTATTGCATACCATATATTTCATAGACAACAAAACACCAGAATCTAATCAACACTTTTCAAGATATGTTGATAGTTTGATAGATCTTACTATACCATACCTTTACTTTCATTTTCCTCTCTCTGTAAGGCTGTGTAGGTTGACTGTAATTGTGGATGTAATTGTTGTGTGGTTACACCATGAGTATGTCCTGTAGCACATGTATTCCATATACATTTTATCAAAGCTGATGCTAGGTATAATGTCTGAAATAATTGAAACAGAATAGCTATATTTCCTTTCAATACTTCAAATCTCTTTTTTTTTTTAAATACTTTCAAATTTCCATGACAAAATTGATCACAAAATCAATTCAAGTCCAACACCATCTAAAGTCCAACACCATCCAAGACAAATTTAAGTCTTTAAGACATATTGCCTTCAGAAATAAATTCAAGTTCCCAATATAAAGTTGCCTCCAAAATAAACTCATCTCTGAGAAAATCCAATTTAATCTTGAGTCTCAACAACAAAGCTTCCATTTATAAGGTATAACCATGTCAAAACCATTTCAGTTTAATGGAAAGCATAAATTAAAGTTTTGGAAGCGTTTTTAAATTGACTTACCGATTCAGTATGGGCTGATATATCTAAACTAGATACTAGTTTTAATAAATATCTGACTGGACTTAAATCATGTAGATTTTTAATCAATGGTATCAATATATCATATACTTGTTTACCACAATGTTTTAACTAAAACATAACAATTACAATTTTAACTCTTCAACACCTTATTTTGCTCGTGAAAAACACGTCAAACAAGGCTTTAAAATATCCTGCATGATGATTACTGTGTATATCTTTGTAACCAATAAATGAGACTGAAAAGATATTCTTAAAACTCAGCCACACTCTCGTATTATAAAAACTACATTCTGACATAGCTGGTATGTCATTCTCTATGTAAGACTGAGAAAAGTAAATACACACCTGACTAGCAGCCCAAATACTATCTATATGTTCATTAGTTATTCTTCCTTCCATAGCCAGAAAATTCAATATCATCTGACTCTGTTTAATTATCTGTAATATGACAGCCACATAATGTAGAACACAAAGGAATACATTATAGTATAACAAAGTATATGACTTTACACACGTTGTCAACAGGTGAAATGCAGAAAGGAAGTAAACACAAGAATAAATTACATATATATATATATATATAAACCTATAATTAGAGAAAATTTTATATCGTGGAATCATATCAGACTTCAATCAAAGACTTTTAAGCATAACAATGTCTATGAGCTAAAGCACAGACTTACCTCAACATGAAGATTTGGACCAAAGATATGTTCTACTATTTTATTATCTATTAACCATTGGGCTAGCTCATTTCCAACACTGTAATAAAAAAAATAAAAAAAAATGTTGCCTTAACAATTTTTAAGAACAGAGGCATTTAAAATTGAGATATCTCTTGTAAAGATCAATGTTCTAAAAATATCAAAGCATTGAAATAAAAAAACCTTACCTTTCAGCATCAATAAATGTTTCATTATTACAACTTTCATTGTATAAATTAATCTGGTTCTGAAAATACAAAATATGTTCAATTCTTGAAAACTTAATTCTGAAAAATAAAAGCTTATAATTTTTCACTCTTTAAATTGCATTTATCTGATTGAAATGATCATGAACGATGATGTTACCAAAATGGTTACAATACCATAGCAATTAGAGGAATCAATATCATTTAATTCATTTGTGAACTAAAACTGGGAAATAATATAGTTAGAGCATGACATGACAAATGTCATCATGATAGTTACTCACATTTATTTGCGCTATACCAGCCAATCTTATAGTTAAAGTTGTACAAGTAAAATATTTAAATCCAAGCTGTAATCCTTCTCTATCAAAACTAAATGGATTATCTAAAGGTTCTTTAACAGCAGCCCACATTAACTCTGTCATATTTCTACTACCAGCATTACGTAGTTCTCTATCAGATAAACTACACACATATCTACAATATTCATCAAGTACATATGTAACATAGTTCATAATATTGTCTATTATCAAGCTGTCTGATGTACATGAGATATATACAAAATTTAAAGAATAAACACAAATTGTAAGCATTCATTAACAAGTTGTATTAAATTGTGTTAAATGATATATTTTTTTGTGAATCATGTTCATGTGTAGCTTAGTTATATTCAATTTATTTCAAGTATTCAGTGAATTTTTTAGTCCAGTAACATATCAGTAGGAGCCTACCTAATAACTGCTGAGCGTAATGGTATAATACACTGCATTACAGTTTGAACATTCATCCATAATCTTAACTAAAAAATAAATTTGAACATAACAAATGTAATCAAATCGTAAATGTTTTTTTTTATCAAAAATGTATTTGACTTTATTCAATATGAGTGTTAAAATATCTTTCTTAAAAATATAGTGAAATATTGAATGGTTATCACTTTTTATATAATCTAATTTGAAAAGGTTGCTGGCATTGTCAAATAACTAATGGTATATACTTTGGATGCAAGAAATCATCTTACTTCTAATTTGAAATACAATGATGTGACGATGTGATGTTATCGAAACTAAAATAACTTACATTAGCTATAAGATGAATCAAAAGATGAGCGAAGTTGAATGGTAAGGTTTCAGGAGAGGCTTTTTCAAAACAGTTTTCCAATGCTTGTATACCATTAGTATCACAGAAGAAACAAACATTACGTAATAAATATAATGGTACATCGGGATCTGAGATTTCACAGTAATTATTTAATGCACTGGTTTCATGTGTTGATAATTCCTATAATAAAACAACATAACCATAAAATCTATACATCTAGTTCATCTCAATGACTTGCTTCAGACAGACTGCTTTGCATTTGAATGTATGCATACCATTCAACCACAATGATGCACATCAATGGTTGATGATTAATGTATGTTTTGATATGACTTATGAATGTGATAGCACATAATTATTGAAAAACCAATAGAATTATTTACCTCTAACGATGTATGAATAAAATGTTTGTATGCCATATACAGAGGAAAATTCATCAAAAACACTTTCGTAATAAACTGAATTAATTTTTCCTTTTCTTCCACAGTCCAATATTCATTATCACCAACATTTATCTCTTCTTCTTTCTCTTCTTCTTCCTTGTCATCAGGTTTATCTCTTTCTTCCTTATTACTCTCATTCTTCTCTTCCTCATCTTTAGCTTTATCAATTTCTTTTTGTATATCAGAAGGTAATGTTTGTATTAAACGGATAGCTACTCTTAATACAGTCTGTATCAAATTATTCAACTTTTCTATATTCTTAAAATCTTTATAACAGCACATACATTGCCTGGAAGGAAAAAAATTAATAAAATAAAAGTTTTGAAACAAAGAGAATCTATGTCAAAAAATTGAAAGTTCAAACAATGTGATTCTGTCCTGGAAAATCTTGGTGTAATCTAGAAATGGTATTTATATAATGAAATGATACCTTACCTTTGTGCCCAGGTTGCCACATACTGTATTACAGCCTGGATTTCTCTTTTATTCAGTTGTAATCCCACATTACTGTGCACTCTTTCATCATCTAGAAGCAAAATAAAAAGAAACTCTCTATAGGGGTAGTATTCAAAATTTTGAAATTACAAGCATTTGTGTTTTACCTTGTTTACGTTGGATCCTGTATTCTAAGTTGAACTTTAAGAAAAAGGAGAAGACATATTTCTCTACAATTTGGCATTTATTTTACTTGTTAGTTCTCCAAAACAAACCAAAAAAATAGTTACTTAAAGGATTTAAAACTTGCAGATCAGGTAAGGGACACATTTATCTAGCTTTGGTCAATACCATTCAATATTTGAGCACCTAACATTCCCACCTACTCAAAAAATCAGACTGCCCATTTAAAAGAATAATTGAGATGAAGAATAATGTGATGCTTCGAATGATTATTTTGGACCAGATTTTGAGAAAGTCATAGACTTGAATGTATTTTTGAATATTTTGTTAAATAAAGATATCTAAGCACATCCAAGACCTCTTCCAACTTCAGTCCATCTAGCTTTGATGTAGAATAAATCAAGCTATAAAGTGAGTTAAGGCTTCACTTTCAGGTTATATTTGAATCATTCCAAAAAAGTGCAAATATATCTTTGCTTTGCCTGATTCTTGTGGTTCTAAACAAATACTATATTTATGTTTACAACTTGGTAAAAATCATGGCCATTTTTCACTTTCTTATGGAAAGAGCTTTGTAGATCTTATATTATTGTTGTTATAACTATCCATTGTCATTACTCAATTTGTCTTCAGCAGGAAGCCTAGTAGATCTTACATTATCATCATTATAGCAGCTATGCTTATTATTATTAGCTTACTCAATTTGTTGAGCAAGGCCTACTCGTGTGGAGTAACATGAACTTACGATTATCTAACAGGACTAAGACGTCTGTACATATGCCACTGTCACACATTGCACTGATCTATTATGGATACAGGGTACTTAAAATGCTGATACAATCATTTCGACAAAGAGATGAGAAATTGATACTTTGTCTTGTTTTCGAGACAGTATTATTCACTGTCTAGCCCGCCATATTGGTTAATGCTCCTTTCTTCCGTAGAACAAATATTTTGAGATCCCCCCTTCGTAAAATGACGATTGTGTTGGTAGGATCAACCAGGCACACAGGGAAACAAGTTGTAACTCTGGATGTTAAGGACAAAAATGTTTTCGGGACTGTCTCAAAAGCAGATATACTTTACTTCCGTTTTGATGTAAACATCCATGCGCATGTTTAAAAAAAGCAGGTGCCCGTTTTCGTCTGGAAGGCCGAGACTTACCCGACCTGACGTCATACTAGATGTTATCACGCATGCGTAGTGTTATTCTAGACGTGACAGTGGGATGGTGATGTTGTAGACTTCATTGGAAATTAATTTCATTGAATAATACAGTAAAGGAAAGTGAAGATCATTTGATTGTTATCTTTTCTAATACGTCTGACTTATGGTTTGAGTTACATACGGTAAGTAGCCTAACCTATCTAATTTTATTATTTTATTGACAGGGTGATCAACCTGTTGCTTGATAATGATGATAATGACTTATGTTACTACAGACAGTACTACTGCCAGCCAGCCAAGACTGTCCGACCAAACTTAAAGTGGCAGACAGAGCTTGTCGAACCTTACACATTGACACACTGACGGTGACAGTAGTGTCAAGGACACAATCTTAACTGTGTGGGAGGAAAATGTAAGATTTAAGACACTCTTAATTTGTGAGATTGAGTGAAATGAGTGAGAGGATTTCAAATATAAGTTTATGAAAACTGCACTTATTTAAAGGGACATTCTTCTTTTTTTTTTTGATTTGTGAAAATTGTTCACCAAAATCTACAGAGATGTGCCCTTTAACATATCTGATAGTTTGAACTAAATGAATCTAGCTTTTAATTTTTAAGCGTCAAAAATATTTTAAAACATTATGTAATTTTTAAAGTTAGTTATGCTTTTTCTGAAGCTGTTAAAAAACTACTGTATAGATTTAAGTAAAATAAACACCTTATTGTAGAGAAATATGTCTCCTACTTATTCTAACAGTTTCAGCTAATAATATTGAGCCATTATTGACCCAAACATCATAACTAGACCAAGCTGCTTAATTAACAATTAGTACTCTTCTTTTTGAATTAACCATATTAAAACAAATTCAGTTTGATCAAGAAGATACATAGATATAAATAACATAATATTTTCATTTATAATTTATGACGTTTTTATAAAGAAAACTTTTTACCAAAAAAACAGAATACCCCTTTAATGTGATGTAGCAGATAGAGAAGGTGCCCACTAGAAGGTATCTGTGATTGATTCTGATTTGATGGTTGTGATCTCTGTTGTTAGAACTGGAATTTCTTGAACCTAGTGCACACAAATCATTTGATTTGCATTTGAATATTCTACAATATTTTCAATTGAAAAATTGCATTGAATAATGGGCTATTTACGAATTACTTTCGCATCATTTTCTCGCCTGCAATACAAACTTAAAGTTGGTAACAACTTGCTTAGAAAAGTCATTCAAATAAAGATTACTTATATTCCTGATGCCTCTCGAGGAACGCTAAATCGAAACATCGAAATGTTAAAGCTGTTCAAACTTATAGAGCTAATGAATCAAGCATGTGCGATTAATCGAATGGTAAAATCCGATTCCAATATTCACAAAAATGCATTTGAATTCGTAAATTTGACTATTCTGACCCGATCATGTTTTTGTAATTTAAAAGTGCCAAAATGCAGTCGGTAGGTAGGCTTTACTTATGGAGATGTACAAAGAAGGCACAGAAACATTGCAAAACATCTGGAAATGTCTTGATGGGTTTGTTCAGCTTTAAATCGATATCAAAGGTTTTGACAAATTTGGCTTTGGTGATGGTAAAATTTCTCAAAAACTAGTGATCCAAAAATGAATCGGAGCAACTCCAATATAATTTGTCCTGTTTGAGTCTGACTGAGCCGATATATTTACTACATTACATCCGAGGAATGGGTAGGCTGTGATTTGTCAGGTTATTAAAAGGCCATACATCAAAATTGGTTTATGCTGCATGCCTAACAAGTAACAACTAAACTTGATATTTAGAAATAAATTCAGGTTGATCAAGAATATACTGGTATAAAAAAATAATGCTAGTTAAATCTTTTAGATACCGTTCATGAAAGCATATTTTAGGAATTTTTTTATGTATAATTTACAATGTTTTTTATGATGAAAAGTTTGCATTGTGCCTCTTTAAAAGGTCCAGGTAGTATCAGAGATCTAATATTTTTTATTGAGTAGATAAAAATACTATCAATTCAATTGGAAGGAAGCAACATGAAACTGTATAAAAACGGTGAATAGAGATGTTGATCATTCCATTACTGTAATTACTTGTCAATATGTTATCAAGGTATTTTGGCCTAATTTTCTATTAAACTCTTTGTTGTGTAGGATTCATTGATTTATTAGCCTGTTATTAGTGCTAGCTAGTGTCTAAGAGTATTATTGTAGAAACTATTGATTCAGTGCTGTGACTCACCCGATTCCTTTACATCAACTAAATAACCACTAGCAGGAGTTGATGATTGATGCTTTTTGCTTTCGACATTTTTCAAGAAGTTTTAAATCTACACATTTCTTTCTTGCTAACAATGTGTTTAAAAGGGAATTGATTTTGAGATGATAAATGTGGTTGATACTTGTCATTTCTGTAAGTTGAATAAATAATGGAATTACAGGCAGTAGAAAAACATTTGGCTTTTAACTCAATAGTATGAAATAACATGTGGTAGCCTAATGGTTAGAAGTGACTTCAGGTTTCAGGTTTTTCTCAAGAATTTGTGTTTTTGGCAGTCTTTTATCTGATAAAGATATAATTCTGACTAATGATAGATTCTACATATTCAGGATTTGTATGTTATTCCTGTTTATACAATTAAGCATTATTGTTCCAAAGTTAAATTTTTTTTTATTTGGCACAATGACTGGCACAGTACCCTAGAATCTGAAAAATGAATTTAGAGATAAATTCATGGATCATTAAAATACTATTTCTTTTCTTTAAGACATAATTATATTATATTGGTTATTTAGATTATATAATATAGCTTATTTATTTGATAATATAATGTTAATATGGCATCATCAATGAATTGATACACTATATTTAATACTATTATGATGTTAATTTCTTTTAAATCTGTACTTTTTTTTTTCTACTACCGGTATTAAAAAAAAAGATATTTGTAATTTTCCATATGAAATTAGAAAAGCTGATGACTAAAAGTTCCGTCATGATATAAATACTGTGCTGTATTTTAATTTGTTGTTGTCATTTCCTTGTTGTGGGTGTCAATTAAGTAGTTACCACTTCACTATTAAAGTTATAATGAGTACTATTTATTAAAATATTTCAGAAGTTGTAAACCATGGAGTTAGCTCACAGTCTGCTACTCAATGAAGAAGCTTTAAAAAGAATTCCAGACACCAAAAGACCTGTGTTTGTCTTTGAATGGCTGAGGTTTTTGGATAAAGTTTTAGGTGCTGCCCAGAAGGTAAGTTATATTTGATTTTTTGACAATTATATTTTGAAATTATTCCGTAAAACTTTATTGAAATTAATTACCTTTTTATGGAGGAGCCAGATCTTATCATTTTATTACAGAAACATTTTCCATCATTTTTCATTTATTAACAATAATTACTCACTGTAGATGTTTTAACTTCCATGTAAAGTAATAATCAGTCTTCTATGTGATCAAACCATGATCACACTTTAAAGTTTAACTAGTGCTTGTCTAGGACATTATTTTTTCTGGCACCTTAGTTAATGAACTCACTTTAAAAACTAATAACAATACTTAACTATCTAATTAAGCTTTAATTAAGCTCGAAAAAAGTCATTAAGAATATAGATTGTTTTTGTGTTGGCCTAGTTTGTTGACACCTGTTTATCTTTATTTAATGTAGCACCGTTTACTATGATTAGAACAAATGATTATTTTGTTTGAAAGTTAGAATCTATAGCAAAAGATTAATGATAGAATGAGTTCAGACCATTTCATTTGGATTAGGTGCATAGATTTCTTAAGGCCACTTATATTTAATGGAATTTCAAAGACATATTATCAGCCCTCTCAGCAGTTTTTACAGTGTAATAAAATAAGTTGAAATGTTATCATACACCTATTAGTATTAGGTCTGATATAAAGTAGAGGTTATAATAAGTTGAGGTGATGGTAAACAGCCATGTTGTTAACAAGAAATTTATCTCAGTGATTAGAGAACTGGCGTCTCTATTTACATTAAGATTATAGACTATGAACTCTGACCTCTTGAACATTGAAAACCAGGTAGTATTTCCACCAAACTATCTAGTTAAACTCAATTAGGCATGTCCACTTACTGGTCTAGACCACTGTGAAGATTGTTAAACCATTGTCTATTTATTGGATCAGTGCCCAGTAGACTTGTTGAATGTATTTTGATATGATGAATTTTTATACGCCTACATGGCAAATGTACATATACCTACTGCTTTTGTACCTTAATGTTCCTCCATACCTCCACATTTCTTGTAGACAATTGAGGCTCAGATCTTGATGAAACTTTGAGTGCATTTATTTATTTTGAGAAGATTTTTTTAGTTATTGCCCTTGACTCAAAAATGAGTGAAACTGGTCTGTAATTATAAATTGATATTTAGTCTGATTTTGTGGATAATTAGATGAATGTTTTTTTGGATAATTGCCCTTGTAAAAGACACAAATTTCACCTTATAAAAACCTTTATTGAAAAGTTCCCAGAGGCATTTAGTTGGCAGAAACAAAAAAGTAAACAAATTACATAGGCCTACTATAAATCTGTAAATGTCAGATTTGATAATGTAGAAATATGTGGTATTTTATAAATTCTTGGCCTATAATTATGTGTTTTATAACTAGTATTAAGTTAGTATGTAACATTATATTATGAATTATTTACATAATGTTACTGATCGACCAAAAGGCACTGATAATACTGATGATGTTATGATCATTCTGTCATAATTTACAGACAGGACTCATAAGAGTTGATATGGTACAATCATTAAAAATTTAAGATTTTCACATAATTACTTCAGTTGATTTTACAATGATTCACTACTACAGAAAATTGCTTAAAGTGATACTACGTCTTAGAATACACTCGCCCTGTGGCTAATATTTGTGTTAAATAGTGACCATTGGTTAAATAAGTATGCATCCCACACTTTATCAAGTTTAAAAAATCGACAATAAAACTATAATCATAATTTAAAAAAAAAGTGAGCAAGCCATGAATCCGTTCAGTTTGAGAAGAAGAGAGTCTGGGTAATCAACGCTAAAACAGGAAACAATCATCTTCCGGTGTATACTAACAAACTTTGCCAACGATTAATACTAATATTCGTTGAAAATTGTGTCAATGGTGGAGTATTCATTCTAAGTTATATGAATTGCTTTTTCGCGGAGTCGCTTAATCTCCTACGAGGCATCATTATTCCGTCTTCAAAATATGACAATGTCGAGGTCAATTCAAGAGTAGAGGTCAAGGACGCAGGAAACCTCACTTGAGAGTTACTTCCCCTTGAAAATTACACTGGATTTGCTAGACTCACGATTTGAAAATCGCTTAATGGATGTATTAAGCGTTTTATAATTAATTACTTGATTTTGTGGATATATCAGATTATAGAGGGATTTTGACGTATAGTTAGGGCACCAGGTAAGACCACTGATGGATATATACTGTTATTGGCCAATTTGATCAAAATTAAAATTTTATGTTCATCCTAAGACGTAGTATCCCTTTAAAGATATTCATTGGTTCCATCTCCATGTGGAAGTTTGTTTAATCGAAACTAAATTTGTACCTGAATAACAAGTGTTTAGTACAGTTCATTATGACATTATTGAGTTTTAGTTTACTGCATGTTCAGAAGATACACAAACGCAGCCTGATTACTGAAGCTTGCTCAATACAAATTGCTAATCACATTATTTGGTAATTTCTTTAACTAAAATGTTTTTAAGTTATAGTCCATTAAGATGATAATTTATAATATTGAGGCTTACAGTGATGATTAACTCTTCAGACACTAGATTATCTTATAAACTTTAACCTGTCAGCTCAGATTAGTCTGGGTCTCTTGTTTAATTCATGGAATAACTTCTCCTACACATCTACCAAGACAAGTTTTATCTCAGATAATGGTATTCATCTTTTTCTTCAAGAATCTTGACATTAAAGGAGCATTCCTTTTTTTTTTTGTGTAAATCATTTTCATTATCAAAAATATTTAAATTATACTGGAAAATATTTTCTAAAGTATGTTATGTATGCCTATGTATCAACTTGATCAAACTGAATTTGTTTTAAAGGGTTAATTAAAAAAGAAGAGTACTAATTGTTAATTAAGCAGTTTGACCTAGTTTTGGTTTTGGACTTTATAATGGCTCGATATAATTATTTGAAACCTTTAAAATACATAGGAGACATGTCTCACTACAGTTAGCGTTCATTTTGTTTAAATCTGTATATTATTTTTATCACACTTTCCAAAATGCATAACAAGCTTTAAAACCTTACATTATGTTTTTAAATAGTGTCGGCGTTTCAAAATTATAAGCTGGATTTTTTTTAGTTAGAACTTTCAGATATGTTTAGGGATATATAATTTACTAAATTTATTATGCAAATTTGACCCAAGGACTTGTTGCAACTGTTTTGTTTTGCTCTCCCCTTCGTTGTCATTTAGCAGATGACTTATTCTTTCAGTACAAATTGACCTACACTGCTCTAAAAATGTCAGTGTATGTCTTAGATGTGCACTTTGAAATATATATATATATATACCTATTTTTTTGTAGAAATAAATTTCAATAGTACAGAATCTGCAGGTGGCAGGTGCATTGCAGGATATGCTTTATTTTTATATACTTTTATATTTTCAGTCTGATATTAAAGGTGGACAGAAGAAATTAGTAGAACAATTAACAGGACAGATTAGTGAATCACCAGGTCCACCAACACGTAAACTCCTAGCACGATGTCTAGCTACATTATTTAGTGTAGGAGATACATTTGATTTGTTTGAAACTATTAATAAATGCAATGATATTATAAGAAATAAAGATGATTCTCCAAGCTACTTACCAACACGACTGTAAGTATACCATTCTATCATAATTATATGACACCTGTTTCCATAAGACTTATGTATAAATATTAAAAAATTTGTCTGGCATTGAAGGAAGAGTTTGATAAATATCTAATAAGAATAATGTTAATACATACACAGCATGAGATAATTTCAACATCTACATACATCAATTTTCAAATTCTGATGTTCTGTTCTCCTGCAATAAAAATGTATCAAGCCAATTAAAGGGACAGCTATGCATTTCGTACATTTCTAGTACTTCTGAAGACATATATTCAAGACTCAAATCAACCCCCTAATATGGTGCATCTGTCCCTTTAAGACTGTCCAGCCTTCCATTTCTTGCATGCATTTATTACCCATGACATCATAAAATCAGTAATAACTGTATGTAAGAAGGTTAGTAACGTCCAGGAAGTCATGACAATCTATGAAAAATGCTATGGAAATCTGAATTTGACTATCAATTTACAAATTTCTGACAAGAATTTTGTCTGTTATAGTGCTGCTGTTGCTTGTTTGGGTGCTATGTACGAGAAATTGGGACGTATGGTGGGTAGATCATATGAAGAAACAGTGCAAGTACTCATCAAATCACTTAAAAATTCTGAGGTAAATATATTTTATAACATTAATGATGTCTTCAAAACCCCTTAGACAAGATCTCTCTCCCCTTCTCTTACTTCAAAGAGTACCACTTTTTCAGCTTCTATCAACTTGAACAAGGAATTGTATTGATTTAACTCTTATTAGTTATACTAGTAGTATAATAAAATTATAGTTACTGTTCAAGCCTGGAATATATTATTAATTAATTGAATTAATAATTAACAGGGTAATATTCATTTATAACAGAACTTCTTCCTTCATCATGAAAATATGGCTTACCGTACATTAAAAGGAAAAATTATGTATCCATATGTCTTAGTGTTTTAGGGGATAAATTAGTCTAAGTATTAACTTTATCAGCAGACAAAAAATGTATGTTTCAAGCAGTGGTAGCACCAGCCACCCCTCCAAGACAGGGGAGGAGGTATAGGGGACAGACTGACCTCATAGGGGGACAACTATCAAGGCTGAATTTGAATCAAGGCAGCTTTGTGGAAACAAATTTTTAAAAAAAGAATTAATTTGGGTCAAAAACATAAAAAAAATTCATATTGCTTAGAAATGAAGTGGGGGTACAATTGGTGGTTGTTAATTTTTTTTTCTGTGGCACCATTGGTTTTGAGAAATATATACCTTTAAAGTTAATCCAATTGACATGAGTCATTGACTAAAAGTCAATAAAAAATTGGTTTATTACCAGTATTGGTTGCTATCCAATATATATAATAGATTCTCTCCAAATTATTTTGTTGACATGAAGTTATTTGTAGGACAGTTTATTTCTACAGTGTCTCAAGAGACAAATGATATATAACAAGTCTCAGTGTTAAATCAACCTGTCTATGTAATCTATACAGTCTTCAGGGAATTTCTCTTTTATACTAACTTACAGCTTCTAGATAGACGTCTATTATATTGAATTTCCTGGAATTGACATGGAATAATAAAAACTCAAACTACAATATACTGTGTCAAAATATTCTTAGCTTTATGCGTAATCAATAACTATTTTCATCCTAATTGGCAATTAATGGCTATAAAGTTCCTGGAAATGTATGTTCCTCATTTTAGTTTGGTCTCGTCTATGAGGTCTATGTAACATTAACTCTTTACTGTTAAGGTGGAACAGTTTGACTTAAAAAAGCACATAAAATGGCTCCAGGAATTTTTTTGCCTTTTTTTGAACTCAATTCTACATCTGCTTTTTGAGCAGACAACAATCCAACTTGCTGCTGAAATAGTGATTGTCTTTTTCTTTCAAACTGCATAAGCTTTGTAATATATAGAAATGGTAAAGTAGCAAGTGAAATTTTGATGTATTGTAATGAAATAATGAAACAAGTTGTCTGGTCTGGGTGGTAGCCAAAAAGTGCTCCTGGATTTTCATTTGTTTATCTTGTAGTTTGTAAGAAATGATAGATTTGTACTGATAATTACCCCCAGTGATAAGAGTATCTGTATATAAGATATAGAAACAAGATGTATGAAGGCATGATGTTTATACTGCCAACATTCCTTATATTATCATCTAGATAATCTCTCAAATATCTTCAATTATATAATGATACTGTGCCAAGTTACCTTACTGTAAATCATGCCTTGTAAGAATGTTGAATGATAAATATTTAGCATGATAAAATCTGAAACTGCTCTTCACATTCCACTACATGTTATACTGCCTGCTGTTATACAGTTATTTTACATTCTGCTGTTTTACCACCATATTACATTCTGCTGTTTACCACTGTTTTACATTCTTCTGTTTTACCACTGGTTTACATTCTGCTGTTTTACCACTATATTTCATACTGCTGTTTTACCACTGTATTGCATTCTGCTGTTTTACAACTATATTACATACTGCTGTTTTACCACTATATTACATTCTGCTGTTTTACCACCATATTACATTCTGCTGTTTTACCACTATATTACATTCTGCTGTTTTACCACTATATTACATTCTGCTGTTTTATCACTATATTACATTCTGCTGTTTTACCACTATATTACATTCTGCTGTTTTACCACTATATTACATTCTGCTGTTTTATCACTATATTACATTCTGCTATTTTTACCACTGTTTTACATTCTGCTGTTTTACCACTATATTACATTCTGCTGTTTTACCACTATATTACATTCTGCTGTTTTACCACTGTTTTACAATCTGCTGTTTTACCACTATATTACATTCTGCTGTTTTACCACTATATTACATTCTGCTGTTTTACCACTATATTACATTCTGCTGTTTTACCACTATATTACATTCTGCTGTTTTACCATTATTTTACATTCTGCTGTTTTACCATTATTTTACATTCTGCTGTTTTACCACTATATTACATTCTTCTGTTTTACCACTATATTACATTCTGCTGTTTTACCATTATTTTACATTCTGCTGTTTTACCATTATTTTACATTCTGCTGTTTTACCACTATATTACATACTGCTGTTTTACCACTATATTACATACTGCTGTTTTACCACTACATTACTGCTGTTTTACCACTATATTACATTCTGCTGTTTTACCACTATATTACATTCTGCTGTTTTACCATTATTTTACATTCTGCTGTTTTACCATTATTTTACATTCTGCTGTTTTACCACTATATTACATTCTGCTGTTTTACCACTACATTACTGCTGTTTTACCACTATATTACATTCTGCTGTTTTAACACTATATTACATTCTGCTGTTTTAACACTATATTACATTCTGCTGTTTTAACACTATATTACATTCTGTTGTTTTACCATTATTTTACATTCTGCTGTTTTACCACTATATTACATTCTGCTGTTTTACCACTATATTACATTCTGCTGTTTTAGTAATATTGCAAAAAACTTTGATTTTTTCATCTCAATTGTAAGGAAGTCTTTATAATATAAGATATGATTAAATTAATTCTTTGATTATGCCCAATAGTTTTTGCGCTCTTGTCCAAATTTCAATTCTAGTCTATTAAAGGCTGAAGAAGTCATGATATATCTATTACAGTAGAATCTGTCAATTTGAATAGATTCCAATAAGGCTTGTTCCTCTTCATCCAATATTTTGAAAAAATACAACAAGTAAATAAACCATAGAATATTCTTATATTAATTAGTGATATAATAAACAATGAAATTCCTGAAAGATGGATAATATGCCTGCCCTAACTTAACCTTAACTGGACAAGTATCATTAATGATATCGTTTGTTTTGGAACTGAGGTTCACCATAGATAAAAGCTGTGAATGTTTTGAACCTTCAAATGTGTAGAAGCTCTTTTTTCAATCCCTAACATCTATTCAACTTCCCCTTTGCCTTTCATTTTCATCTGTGCATTATGGTATTTTTGTAATTTTAGTCACAAGGAAGAACTGAAGTAATGTTGACCCTAGAAAAGGTAGTAGGAGGACTGGGGTCAGCTGGTAATTCCTGTCACAAAGACATCTACAAAGCTGCTAGACAAGCTATGACAGATAGAGCTATGGCTGTGAGATTTGCAGCTGCTAAGGTAATGACATTATTATAATATCCCAGTTTTACATGTTTATTTTGGCATTATTAGATTTTTATAATTCTTTGATTAAAAATTATTGGGCAACTCTGTTCTTGAATTGACTTTGAAAATTGATTTATAGAATTGATTTTGGGAACTATATAACTTTTTGTTAGACTATTCTGGCATTTTAAGACTTTATTTTTTATTACTTCGGAATCCACTCGTTTGTCCTGAAATAAGTTTATTTACACAAAGTTTGTCTACAAGTCAACTGTCATTATTTCTGGTTTAACCCCATGTATATAAAATATGTATTGGAATTTTAAGTTGATTATGTACTTATATAAGATTTTTATGATAATGTAAGTTATCTGAATGAAAATAGAACTCTTGAAATATATTGTAAGATTAAAATCAATATTAGAGTGCTCAGGCTATTATATAGGATTTATTCTCAGACAATAGTTAATCAGTCTTATTACAGACAAGCCAACCCTACTGATCATAGTGTTATTATATTCTTATCTTACCATGTTTAAATCACAATACTGGGTTAATTTTGTGATATTTTCTCATCAGATATTCTCACCTAATCCCTGCTCTTGATTTGCAATAACAATTTGAATCAATCTGACAGTTCTGATGTCTCTATGTAGCCTTTTGATATTTCTCTAAATATTCATTAATTCATTAATCTTTCTCTCATTGTAAGGTGATATTAGAAATTTATTGCTAATGACTTTTGGTTCAGAAAAAGCTGGATTCTATCAAAAATTTGTCATAAATCTACAAGAACAAAGAGTAAAATAAGAGTTATCAAGTCCAAAGACTGAAAATTAAAACTTAAATTTCAAATCAGATGGCAGAAGTCAATTCGAACTTCTTGTTTTCTTTAGATCAATAACTGATAAAATACAGAGATAGAAGATTATAAGTTAACAAATAGTACCATTATAGTTGTTTAGATTATAAAGAAGAGTAATTTTGTTAACCTTTTTACCTATTGATATATAGTAAAATGATCTGTATATCTTAATAATATCATTACATATCTTATAACACTATCAGTAGCATATGTTATTAATCAAATATTTCAGTTCTAATGGACTGAAGCAAAATTCACATATTTTACATTTGCATAATATATCCTACACTTTTTGTCTGAACTTTTTTCATCATCCATTGAGAATCTAAACACGGAAGATTGCTGCTAGTACAGGCCCGTGAGCATTATAAAAATTTTGTATCCGTTCCGAGAACAGTTGTTGCGTATGCGTCTAGTCAGCCAAACTGATTCCATCAGTTTCTGTGAGCAGATGAAAAGACTGCTAGAGGATTTTTTTTGGTCTTCATCTGGTTACTAGGATAATTACCCCTTTCATTAAGAGTTTCATTAAATTGCATCTAGGAACAGCAAATCGTTTTTGAACTGTTCTATGAACGCTTGAAATTGTAGTATATTGCAAATGGTAAAATTTTATGGTACTTTCCGTAGAGTTCTTATGTAAGAAGGGCTTGTGACTTAACTAATTGAGTACCCAAAAACTTATATCTTTACATTTCTCCTTTGAGACAAAAAATAGTCTTAACTGTTTGAGGGGGAATTTATTTATTTATTTTTCTTCCAACCTAATTTTGGTTCAGGTTTCTGTATTTTGTTACTGACTATCAGAGTATGATTTGTTTAACTTATTTAACTACTTATTCTAAACTAATTCTCTTATCATATGATAAAATACTTATGAGAACCACTCATTAGAAAAGAATAGATAAAGAAACTTATGAATCTAATTTTGTCATTAGACATATCGCCTTGTGGTGCCTTGGCAAAATTTCCTTAATTTTGCACCTTATGACTTTTATTGGCCTTATCAGGTGCATAACAGACACTTATTTCAATGCTGCAACATCTCTCTTTATTAGCATAAAGCTTAATTCACCACAGATCTTATAGGTGTTGATCCATCATTGACTATATTTTACAGTGTCTTCTAATGTCACCCATTTCTAATTTATCCATTACGGATATTGCACAAAGCCCACTTGTTATCTAGTCTAGGTCTCTCATCCATTGACTATCCTTAGTATGATGAGTCTAACTATTTGAGTACAATTTGTTGATAGTGAACAGTATTTTTACTGGCATTACATCAAGTATTTAACAAGAGATAAATTATGTTTTATTATCATGATAAGTGATAGTTGGTTATAATATAAACACTCTTCCCTGTATTTATATAACCTTTTTCTTACCTTGTAAACATGCTTGTTGACCACCTATTATCATTCTTCTAATAGTTTGTACCTATTCTTTGTGGGTTCAATCATCATGATGAGGCATAAAGCACTGTAATTTGTAATGGATCTTGTTAAGCATTATTGTAATGGCGATATAATCTCTTTCCAATGTGAATATTAGAAAGCGATCATTATGCTCAAGCTCAGTAATATTTATAAGAAAGGATGGCCTTATAGACTGGTAGACTTTATAAGTGATACTGTTACTATTAAAGTAAATGATGTAAGAAACAGACACTATCCTCTACTCTTAGTTTAGTCTATTCTTATTGGTAAATGTCTAAACTTTTCTTTGAACTTTCTCAGAGTAGTGAAATATAGGTCGTCTTTGAAGTTTTTGTGAATTTATTTCTTTTCCATTATCTCACATAGTAGATTTCTCAGTAATAAATTAATTTCAAATACCACAAATACTTTTACATCAGCCAAATCTTTTAAAGGATTGTGAAGTCTCTTTCTGAAATCTTCATCAAATTGCTGAAAATCAGACTTAAGCTTCTAAGTTTAACCAGTAATTAACAATTAGTACCTTATGAATAGTTCCATCCCAAGTTGACTTAGCTGCTAGACATCTTACCAAAAATTTAATATCATGGCAAAAAGCTGGCGTTAATAAACATTAGTGGTGTCTTTTTATTAACTTATATGCTTTTCAAAATACATGTAGATGATTTCTCACAGTAATGTGTGTCAACAATTTCTTATCCATCGATTTGTAGAAAATTTGGAAGGTCTTTAGATATATTTCTATTGGTATTTGGATTGTTAAAAAAAAACTCACCAAGTAAAAAATAGAGTTTGACATTTAAATGTTCAAGTTAATATGAGGCATAGGTAGATCTTACATTAAATAAAACACACTTTGTAACACACAATTGGAGTAATTTTTAAAGGAAGTACAAAGGTTACATGCTTTTAAAAGATTTGTAATTGTTGAAGTACAATATTATTAAGTAAACAGCCCTATAAAATGTAGAAGAAATTGGAAGATGTGATTAGTTTAGGGTTATTATAAAATTATGTTGACTTGGGTAAACCTCTTTACATGATATTACCATGGTAACAAGTAATTGTCCATATACAACTTGAATAACTATTATACTCTATTCTTTATTATTATTTTTTACTGGGTGATAAATGTTTGCATGTTTTAAGATAGGAATAATGTAATAATTACTTTATTTTGGGAAAAAGTCCTTAGAAATAAACCATTATATTGTTCTGATTTAATGCAATGACAACTTTTCAAAGCTGTGTATTCAACACTCAGTTAATTTCGTACTGCTTGCATGGTAACAGAAATGTTGGCAACCTGCTCTATCACAAAGTAAAGATACGCAACCAGCAAAGAAACTGATTTATAAATTCTTACTTCTAAATTCTAAACTCTTTACTGACAATGAAAAATAACATTGGTGGCAAGTGGCAGGTTTTCTCTGAGAAAATGCAACCTGAATATTCATCTTTAATTAATGGAAAGTCTCCATTTTTAGTTGTTTGAGAATGGTTTTGTTTTATCTTTTGATAATGGGAATTGAGCAACCCTCGAACCAATGGGTTTCCAAGGTTTTCACCACCCCACCTTTTTCTCATCTTATTTCGGCCATTATATTTTATAAAAAATAATCTTTGAATCAAATTTTGAAATCAGAGTTGTAGGGGTCTAGTGGTCTGACCCCTCAGCTCACTCCTGCTTTCACAAACACTTTCGTATGTAATATTGAATTAGTGAGCCTATGAGAGAGTTGTAATTTCATATTTTGTATATTTCAGTGTATGTATCAATTAGTAAATGAAGCACCATTTATGTCAACAAGTGAATTAGACAATGTATCATCATTATGTTTCCGGGCTTTAGATGGTTCTAATTATGATGTCAGGTGTGCTGTAGCTAAATTATTAGGAAATTTGATGGCTGTAGCACAAACTGCTAAACCCATTTCTAGTAAGTACTGAATTATAGAAGAGAATATCAGAATTACATATCTTAATAAAACTGCATGACAGGCTTTTATCAGATTTCACAATGTCAAGGGCTATAATTGGTTGTTTTCATTAGCATACAATCCAATCAAAAATCGGCTTTTACTAACTTCAGTGCCTAATGATGTCAAGCTATTAAATGCAGTTTGTATTAGTTTGACATTGTGAAGTAGAATGTCTAAGACATCATGCAACTTATTTGCATTGGGTTGGATATTCCCTAATAAATAAACATTTTCTATCTGGTGACAAAATGCCCTTATCTTTAAACGAATGTAACTTGTTATTCAAGTCAGTATGTCAATGACTGGTAATAACTAAATAATAGATGAGGTAAAAACTTCAGATTCCAGACAGTCAATTAACAAGGGAAATTAACATTGACTGTTGTTTTTCTAGTTGAAGACTGATGTCTTGAGGCAGATATAGATTGCATGCTTGACTTATGAATCTTAAAGTAATAGTGACAGGTAGTCCCAAGACAACTATCAAGACTTAATTACTGAGAAAATCATATACCCTATGCTCTATTTCATTTCATAGGTGAAGAAACTATTTCTAAACATGTCTAATTAAATCACCATGTGAAATATGTTTATGATTTCTTCTTTTAGATAAAACCAAACCTGTAAAAATAGATGATGTTCTCAATATATTGGCATCTGGTTTTCTAAAAGGAGGTATCGGTTTTATGAAGAGTTCCGCAGCAGGGGAATTAATTAAAGGCAGTTCCAGTATAAATCGAGAGATACGAGTTGGTGTTACTCATGTGAGTTCCAAGATACATTTATTCAGAAGAAATGCATTTTAAAAGGAAATTTCTGAATCAGTTCTCTACTGAGATGAATATCATACGTTTGATGTCATGATGACTTTCACAAAAATACCATAAAATCCATCAAAGATCAAACCTTTTGATAAATTTCCAAACAAAACAAATGCTTTGAAACATTATTTAACTTAAAAAGCAGTAGAGCCAATCAATAAGTTGAAATTTTCAAGAAGGAAATATCCAATCAATGAAAGTTGAAATCATCAAAGGAAATAAAAGAAATATAAAATAGGCCATGTTCATTGGATTATAACATTACATATTTATGAATATTGGTTGAAGCATAAGATATACAAAGAAGAGTTTCTTTTAACCAAGAATAAACATTGGGTGTTCTTTTATTCATAGAAATGTAGTCTACTTGTATACACGATCCAGCTATAAATATATCTCGTGCATATATACATACACTAGTGCAACAGATTGCTGGCATTCTTTCTCACAGTCCTAATGTAATGTAATGTATATAGCATTGACAGATGTTATACAGGAATTAATGATAACCAACATAATATTACTCCATACAATAATTAAACATGGATGATGAATAAATACATAATGTATCGATAATTTAAACATTAAAACATTATTGATGTTTTTTGAATCCTTCTGATAAAACATTTACTATAAAAGCATCTTGACTCTTATTTTAATGTTAAAAAAGGTATTATAAAAATGTAAATGAATAAATGAATCCAAGGCAATGTTATCAATTAAAAGTTGTTTAAAATGTTTCAATGAACTAGTTATGCAACCGGTTAAACATAAGCTACTTTAACTTGGACCTACTTCTACTACAACTTAAAACCTTTGTTTTGATAGTTAAGTCAGCTTTGTATGTCTGAATGCTACTGGATAACATAGAGCCAGATCTGTCATGTGTGCATTTTTTTAAACAATTCCCTGCCATGATTATTTTTGTGCATTTTTGTGACCTCTAAACATACTGATTGTTTTCGAAGTAATGTCGAGCTGGCTTAACTTTTATACCTGTCTGAACTCACATTAAAAAACCTAAACCATGCTCCAAAGATGGTTTGAGGGTTAAGATGCCTTGACCAAACTATAAGATAGAAATCATATTTGTTTTTGCCAGTCATGTCTAGCTGAACCATAGAAATATAGGTCACAATATTTCTCTGTAGATATTCTCTAGTATCAGTGGTTTTGACATATTATTGGCATACTTTGTCAAATATCTCATTTTGCATGAGTTAAAACTTCTCTGTTCTGGTAAAGAATGTTTAAAATCAACCATCCTGGTAGAATGCCTGGGAATTGAGTATGAGTAATTATTTGCCAATGTTTCAATGACCTAGTGTAAAATGTTGTAGAAGAAACAGACAGAATCAATTGTAATGTGATTTAGACCACCACTCTTCTCATATTTCTGACTCTCTCTCTACTGATATAATATAAACACACTCTTTATTTAAAACTTTTAAAGCTGTTAAGTTTATGGTCTAATTAGATTTCCTTCTTTCATTATCAATTAAATACATGTGGCAAAATAACTTTGTGTATATGGTTGAAAGCAAGCTAGGTTTTGAGGGAAATATATACACAATATTAATTTCCTTATTATGATTAACAGGAAATTAAGATATTGTTTTTAAAATATAAATATACCAACCAGATGCAGCAGTTATTAAGTATGGATTTGGCAATCCTATCCTATCCCAAACATCTATGAAAAACTGCATGCTGTGTCCGGCAATCTACAATGGCAAATGCTTAACCTCAATGTCTTTCTTTTCTAATATTTGAAGTTAGTGGTATTTAATCATCCCAAATTTACCCTCTTACAGTGGTGTCTGTCAACTTCTTGGTATATAATAGAAAGTCTTCAGTCAATTTCACCTTTGTCCCTATATTCCATATAGAGAAATTTTATTTCACATTGAGTTATTTTGTTTGACAGTTGTAAATGAAATTATACAATCTATTTTCAGGCATATGTGGAGTTTATAAAATGTATGGGAGGATTATGGTTAGAGAGAAATATGACTGTATTTTTAAATCATATATTTGATCTGGTAGCTAATCCTAGAGCTACACCAACACATGTAGATGCTGTGTATGCTAGAAAATGTGTGTTATTTATACTGAGATCTATAATTGGTGGAATGTTAGGTGAAAAGGCTCAGATTGCTGCTGCTAAAGAAATTTGTCAGACCATTGTTAAACAGATGAATACTGTTGGTAAGTAAATTTGAATTTCCCAAATAAAATAGCTGACTTTTTCAACAAGGATGACCTGATATAATTCCCCTAATTGCACACTGCATGTTATTTTTCATAATTTGATAAGAATTAAACCATTATTCTATATCTTAATGTAAAAATTTTTAATTTTTTTGAGCAGATAGAATATTTCATTTCATATTGAATATATTACATATATTTATTAGAAAATAAGATGGCTAATAACATGAAACATATATCTAACATATTTTTCTTGAATGATTATTGTACTACAAGTAGATCTCATTATTTTATATGATGTATTTCCAGGTGAGGCAACAGTAGATGTAGCAGAAGGCAAGTCTGGTGGTGATTTAACAGCTAGTCAACATGTACTAGTTTGTGCTTTACATGAATTAGGTTGTTTAGTACTTAGGTTGTGTAGCTCAGCATCTCCATTAGTTGCTGAACCTGCTACAGGTTAGTACATTTTTTCCATCCATAACTTTGCTTCCATTGTAATGAAGATGATGCTCTGATCAGAATTTATTTCTCAAGATTAACTAATAAGCAAATGAGCTTTACTGATCACAATCTGTGATAAATCAGTGAATAAGAAGAGGTCTGTTATTTTCAGGTATCATTGAACCGGTTGTGTCTGTATTAATCCATCCAAGTCATGCTGCCCGTCTGGCTGCATCCTGGTGTCTTGGGAGTATTGCTGTGGCTCTACCATCACAGTTATCCCCTTTGTTGGATAGATGTATGGAAAGGATGGAGAAGCTGAAATCATCACCTGAAGCTGTATCTGGTTATAGCAGTGCTTTAGCTGCTTTACTAGGTGGTGTTTATCAGTGTCCACTAGGTATACCTCATGCTAAAGGGAAGGTAAGTCTTCATTGAAATTATCCAAATTTTTATCATCATTGTGGCATTTTTTCTTGTGAAAGGAAAGCTTGTATTCTAAAATCTATACTCATGGTTTATTAGTGTAAGTAATAAGTACATAAATTTTGGGTTGAAACATTGATAACAAACAGTAGATCTACTTGATGTATAATATATACTCTATTCATTATGGATCTTAAAATTATAATTGTTTTCCCATTTTCAGCAAATATTTGCCATAGCTGAAGAGTTATTACGAACAGCATCCCAGAATAGTCGACTATCATTACAGAGAACACAGTCTGGCTGGTTGTTACTGGGTGCACTAATGACATTGGGTAAGCTCTTTAATCCCAGCTCTCTCTCTTGTAGGTGACATAATTTCCTATTCAAATGGCAGAAAATTATAGAAACTTCAGTGTGAATCTTGTGGTGCCATACAGTTGTTAAGCTCCAAAATAATGTTTAGTCCAAAATACTCCTCAAGGCTTAATTTTACTTTACTTGGCCCATCTGATTGTCATGAATTTTTATCATTTAAAATCCAGGATCGCATATAATTTGTCAGTAAATTTCAATTCATTGTTTTTTTACCAGGAACACCAGTCATTAGAAATCATTTACCAAGAATGTTATTATTATGGCGTAATGCTTTCCCTAGATCAACTAAAGAACTAGAAGCAGAAAAAGTTAGAGGTGATGCTTTTACATGGCAGGTTACTTTAGAAGGTCGTGCTGGAGCATTAGGAGGTCAGTGAAATAAGGATTATTACCAGAGTTAATTTGACACATTTTTGGGCATAAATATCCAATAGTTTTAGCAAAAATTGTTTTCTTTATTTGATGTTACATAGCTAACAAAATCAAGATGCATGAGTATGTACAATTAAGGCAGATGAATAGCAATAACTTGTATATATATTTACATTGCTTATTTTACTTTTTCTAAATAAACCACACCATACTTTTATACTTTCAGCAATGCAAAGTTTTCTACTCCATTGCCGTGAACTGGTTACAGAAGATGTCATTAGACGTTTATTAGCTCCCTTAGATTGTGCTTTATTAATGTTATCACAGTAAGTTCAATATCAACATATTAATTCACATGTATTGAACTAAAGTTTGCATGCATACAAAATAAAATACATTATATGCAAATAGCCAGAACAATTTTGGCATAAAATGAAATGATAATATCAAGAAATGTACTTGAACTTTGGTTTTGCCAACAAGGATTTTGTAGAATGATATATATTTGGTAATTTCATATCATACGCCCATGAGATTTATGTTAAAAGCAAGAATGGTACTTTTAATTTGTAAGATTTAATCATAAATTTCTTCTGGGTAGAGTAGAATAGTGAAAATATACTGATTTATACTTATTTTGACCAGGTTACCCAGTGTTATAAAGTTATATGGTAGTCATCTTAAAGCTAGTACTGCTATGGTTAGATTACGATTATATGATGTATTGTCATTATTACCACCAGAATCTTTTGATGGTTAGTTTATTTCAAACCAACTTTTTGAGAATCAAATTTCTTTAACAGTCAGAGCATAGTTATATTTTCAGAACACCCATTTACACTATATACAGTGGAGTGGAGAAATATTAAAAGAAGCACTCTTTTAAAAGTGATAATAATTTGTTATTGTACAGTGGGGTCTATATGGTTCAGTTTATTTATTTTTTACTAGAGGGCAATGTTTATAAGCGGTAAATGTATTGTTTTAGCTATGTATCCAAGTTTACTGAGAGAACTGGTGGGAGAATTCACCTTAACGGATAATCCAGCTAACACCACCACGTCCATGTTACGTTCTATGTGTCATGTAGATGATAGTGTTATATTAGGGTCCTGGTTACAAGAAACAGACCATAAAGCTATAGAAGATCAGGTAATTTTATCATACTTTATAGCCTGTTTCAATTATTATTAATCATTGTATCACTCTAACAAATTCATTTCGTTTAAAGGGCTACAGAGGTTTGAGTTAACTGTTAGATCTTTGAGTGACTAAAAGTGATGAAGATAAGTGTGAAAATATAATGTACATATCAATGAAATATTACTGTTAGTAAACATAAGTACATGGAATTAAGAACATATCAATTACTTGAAACTATATTTCACAAAATCTTGTGAATGCTACTGTACGACCATTGAAATATATACTAAATCTGTTTTGACAATCATTTTTCTACAAATTGAAATATCAATGGACTTTTTTTCCAAATGAAAGTTCATTAGGTTGAAAATAAATATAAATAAAATTTAATTGAACAGTTTTCAATTGGTGATTAAAATCAGTCTCCTTTCAATTTTCTTTGTTTGATTTTGATAATTGAAATACATAAATTAACGTAAGCAAAATCTACTCTGATTGTAGTTTGAACCAAATCGTAGGGTTGATACAGAATTAGTAAGTATAGAGGAATGATAATAGATGGACATGATTTTAACTTGTTATGCCGCTCAACATGCATGAAACAAGCTCCTGTAATGGTCAGCTCAAAACAGAACAAATTGCTGATTTGAATTTTATTGTCATCTTATTAAGAGCATTTAAATAGAAAATCTAATGTCATTTTGCAACTGAGTTTGGCTTCCAATTTAGCAAACCTTACTGGCTTATAATTCATTTTGGTACTGTAATTAATAAGGATACATAAAGTTTATAACCAAATAGTTTTTTTCGTCAATTTTCTCCTAGCATTTTGTTCTGTGTTGACCATGATATTGTTTATGATTTCCCTATAATGTCTTGATTTTAGATAATTTCAGCAGATATCTAAACTATGTCTAAACTATTATTTGATTTAACGTGATTGACCATATTTTGTGAGAATGTTAGAATAGATGATTGAAATGAGACTGAAAAGTTTGTCAGAATCAAAAAGTTTGAATCCTAAATTTACAATAATTTGCTTCAACTTGATTTAAGAAGACAGCCTACCTTTATATTGCATTTCATGTCTAACCTATTTTTACAGTTGAATGAATGAACTGTTGAATTCTACTTATTCTGTATTAATATGCACATTTTAACAACCGTTGCACTTATTATTAACAAATTGAATCATTATCTTGTATAACTTTCATTTTTATACCTTTATTACCAACATCAAAAGGTATTTTATAATAAATCTGGTTCTCTTCTTGCACCTTACTATATCAAATATAAATTTGAAAACTAGAATATGAAAATTATTATTTCTGCTATTAAACATCAGTTTGTTTGTCATGGTTTAAAGCTGATAAATGTGAATATTTTTATATTACAGTTACAACCCAATAGTGCATCAGGTTCTGGAGCATTAGAGCATGATGCTCAATCTTTATATGCCAGATGTCCAGCTGTAAGTATTTAGAACAATGTTTTTAGCAAAAAAATCTGAATTAAAAGTGTAGCAAATGAGGAAAGGATGATACAGGTTTTTTATTAATCTTGATTTCTATAAGATTATTCGGGAATACCAGGGAGAAAACAAAAAAAATTTTTAGAATATAAAAATTAATTTGATTATAATTTGTTAATACTTAAGGGTGAACCTATCCCAGGACCACTACCACTAGGTGTAGCTGTGATAGATAGCTCCGTCAAGTTATATGGTATGATATTTCCTCGTGTAGCACATAAACATCGTCTACAAATGTTACAACATTTTAATGAATGTATCAAACAAGCCAAGTCTGTACGACAACAAGCTGTACAGATGAATATATTCTCAGCTGTATTGTGTGCTTTAAAGGTGAGTTCAGTTTTGAATCTCAGAATTGTTTGTTGTATGTAGTTCTCAGTATAAGATATATACTCAAACAATAACTGTTTTCATTTTAAAAAATTAAATTTGGTTTGAACCTCATTGGATTATTTTGTCAACTATTTGTTGCTTCTAACATATTTATGTTGTATTTTCGGTATTTCGGAACTTGAATGAAATAATTATGTTGTTAATTTTATTTCAGAGTTTATCAGAAAATAAGCTAAATTTAGGACCTGATGATGTGAAAAAAGCTGCTTTCTCTCTAATTATGGTAATTATTGAACATATTTTTGTAACAATTTTGTAATACTATAATTTTCTAATAAGCAGAAATAAACAAAATTTGGCATAAGCAGAGAAGAAAAGTTGGATGAAAAATGCCATTTTATCGATTTTAACCCTTAATAAGGTAGCTTCACACTACAAAGTTGACAATTGACCTTTGATCATCTATTCAATGGCATATCTATCTTTTTGGAATGAAAACTTTAGTTACCAGTTCGGTAATCTAATATTCTCATTTAATACATAATAATTATTTATCTGAACAGGGAGCTCTAGGTAACTCTAATCCTATATTAAGATGTGCATCTGGTGAAGCCTTAGGTCGAATGGCACAAGTTGTAGGAGATAGTAAATTTATTGCTGAAATGGCACAGTACAGTTTTGATAAGTGAGTATTTTGTAAAGAGTTTCTATCTTGAATAGTTACAAATAATTATTTTTGATTAATTATCAAGTGTGTATATGACACATCATGAAACTTCTCAAATGTAACATAACAATATAATGCTGAATAATTCCTACCTCTAAAATAAAAGAAAGTTATGCTTTCCACTCCACCCATTGAGTTATTTTGTCCAAAGAAAACATCAAAATGTATTGACTTTGTATTGTAGATTAAAATCAGCTAGAGATGTAGTGAGTCGTACAGGTCATTCACTAGCTTTAGGTTGTTTACATCGATATGTTGGTGGGATGGGATCCGGTCAACATCTCAATACTAGTGTTAGTATATTACTAGCTTTAGCTAAAGACTTTAATTCACCAGTTGTACAGGTTAGTTATATATATTTTACATATGTTAAACCCTTCATTAGCCCATATGGTGCAGAAAAGTAGAACCTAAAGCTCCATTTATTTCATTTCATTTTAGATATTTTCAGTACAGTATAAAAATTTTCTGGAATTCTTCCTTTGCTAATCATATAAGATTGATACTTTCTACATTGATTTGAAAAAAACTTGCAGCCAACAGTCAAAAATATCATTATAACATTGTACATTAAACCCTATTGCATGGCAATTTGCTATACAGCCTAAAGATATTTTTCGAAGTATGTGAAATTAGACGTGAAATATGTAAATGCATCTCAATATTTCCAGGTATGGGCATTACATGCTTTAGCTTTGATAGCTGATTCTGGTGGTCCAATGTTTAGAAGTTATGTAGAACCAACACTAGCATTAGTTTTACAGTTGTTATTGACAGTACCTCCTTCTACAGTAGATGTACATCAATGTCTTGGAAAATGTCTGTCAGCTTTAATAACATCTATAGGCCCAGAACTACAAGGTGTGTATTTTCTACATGGGGTTTTATATTCTAATTCTTACAGGGATATTGAAGAAAATTTTATTGCCAAGAAAATTTTGACTGGTACTCAATTTTGAGGGAAAATGCTATAATTGGTGTTTACTGGTAGTAATTCAAACATGACTGGCTTAAAAAAATTTAAAATAATTTTGTTTATGTTCTAAGTATGATATTCTATGTACATTATTTTCTATATGCTCTTAGTCTAAATTAAATTTATCAACTCGTATTTGTTTGTTCCAGGTAACACAGCATCATTAGCCACTGCCAGATTATATTGTATGGTATGTTGTGCTATTATGTATGATCATCCTGATTCGTTAGTTCAAGCTGAAGCTATATCCTGTTTACAACAATTACACATGTTTGCACCACGTCATGTTAATTTAACATCATTAGTTCCTCAACTCTGTGTAAGTAGAATTTACATAAACATTAGTAACATTAACTCTTATCAATTCAGATATTGCATTAGTATTGTTCACAAATAATACATGTTTCAGATTATTGAGTTAGTTATGAACCATAGATATTACTATAAACTATATGGCTTGGACCCTTTAAAATGGCCAAAATTGAAATAGATATTCAAATCTTACCTTTATTTTAAAACAATAATACTTGTTTAAATCATCCTTTAGTAAACTAATCACACCAAAATAAACCTTTAAAGATTTGGACAATGTTCTTTTTACTGATTTGATCATTGGTATTTCAGGATACACTAATGAGCTCTCATCTATTACTGCGTCGAGCAGCAGTAGCTTGTTTACGTCAACTGGTGACAAGAGAAGCTAAAGAGATCAGTGAACAAGCTGTATCATTAGCAGGAGAAGGTATCCATGGTAAAAAATGTGAATATATAAGTGATACTGGTTTAGAGGGAACATTATTTGGAATGTTAGATACAGAAATAGATGAAAAGTTAATATCAGATGTTAAAGATACTATAGTTAGTTTATTACAGTCTCTAGCTATCACTAATTTATCACGATGGATTAAATTACTGAAAGATGTTCTCTCAGCTTCTACTGGTAAGTTATCATTGAACATAAACAAGTTTCATCAGCCTTATTAAGTCTTTAATTCATTGGAAATGAGTGTGTTGTTAAAGATAATTAGAGTAAGATCCTAGAATATAATGCCAACATATAGTATTGACTGCCTCAAGTGACTAATATCCATTGTTGGTATACGACTTACAGTATTAAAGGTGGTAAATGGATGTATATAAGCACTTTAAGTTGATTTTTATGACTTGAGTTCACATTACGTTAGATCAACAGACAATGTTTTTTTATTTGATGACTTCATATGTTATTATAGATGCAACAAGCACAAGTATGATACAGAGTAATGATGATAAAGGTGATGAAGATGAAGAAGATGATGCTACATTTACTACAAGTACACCAGATGTCACACATCCTACTGTAGCTCCAAGATGGCCGACTAGAGTATTTGCTGTAGAATGTCTCATGAAGATTATAGCAGCTTGTGAAGAAGATGATAGTCAGTTTGATCTGTCTAAAGCTAAAGAAATATTGGAAAAGACTGGCAATGGTAGGCACTTTTTCAACTTAAACTGAAATATTAATTTTGATTAATCTAATAACCATCATGAATTAAATGAAACCATGCATTAAGAGAACAAGATTGGAATCGACTTGAAATAAAAACTTGGAAATGCAGGTAATTTTGTGACAAATTTATAGGAAATTATACTGATTTATTTTTATTGAATTATTTCAGGCAACTATTTGGCTCTACATTTACCTGATCTGATAAGAATGGCATTTATAGCTGCTACCTCTGATAGTAATGAATTGAGATTAGCTGGATTGTCAGCACTTGAGGTTTGTAAGAAATCATGTTTCTACCTCTTTTATATTTGTGTTTACAGTAGTATTTGTAAATTAAGTCATAGTATCCTTTTCTTTTCTTTAAACTGGTAATACTATCAAAACACTATGGGTATATAAATGTAGAAAGATGTAGATATAACCAAACTATTTTGTATTTACAGAAAGTAATAACAAGATTTGCCACAGTACCAGAACCAGAATTTCCAGGTCATGTGATATTAGAACAATATCAGGCTCAAGTTGGTGCTGCCTTAAGACCAGCTTTCTCTCCAGAAACACCTTCTGATGTTACAGCTGCTGCTTGTGAGGTAAATATTTAGTGCATAGAATTGAAAATGACTTTTTCCCTGAAAGTGACAGGAGGAATGAAAGTAGTCAAAATATTAACACAAGACTAACATTTTCAAGACCATTGATGATTTGAAATATTAAAATTGTTATGACCAGATAAACTTTGCCAAAAAAGCATTTGCCTGATACAAATATGTAATTTTGTGTGTGATACAAGTTTATTGATACAAGTGTAATATTTGTATGATTAGTAGTAATATTTGTATAATATAGTTTTGTATTTTTGGTATATATTAGGTTTGTAGTACATGGATAGGTAGTGGTGTAGCACGAGATTTAAATGATCTTCGTAGAGTTCATCAACTACTAGTATCATCTCTAGCTAAATTAAACACTGGTAAATCACATACACAGATATATAATGAGAGTGCTTCTACCATGGAAAAATTAGCTGTTATTAGAGCATGGGCTGAGGTAATATTTTAAATTTATTATTATTGATTGATAAAATATTAAAGCAAGTGTGCTGTGATTGGGAAATGAAAGGAGTAAAGTGTTGTTCACAATGTTGTCATAGCTACTCCTTTCTTAAACCACAAAAACTTTACTCCTGAATAGTAAAAGCTAGTTCTAAAATTTGATATGATTTGTTGTCAGGTATATATAGTAGCTGTTAATAGAGAAAAAGAAAAACATCAAAAAACACAGCAGAAATTTGATGAAGATGATGAAGAATTTTCAGAATACTCAACAGAAAGCTTATTAAGTCTAGTCCAGCCAGAGTTATCTGCTCTTAGTAATCATTGGTTTAATGCCCTTAAAGATCATGCTTTACTCTCTTTACCGTCAGGTATGTTTAGCTTAAACCGGTTTTATACAAATAACAACATGCATTTAACTGCATTTCCTATCCAGCTAAAGTGAATGTCCATTTTAAAGAACAGTTATCTGTTTCAGCTTTTTGAAAATGTTTTGCCTTCAGTCCTACTAAAAATTTTTGCTTTCTTATGTAGGGCTAATGTCAGTCTCTCAATTAGTATATTTTTATCTTATTGTCAATTGATATTTTGTTTAATTTAGAATATTCTAGTCAGTTACCACCAGATGGTGGAGCATTTTACCATCCTGATACAATAGAATCAGCTAAACATCATTACAGAGCTGCCTGGCCACCAATATTATATGCTCTGTCATTATGGTTAAATGAGAAAGGCTTTGCTGAGTTAAGTGATAAGATGTTATCAAAAGAGTCCAGTAACAATAATTCACATCCAGCTAATGCTCCAGCTAATATGAACCCTGAAGAATTACATCAAGAGAAACTCTTCCTCATCTTAGGTTGGTATTTGGTAGCATTTTGTATGAACTTTGTATTGCTATCAATACTTTGAAGACTGCTATCTAGAAATTTGTTGGTATTTGGTCTCTCTGCAGGGCTTTAAGAATCAATAATAAACTGGGATTGTGAATAAAGAAGGGAAGATATAGGAATGAATCATAAGAGTTGCTCAATATTATCTTGTTTCTATTAAAATTATTTTTCAGGTATCTGTATGGAATCTCTGTGTAGTCCTACATCAATGTTATCTGATACTACTGTTCAACAGTGTTTACAAGGTCTCTGTGCTCTACTAGATACCAAATGGCCAAGAACACAATTAGCAGAAGATCCTGTTTTATGTCGGGAACTGTTAAATGTTATGCACAGGTAAGTAAGAGTTTCAATGCATTATATGTTCATCTTACTTTTAGACTTTGACAGAAGAAAGTTTGGTGGAAATTTAAAGCTCTCTTGAAGAACATGTTGATACTTTGTGGAAGCCTTTCCACAACACCCAAGATGTATTTTTCTCAATTTTATTCTTCTGAATCCCATTGAAAGTTTGATTCCAAAAGAAGAAATTCCAAGATGTCCTAAATATATTTTAGGTGTGTCTTAAAGGATTATGTACTGTTCTGTCTTTTGACCTTGGGACTAAACATTTAAAGGACTAAATTTTGTTATATAGACATTGTGAATATTTCAGGGTAATATTAACAAGAGATGGAGTAGAAATACATAGTTTAGCTTTAAATGTTGTTAAACAAGTTGTTTTAGCTGCTGAAGAAAATTTAGAGACAGAAAGATTACAACAGAAAGGTAAATATCATTTCATCATTTAAAGATCTTATATCATAACTTGAGATGGAAATGGAATGCAGATATACTTGCTAATGATCTACACTTTATTAACCAGACAGGAAGGTTGCTAAAGGAATTGTCAAGAGATAGATTGTTCCTGATGGTTTTAGGTCATTAGGTCGTTACAATATTAATACTGAAATATCTGATTATACAATGAATATACATGGTCCATCCACTTATTACTTTGGTGTTAATGTGAACATGGTAAATTTAACCACTAGATCAGTAATACAAGAATCTATTATTATTACAGAAGCAAGTATTCAGTCACCAGGAGATGAAGTAAATAACACGTCCAATGATATTAGTTTATTAGGAGAAGGTGAAACTACAGGTGATATTGTACCTGATAAATCAGTTGTATTCGCTACTCTAGAAGTATGTTTATGTGTTATGGTTAGACAAGTACCAGCTCTCAATCCCTCAGCCCCTAGTACAGGATTCCAGATGCCAACTAATTTAACCAAGTTATCAGAGGAAAGTGTGGCATTGATGGGATCATCTATTACTGTGATGTGTGGCCTTCCTAAACTTTGTTCACCTGCAGGTAATTAGGTTTTAACATTTTACAAGTATTTCTTGTAAATAGGCCCAACTAATTAATTCTGACAATATGATTTGTAAAAGACGGTTTTCTAAGTTTTGCTTTCAAGGCAAATATTGTGGATTTGTCAGAATCTTTAGTCATAAATCATGAAAATGAAAAGATTTTTATGATTCTTGAGGAATATGAGAAGTACATATCTCTGTTTAACTATATATACAGTGTGTAACCTATTTTCGTGGATATAACGATTCATCACCAAATTTTGTCAAAGTTAAAAAAACGAATTTTTTTTTTATGTCTTAGATGTTTCCTCAGATATTCTACAAAATAATTAAAATTGGTTTATTTCGATTTTCTTTATGAATCCTTCACTTTGACCCATATTTCATGAGCAACCAACTCGGCAATGGTGGCAGAATGCCTCAACTATTTTTGTGTACAATATATGATCTATAAATAAGTCTAGAAAAACACATTGTATGCATACTGGGTGGTAAAATTAACTTCTCTTAGTATTTATCTTTAATATCAATTAATTATAACTATACCTAGTGACAATTCCTTCAAAGAACCACGATTTTAAAAAAAAAATAGTGACTGACAAAATAAGATACGTAGCATGATTTATTGCTAAAAGTCACTGAAACAACATAAGAATAAGGTCCATAGAAATTTTCTGCTGACATGGAATCTGTTAGTTGATCACGTGACTTCATTCGTTGGACTACATTCTAGCAGATGACACGTGGAATTCCAATTACCGCTTGGGATTATAAGGAAATTCCACTGATAAAAAATGGTGACGTTTGGTAATAACTGAAATCCACCATTTTGTATTTATCAAAGTATACATTAATACATTTTACCTTGCTTGAAACTACTGGATTCATTCTACTAGCTGACATTGTGCAGACAACCCATGTTTATCAAAACAAGCTAATGCGGAGGTCGCGCAAAGTCGCTCATGTAAATTATTAAACATTTCCGGAAATCCACGAAAAATAGGTTAGCACAAAATTAGGTTACTTGTCTGTACAAGTATTTTGTCTTTCTATGCTTCAGGTGGTTTATCTATTTTACCCACAATTCTTCACCTTACAATAAAGGCCATGAAGGAAATATGTCCAAGATCCAGTGAACGGAAATTCCCAGTTTTTACAACCCCAGTTTTACAAGGTCTACAAGAATTATGTGATTCACCTTTTAGTGATGTAGACTCTATTAGTGAACAATGGAATAATATGTTACAGAGTTCTATAGCTACTATCTTACATTATGGTAACCCTAGTAAGTAAATTCCCCATCCATATAGCTGGTTTCGCACACAGATCTTACATATATTTGATACTTGTTTGCCTTATAACTGATGAGAGCTTATCTTTAGCTTGTTCAGAAATGAGATTTGAGCCAAAGAGGGTTGAGCAGAGTAAGCCAAATTACAAATCATGTACAATCATCATATGGAGACATCTTTTGTGTCTTCCTTAATGAAGAGCTCAAATTTATCTTGTTTTTTTTTTAAGAATTTGGGGCATTTTACATGCAAGAACCAAACAAGTTAACCTTTTTAAGCAAGCAATTGCTTATTCAGTTATTAAGAACTAATTTGCTTATTATTGAATTTATTTTAGGTGAAGAACATAGTGGTATTGATCTAGAAACATTAATGTTAACATTATCTGTATTCACCATGTATACACCTAAAACTGTAACAAATGTACCAAAACTTCTAGATCCTACATTAGAGATCTATAAACAAGCTTGGACTAGTAATGATACACATGTAAGTATTGAATGATTAGTCTTATATATATATAATAAGTTAAATTAATCAAGATGTGGTGTTTGTTTCAAGTTGTGAAGTATAGTGTAAATTGTAAGTATATGAAGTAATATTTAGTAATAGTTATTCTATAAACAGATGTTTATAAACTCTGATTGTGAACATGAACATGAATTTGAATCATAGTGAAAATACTACTCAGCTTTACTTTTTGACTGTTATTTAAAAGGCAATTCTTATTTGTTTGTTTTGTAAGAATTTAATTCATATTATATATCTTTTCCAGCTTCAAACTATGTGTGTACAGACATTGATATCTATTTTACACTCACCAGATATACAAATATCAACACCCTACATACATGCCTTATCATCTAAGATTATAGAATATTTATATAGTGTTTGTAATAAACGCCCTACAACTGACTTACAACTAACATTAGTATTAGAATCTGTTAAAATGTTAGAGACTTTAATCTCAGTGGCTGATGAAAAGAAAAGTAAGTGTTTTGTCATTTCTAAATGTTTTTGTTTAAGATCCCCAGTATGATTTCCAGTGATCACAAAACTGTGAATACAATTTAAGTATTTGCATGATTGCAGGAAAGGCTCAAGTAGATTTGGTCACATCAGTTAAAAGGATTGGGCATCTGCTGGTCTTGCAATTCGAGTAAAACTATAAGTTTTATGACATAGCTTTCACATAGGCCCTTGTTACCAACATAACATGATCAGAATTACAGGAACCACAGAAAATTTGTTGAAAATTTGTTTAAAAGATGCAAAAACTATTTTAAAATCCAAGTAACTATACAAATATTTACGATTTACGATTATTTGTTCCTATTTTTCAGGAGTGACATTGGTAGCATTATTAGTACCAATTCTAGTTTCATACTTACTAGAGGAACACCAAATCAAGATGGCTTCTCAAGTTTCTATATCTCTACATGACCAATCTTTATCTAAATTGATGAAAATTGGTCCACAATATCCAGATGAGTTCCGTACAGTGATGACAACATATTCTGATTTAAAACCCAGATTAGAGGCTGCTGTTAGAGCTAATCAAGCTAGAAAAATGCAACAGAAATCTCAACATGCTCCAAAGAACTTAGCACAACCTGCCAAACCTACTATCACATTGAAAACAAACTTTGCCAATTTTACATAATGAAAGTTTTGCAATGTTTTCCTCAAACATCAAAACATTTTGACAGTTTGCAGTAAAACTACCAGAGGCAGATTTACTCAATAGGATGATATGTTGTACAAAGTGATACAACAAGGTTGATATATCATACTAAGATATATTTGAATATAGTGGGTGAACATTTATCATGAGATGATATGTTTATATTTAAATATTGATATATAAATCTTATCATGAAATATTAGTGCTAAATCTGTTATTGTTAAAAGTAATTATTTTATTATACTCTGTAATATATACATATTGTATTTAGTAAGAAAATGTACATATAAATTTTATTACATTCAATATATTATTGTTATCAGTAAAGTTTACTTGATAGATTGAAAGATAACAGACAAGCTGGACTTGTTAAAGTTGAATATCTCTTGAGAGTACTGTATATGTACAAGTTGGCTAGTCAAATTCAAAAAACATTTGGGTTACTTACAGCAGCATATCCATGGACAGAAGGTTGGTATTTTACTAAATATATTAGTATAACTATGTTTGGAATAGATGTTATAATAATTGTAACTGAAACTATATAAAACTGCTAAAAATAAACCTCAATGCCATCATCAGTATTTTGTCCTGTAATATTTGATTGGCTGAAATTATCATGTTTAAATTAGCCTTCCTGTGAATCAACTGTGTTATTAATATACTGTGTACAGTATTAGAAGAAAAGAGTAATATAATGGTTGTATGTACAGTACATTAGTGCTAAATAATTATATATTTTAAATGTTTATTGTAACATTATGTTGTGTATTATAGTAAATATTTTATTCTGTATATTAGTAAATCATTTAAACCTCATTCCATAAATACTCTTTGTATATATTTCATATTGTATAGTCCAGCCAAGATATTTCTTCTTATCTGGATCAGAATGAAAATGTAAACACGAACAGTCCATGGCAGTGTTTATGTTTTGATTCAGATCAAAATTAGCAGAAATATCTTGGCTGGACTATAGCTGTGGTTATCTTAAGGTGAAAAAGTCGGACAAAACAAATGTTTACAATTGCTGAATTAATGATTAATTGCACAATAATATTCGATGTCATGTTAAAGGGACAATCTTTTAATTGTTTGCAGTTGAAATAATGTATTAGGCATTTTCAAAAACACAAAATAAGTTATAATACATTTAAAGAATATACTTCTTTAAGTTCACAAGAGTTTAAGTGTGTTACCATAATTTGACCCTGAGCTTACAATTTGAAGGTATTAATATTATATCATTTGACTATTAAAAACGTGTATTACTCATACATACATATCAACGTTAATAACCATTTAGACTCACATGATTATTATAGCTTAAAGCATATTGTCCACATCTTTGTTTTAATCTTTTGTTTTATCCAAGCTTTGTTTTATTTGCTTTTAAAGTAATTTTTATTGTCATAAATAAATATTTCTCTCCTACAATTCTTTTCTTATATTTGAAGTTTGAGAAGTGTTTTGTCAAAGTATTTGCCATTAATTGAAATTATCAGAAATCAGGCTTCTATTCTCAATATGATAATTCTAATGAGCAGAACAATCAAAAATTTTAGTCATCAGAAGTTCAAACAGTTCATATAGGGTGGTCAAGATTTTTTTTATATCTGAATCATTGAAAATTGTAGGTAAGAATGAAATGAAATAAATTGAGCTTCACATCTTTCTCTTCTGCACCTTGTGGGCTAATGTAGATGGGCAACAGCTCGTTAGCTGTTTTGGAATCTTTAGTGTGCACATCCTGTATCACATATTTACTTTACATTAGGGCATAAAAACCCATAACATGAAAGGAAATTGTTATTTATTTGCACAAAGAGGTACTCCAGTCGACCCAGCTGTAAATGGCCATGACAATGTGGGAAAGATCAAAAGGTTTAGCCAAAAACCAGCTGGTAGTAAAGGTCTGTGAACTAAGTTGTTATCCTTGTAAAATATAGTTGTTTGTTTCTTTCTTTCTTAAAAATCTAAAATAATTTTGAGCTATTTCTATGAAAATTCTCTGACAAAAACTGTTAAGAGTTGAACAGTGTTGCCCAATTTATTTTTTTTTAACATCAAATTTTAAAACAATGATGTGGTCCTAGGTTGGAATTTCCATCTTTCCAAAATCAATCGACTCCCTGTTCTGGTTTCAGGTCTGATGACATGTACAAAATCTCATCTAACTAATTCATTAATAATTAATATATAATTAATATATCAATTATTAATCAATAACAGATAATCGTATTTAAACTGTTGTCAACCACACTTCGGCTTTGTTTGGATTGGCATGACATGTGCTTTTAGCTGCGTAGTAATATGTAAAATAGTTCCATAAAGAACTATATGAAATTTAATAAAAATGGTTGAAATAATATCATTTTTTCCATATTCTATCTAAATCAACTGTATAGTTTTTTTTCTTGAGGTAAATTTTCAAAATTATTACATTTGCACCGTCCACGAAAATTGTTGTCATGACAACAGTCGGAATGAAAGCGACAGTGATTGTGTTGTTGGGTCATATAATCTTACGACGTTGCTTGCTGACCACAGGGCAGATTTCATGAATTATCAACCACGTACGTATCATTCGCTACAAAATGTCTGGACAAAAGCTTAGTACTACCGATGCTATGCGACTTGGTGAAGAAAGAGAGTCTTGGTGTGCCGTTGAGCGACAAAAAGAATCAGATTGGTGTCGAAAGGAGAGAAAACACGATAGAGATCACTTCACCAGTGTGGTGTTTCAAAACCATGTTTCTGAGGAACCAAGATGTACGTTTCAAGTAAATGCACCAACTCACAAGGAAAGGAAACACTTTGATAAACAATGTAAGTTCAAAGATTCGATATATATATATAAGACAAATGCACCAAGACTGCAATAATTCAGTTGGCATTTATTTTGAGTAATTTTCATTTATTTATATCAATTAATGGGCCTTGCGTAGGCCTATAGCCAAGCTTTCATAAAAAGGAATAAGTTAAAAAATGTGTTATTTCCTCTTTGTACTACCAACATTTGATAGATGATTTTGTTTACTAAGAATACTCTCAATCACATGTTGTGATTCATTTATTCCCTATATATTTGGTGCTTTCATTTATAACTCTTGTGATACTCTTAACTACTATATATTTCTATTAATTTGATATGATCTACCGTTTTATTACAGATACATGTCAATGGAAGGTGTAGAATCAGGGACACCAGCATGCAGTGCATGGTGATTAGAGACATCTAAATAACAATGTGATAAAGTATCAGTATTATGAAAGAGGCAATATTTTACCTTATTTTTAATACATTTTACCCACAACAGTATTATTTTAATTCAAATGCAATAAATGTTTTAAACTTTTATACTTTAATTGTTAAATAAACTTTATGTTGATTAAAACTGTTTGCATTTTCCATTCTAAAATCTCCTGAACATGACTTTTAAATTGACCATACAAGATGCAGGCAAAAAAAAATAGTGAGAAAAGAGTTTGTATATCAGTCTATCCGTTACAAAATTTGTTATAGATGATCTCCAAATTTCTCCTGCATATCAGCTTAAATGTACTATAGTTTAGATTGTTTTCGCTTTCAGGGAGATTTTAAAGAGACAGATGCACCATTTAGGGGGTTGGTATGAGTCTTGAATATATATAAATAATCTTCAGGAGTACTAGAAATAGACGAAAATCGCATAATTCCTTCGAAAATATGTCAAATTAGGAATTTCTTATCCTCTTTTTATGAATGTATTTTCTATAAAATTCCCCTTTCTGAGACTAAGGTACAATCAGTAATAAACATAACCCTTTAATATTCCGCAATTAACTTAGACATCATATTTTTGGATTTAACAGTCGTGGCTTGGAGTTAACATAAGGCATAACATTGAAACCCAATATGGGCAATATTTTCAAGCCCAAGGCATTCATTCCCATCCATTATTGACCATAAGAAAGAAATTATACATGAAATAAATTTATTTTGTTATCAATCTGGCTAATTTGGGGTATAATTTTATTGCATTTTGAGATGTAGTATGTTTAACCTCTGATGGATCAATTTTCTTGACCTTTGCGATGTAATCCACAACGATGTTTAAATTAGATGGTACATTTCTCTCCTACAATAGAAATTTATGTACATTAGTGATCTAATCATTTTATTTTGACCATCTTAACTGACAAAATCCGATTTTCTCTGCTTGAAGCTGTGTCTCTTTTCCGTGTACTGTCTTGTACATAATAATCTATTTAAGTCAGTTACAGTAAAATAATTGCGCTGGACAAAGGGTCAAAAAGAAATTGAAATAAATGAAATGTCATCCTACCTGCTTGACTGGACCAAGAGCTGGTGAATCAGTCTCTAACAGAAGATTTTCAAGAGGAACTTGTGATATTAATTTCTGCTTCTTACACAAACCAATATGAAAGAGAAATTAAAATTATATTATCACATAAATGGGGTTAGAAAATTACATACTTTTTCATTGGCAATATTTTGATATGGCATGAAACAGTAAATGACATAGTATTTTGCTTATCTCAGATAATCTGTACCCGTTTAAACTTGGTTTAAATGTAATAATTACTAAATAATGCTTAATTCAAGGTTATTAGACTTACATTGCCATTTCAAGATTAAAACTCACATAAATTTTAATTGTCAAACCATATAAGTGTATTTTGTAATAATTTTACAATCTTTCATGAATCATATAGCTGTTATTACACATATGTTGTAAATATTAATATTTACCTGTTCACTCCTGACTATTGATGGTGGTATACTAAAATAATATCCCTGTCTTACACCTTCCATAGCAACTGATGGCTTTCCATCAAATGCATGAAGATGAGCTTTAGTGACACCTGCAGACATGAAATTCAAACAATTTATATAATCATCATTGTATTTATCAAAGGTAACTAAGTAGACAAAAAGTTCACAGATACTTCTAAAAGAATGTTACAATACACACTGTCTTTTTATGTTATGTATTCAATTTTAAAGTTTTTTGTCCATAGCCATGAAGTTGGAAGTTTGTAGTGTGTTGTAGGAGGACACAACAAATAAAATTTAAAAAAAAGTTGGATACCTAATTCTTTTAATAAGGCAATAGTTGGTCTTCCTGCTGATCTTGAATGGACATTTCTGAAAGAAGTAACAGAGAATATACACATGGCAGAATACCTCGTAAATTATTCAATAACTTATAAATTGACAATTTGATCTATGAATTGTGCAATACTTACACAGTCAAATCCATTCTTTTAGCAATATCAACCTACAAAATAATGAAATTTTAAGAAGATTAATTTGTCGAGAAGAACAATAGTATAAAAAAACACTAATGTAAGAGAAAAGTAAATCTACATTGAATAAACAAAATTGTACTTGCATTTTATGACGTTACTGTGGCAAAGGTCCTTTGATATTACTATTAGCTGCTTTTGCAATAGTGATGTCATAAAAGGAATTAAAAACATAGGTAACTATACCAACCTGTTTGATGAAGACTTGCTTTTGTTCATCTTTACTGCCTTCTTGACTCACAAATCTTGGACTGAAATCTAAACCTATCTGAAACAATGATGCAAATTATATATGCCAAAGATATGCAGAATTTTCCTTTGATTTTTCTTGGATGATTATTGGAATTTCAGTTACACTTTAAAAGGAATCCTTTGGATCAGAATTGTATAGTTTCACAGGTATGTCACGCTAAGACATCTTCAGTACCAAGTTTCAACTAGCCTATATTGATAAGGTGGACGCATAGCCATATAAGACTTTCTGTCAAAATTTCCCATTGCATATAACATGGCATTGCTAATTGTATGAAACATGAGATCTACTCAGTACTATTTGAATCAAGTAAAAGAATTTTAAACCATACCTCTCCAATACCAGCTATAACATCTTTATACTTGTCTATTAATAACTCAACATCTTTATCAAAATCCTGAAAAAAACATACATCAAAAATATATTATGATGGAGCATAATTCTTAACATATTTGCACTCAAGACTTAATGCCACCTTAGTTTCAAACACTTGTAGAAATAGCCTACAGTCCACCTCCAGTTATATTTGCTGGAAATTTGAAGCACTTATTTCATATTGTTCAAGAAAGGAATAAGTTGTTGAAAATATTGTCTTTGATATGAATAATGAGAGAAAAACTTATCCCTACCTTCAGAGTTAAACTTCTTTGCTCTGTCTGAGTGCCCTGTAATCATAACATATTAGTCATAAATCTTGAAAGGATGTAATTGTAAATTAATAACCTTGCTACAAAATTGTTCTCAGCCTTCTTATTTAAAATATACTTTTAAACTATAGTTATAACTAAATACTTGCCTGAACAGGATGAAGTCCAAGGCATGGAACTATAAAATCTGGAAATCTGTTTAAAAAGAAAATTTGATTTATAACATGAATTCACAAAACCTCAATTACCAAAACCCAGTTTTTCAATAGAGATGTTAGTGTGGATGAAAGATTTTGATTCAAAATAACAGCACTGGCCTTTAGCTAGGTAAAAAATGACTTTAAACAAATAGACCTAGGGATATATTTACACTTTAATAGTAATAACTTACACCTACCTTGATTGTAATTCTATTACTTTTACAAAATCCTCTTTTGTAATTGTTACAGCTAATGCAGCAATCACCCCTTTCTGAAATTAATCACAAAATCAATTCAAACTTGGGGATTGCAGTTTTCATAATTAAGATCATCTCCTTATGATTTCCTCATGTTCTAAATGTCAGGCTCCTGTTTCTCAAAAAATCTTTTGATTTTTTCACGAGAGTGGTCAATCAAAATAAAAATTAAATTCAAGAAGTTTTTTGTTGAGACTTGTATGATTTGTATTTTAAAAATCCCTGAATGAAGCAGATACTTAACTATTTTTGCATCACTTATAACTGTAGCTATGTCCTGAAATATATAATCCAAATTATTAGAATCTTTACTTTACAGCTTTTAGCATTGTACCAATTAAAACTGACAACTGGTTAAAGGGTGACTCTTGACACAAATGGAATCGAAGAGTCAAATTTCGATGGTGAGCTGTGAATACTATTACTGATTAGCTTAGCTACAGGAGCTGTAGTTTGTAGCAATGAAAAATCCAAAGCCCAAACTATTACAAATATGAAAGAAATTGACAACAAACCTTTTCAAAATTCGAATCTGTTAGATGAGCATGGACATCAATCATTTTTGACTAAGCAGATCAAGGGAGATGCAGTAGGCCTAAACACTTGTTTTTTACTTCAAAAATGCCGTGCAATGATTTGGAAATCGAAAGTTTATTTACATTTCTTGTGAGTTTCCTCCCTTGAGATAAAACGCATGCGCACTTGAACGCGCGGAGTTTTCAAAATGGCGGAGTTTGTTGACTTGAAAATTTCAGACGGAAGTCCTAGTTGTGATCTTGAATTTAGAAGCGCAATTTACGAACAAATTGACCAAATAATAGGTCAAAATACTACCTTGTCAGACTCTCAGAGGGAACGATGTAAATCAAGATTTAGAAAGGTAACGAAGAGGTTTCCCCCCTAGTCAAATGTGTTAACTGTTACACTTGCGCCCAACTTATTTTGACTTTTAAGCTTTGTTGCCACGCCCACCTATAATTTCTTTCAACTAATGTTGTCGATTTTCGTATGATTTTGCATACTCAGAGGTGTGACCTATTAATTAATTAACATATACGAAGGATTGTAATCTTTATAATAATTATACATAATCAATGCCTTAGACAAAATTGTGTTTTGGTCCCAAATAAAGTAGACTACATCTATAATATCCAAAACGGTCCTTTTTTGTTTAGATTTCAGGGTTATCAAATTTTTGACATGAATCATTAATGGTCCAAGTTGTCTTTAATCTTTATAGTCAGAGTCTTTTATAAAGTGATCCAGTTGTCATCAATGTTTGTCTTAGTCTTATTAAAAGTGGTCAAAGCTTTATAACATTGGTCTTAACTACAGAATGAATTTAACCTTGAACTGTGCTAAAGAATGTCGATCTTTAAGAACATGATGTCTTATTTATCTGTCTTATCAAGAATCCTACAAAAGCAAAATAATGTCACTTTTAAATGCTTTATAATTTCATGGTTTGTTTGACCCATGTTCAGTCCAAGCATTATTGTCTGACTTCAATGAACTCTTCAATTTTTTCTCTTAATTCATAAATATTCAAAATAAAATTTTCAATGGTATGCCATTTCTCTGAGAATGTTTTCGAGTCCATAGAAATATGACGTTCATTGATTTTACATTAGAAATAAACACACTTTCCTCCCGGAAAATTCATGGGAAAATGGTCCACTTTTCAGACTGAAAATTCCCCTCTGTAAAATCATGTTTACAATTAATATTTTTTTCAGTGTTTAACATTTTCATCAACACAAAGACTAAGACTCTCAATAGTATTTTGTATTTGATAGTTCAATTCATATGAAAATGATTGTCAAAATTCAATTCAGAAAACAGTGTAGTCAGAGAGTAGTGATATGAGAATAGTTCTATATTTCATTTGTATCAATATAAACTTTTTCTACATTTTTTGAATAATAATATAACTTTCTATGCTTTTATGTCACTTGTCTTTCTATTTTAGGTATATGAATGTCTACAATCACAAAAAAATGAATATGGTAGGTCTTCTTTCCTTTTTGAATGAAAAAGTTACAAATTGCAGAATAAGAAAAGTGCTGGTATATAAATTACCATTTAAATTCATGTGAATTAGAAAATCAGCTTTAAAATAGTTTGGATGTTACATAAATCCTATTGCTATTGAGTAAGCTTACTTTTTTAACACTTGAAATGTTTTGATTTTGTATACCAGTACCGGTAGTAGATATCATAATTTTTCTTACAGAAGCAGAAGATAATGCTGTAAAAGAGGTTGCTTCAATGAGAAAGAAATATCCAGTAGCTATCAAAAAAGCCTATACAGCAATTGTTAATCAAGAAACCCTTGCTTTGGTATGTTATCCACCTTGTGTTGATTTATGTAATTTGTAATTAAATTTCGCTTTATCAAGTAACATCATTTGAATTTCTTAGCTGCTTTGGATGAATTGTTTATTTATGAGATTATGGTGCTTTGCTGGTTTGTTTAGATTGTCAAACTTGTTTACTATACATCTTTGACACACCATATGATTCTCAAAATTTTTTTCTTCATAAAATGTATTCAATACCATGCAGATATACTAAAAGTTTATACACAATGTTCTATTTTTTTTGAAGAGTACATGTACTATCAAGCCAGAGCCTACCAACCACTGTGAAGAAACAGTAGTCAATACAGATGAAGATGTTGTAAATGAATTCAAAGACATGAAAAATGTACTTGTCTCCCTTACTGAGGTATGTTGAGCTCATTATAGCCAGTTTCTAAATGATTGGACAAATTGAGTTATAACTGCTATAGCTAATATAACATATGGTCAATTTAATCATCAGATTTCTTGAAAGATAGATCTATCAAGCATGGTTATACCTTGACACTCCAAGATTTGCAAATTTGAAGATATGTTGTAATACTTATTATGGATATTTGAAATTTTTGTTTTTTAACATTATAAAGAACAGTATTACATTATGAAAGATCATCTAAATCTTTCTTCTTCTATTGTAGAGTACATCTAATTTAACTATGAAAGCAGAACGTTTAAAAGAGGCCATGGATATAGAAAATGGAAATAAAGTACAACAAAAGACTCATATAAGTGATTGTAGTAGTCCACTTCGAAAACGACATAAGACTCTTAACGAAACAAATCATATACAGAGTAGTTGAAGGAAGGAGTGTTTTTACATAATATTGGTTTAAGGAACAACATTTCTTAGGATTTTTAATAACCCTTCAGCAATGAAAATGAAAAAAACTTATGTATCACAGTATGCAAAAATGTTGTTACTTGCAATAGAACAGTGGTGTGATGTAAGATGATTTATATCGAAATGAATAAATTCATACATTTGTATTTATGTACTAAAGAAGAGTATATTTTTTTTTGAAAAATTTCAGATTTTAATGTTTTATATTTTAGTTCTAGAAAAGCTCATTTGTTATTATGTTATGATTTTTTTTTAGCTTATATAATGCAATTCAGTTTTAAAATAATATACTCCTCATGACAGATATTAACCTATTAAAGATAAATGTAGTAATCTGTGTAGTATGTAAGAGCTTTTGTTGAATCTTTTGATAGAGACAAAATAACCTTGGTGTGCATATGAATTTATATAGTTTACTGTAGTATCACACACCATCTACTACAAGTTTCAATTTGACTGCTATATATTGAGGATTTATGAATGTAGCGGAGGGGGAATTATCCATGCCTGTGCATACTTTGCTAAACATAAAATAACTAGTTGATATTTCTAAAATTTAATATCTTGGATCCCATAACATGTATTAGTAACACAAACTGATGGACCTTACTATTCTACAGTACAAAACTTCTGGTAAAAATACTAATTCATGATTGAACATGTACTACTTTGATTTAAAGAATACCAAACTAAATCATAACTCAAATTGTGTATGAAATCTAAGAAGTTTCACACAAATTCATATGAAAATGTGGCATTTTTTTCAAATTTAAACTAAAAGATTAGACATTTGTCTACAATTAGTGTTAAAACCAAATTTAATAATTGATTACAAAATACATGATCATCTAGTGGCATGACACTGAAGAATATATGAAGTATATGTGTTCTAAAAGGAGAATATTCACACATAACAAATATAATTCCAAGACAATAAACATGTATGTATAATTGAGGGCAAGTCACTATCATCCATAACATGAAATATTCATTAAAATAACTTAAAACATTCAGCAACTAATTGCTCACTGTCACTTTAATTAGGTAACTGGAGTACTTTTTAAGGCTGAAAAATCAATCAGATTTTAAAGTTATGTTAAAGGAAAGGATAGAAGTTTCAAACATGGTTATTAAGTGTCTTTATTCATCAGTTGGACGTACCAGGTGCCATGACATACAATATTTCTCTATCCCATACAATATTTCCATTAAACTAAGTAATTATTGAAATAGAAGTGGTTTCAATAATTATTAAGTTTTTTGGATTTATTGCATTATAGAGGGATTACATTGTACAATTATGACACCAGGTAAGTCCACTGATGAATATAGACTCATTGCACCAAGTTTAAAAATTTGTATTTTTGGTCATCCTAACCTTTAAAGTGTGGTAAGTTACCAAGTAATACAGTGATAATAAACTGATCATCAGTTATAACAAAAATACAAGTATATATACATCTTTTCTGAAGAAGAAAAAGGAACCAAAGATCTGAAACAATCCCTTTGAGATCTTTTACAACAGCTTACCAGTATATTTCACATCTATACTTGTCAACAAATAGACATCACAATACATCACTGTTTGATCTATGGCATTCATAAATTTCATTGAACAATATTAATGAAAATGACAAGATCTTGAGAAATCTTGTTCATATGTACAACAAATTACCAAAATGATGTTACTCTAAGGCCTTGGAAGAAGGCACAAAATATACAAAAAAGAAAAATGCCATCACGAATCATTCATTACAAAATTTATATACACAGCACTTCTGATGAAATCAAATTGTTACTTCAAATCATTTGCACAAAAAAAATAATAGCAGGACAATATTTGAAATATCAATTTAAAAAGCACATTGAATATCACATATTTATAGAGCTTCACCAAAAGCTTTGTAATTGTCTTCAGGATCATTCAAGTTGGAAATATTACTCGCCAATACGATCAAACCCACCCAATATATCTACACTATGTCTGTATTTGGCTGTCTTGAACTTCTCGACTGGCTGGGTAGTAAACTTTAAATCCATAGTTGGTTCTCGAGAACGAGCCCTGAAAAAGACAAACAAAAGAATGTCAAAGACAAATATATTGTGATCTAAACCACATTCAATTTTTTTCTCATCTCTACCTTTTGTTCAATATTTAGTTGTTGATTGATATCATTCAAATAATGTAATTTATGAAGTAAAAAAAATTATTTGATGAAACTAGTGTGCCTTTATTTTTGATTGTTTGTAGACAAATAACTAAACTTAGTGACCTCAGAATGGAAGTTATGTCAACAAAATTGATACACAACTGATAGCCAAACAAAACAAAAGATTTTACCCTGCAGACACACAAAAACCTTGAAAAAAAAAACATGGCAGTTTAAGTAAATATGACCCTGTAAAAACTGGAAATGTTATTGTCTTAAACTCCACAACAATAAAGGTTGTTTTTTCTTGTAAAGTGACATATAAAATAATTCAGCATCTAACTAGGGTATAACTTCAACAAGTTTTTTAAAATGACATCAGAGATTTTATTAATAATAAACTTAATAAAAAAATACAACAGATGATAGTTGGATCTCTTCACAGTAATCGCTGTCTCAGTAATAGGATTGAACAATATACTGTCAAATACGCTGAACAGATCGTCTCACTCATATTTACCATTTTTTCTACCAACATTATTATTAAAATGCTATAATGCTGCTCACAAATTCAAAGTGCTATTATCTATTCCAAATGAATGTATTGAATATAAATGAATTACAAAATGACCTAAAAAAGTTAAACATAATCTTAGGGCTTCTAAAGTGATTTTGAAAATAGTTGTTATCGTTGCAGTAGGTCTCTTATTCCTTAGAAAGTTAATGATATGCTACAAAAATACCTTAAATTTTTTGACTGCTTTTTTCATTATTCCCTTTTTAGAAAAGAAGTCAAGTTACGATAATGTATAGTTATATATTAATTGTATGGTGATATAATAATAATAATCAAAATATATTCATAATTTACTTAAAAATTGTCGACTAAAAACGTCACTGTTACATGTTTTCACAAGAAATGCACTGATAATGTTATTGTAGATATACTAATTTCAATGTGACTGACATTTTACAAAAAAATCTTTATTTTATACGATATACCAATGGCTTCATGTTGGGCCAGAAATTGGACACAAATTTTGATCCATAACAGACAGATATGATAAAAGGTAACCTTTCAACTGAAATGGATCCCAGCTTTTAAAGTTATGCCTTTTAAGAACACAAGAAGAGATACCATTTGCATATATGTAGAAAGCATTCAAAGGTGTCTGTAAACAAACATCAAAAACAGCATTTTAGATTATACCTGTCAAGAATAAGAATATCAAGAGATACCATTTCAAAAAGTACCTGCCTATAAATTTAGTATTGCATATGTCAATAATATGTGGAGATAACATTCCAAATTATGCCTGTCCAGGAACATCCACTGGATGTATAATATCTAAACTATGCCTGTCAGGAACATCCACTGGATGTAAAATATCTAAACTATGCCTGTCAGGAACATCTGGATGTAGAATATCTTAATCCATCAAATGATATATACCCATAAGAAATATTAATGATAAATATCACAATATCCACTTGAACCAATATTGCAAAGCCTTACCTGAAAATTTTTATGCAATCTACAAAATAACGTACATAGTATAACTATTTTCAAAAGTGTATTAAAATAATAAGAAAGTAACTACATGTCGCAATCTAAATATTGAAAAATTAACATGATATAAATCTTACAATGCTGACAACTGGGAAAAACCATTTTCTGTTGATGTATCTGATATACATGTATCCAAGGAAGTGTTCATCAACTTTTTCACTTTCATTATTTCTCCCATGGCTAAAAAATCATTCCGATAACCTTGTCCTGTTAAAATCTGACGTAACAAACTTGAATCTGAATTTAAAGTGTTTCGCGATCTTTCATTTAAAGAATTTTCTGATATCGAATTTGATTCTTGAACCTGATCCTCATCCGTTTCCATTTTTTCTGGTTCTTGGCTTTCACAATTGTTTTCAATATCTTGAAGTTCTTCAATATTTTGTGCAACATTTTCCTTATTATCCACAATCATTGCACAAAAAAACAAACAAGATCCTTCAAATGTAATTTCAACAAGTTGTAACGTTACGGTCTCCAACACAAATTTTCACAGAATAAAATCTCACACATTGAGTCAAGTCTTTTATAGTTAACCACAACATACGAAAACAAACTTCAGAGGCTTTAGCCTACTTACAGCTGTCAAACAGCCAACGTTATCAGGAATTTACTTGGTACACAATACGACAGTCTCTCAAAAGCCAAACCAACACAACAAACCGCGTATTTACCAACAAATTCAACACTGTACAGACAAACCTGACCTTGTGAGGTTCCTTACAAATTACTTTCAACATAATGTATGAAGGACGTACCATAGTTCAGGGTCAGTGACAAAACCAAACCAAATATTCAATTCATTTTCTACATATTTCTAGGAAAAGAGTCTTTGTTTCAATTTTAAGAGCTATTAAGTTTGACATGGTTTTGAATACTAAGAGAACAATAAATCAAGATATTCATGTTACGTATTTGTGTCAAATACAATTGCTAATTTCTGTATAATTAAAATTTTTACAATTGGATAAAAGAAACCTGAATATTCATCTTTTGTTAATTGTTTACAAAAATAAATGTGTTAAGTACCTAAGTACTGATCAAAATATAAATTCAAAATTATTTTTTCTATTTGAACTCTATCCTAACAAGAGCATGTTTGTGCTACTTGAACACCTCATGAGACTTAATTTGTCAAACATACATCCATTTACAAGTAACTGTATAGCTAATAATGTAATTTTAAAAGGTTTAACTTAATGTCTTAACTTGTCCAATCAATCAATGGTTTTTTGATGTTATTTGAGTAAATATGTCACTGTTCTAAAGCAAATAAAAGATACTATGAAACATTTGTTTTAACACACCATTTTAAATTGTAATCAAACAATTAAAGTCATCAGTATGAACCTATGATAACTTTTAGATGACTTTCTTCTTATGATATGACATTTTAATCAAATCTCTTACTTCAGTCAACTCTGCTACAGATTTTAAATTTCAAATATAAATGCCATTTCATAAATTATTACAGAAAGCATGCTGACATTTACCTCTCATTGACTGATTGGTCACTTAAGACTTTTTTTATCAAAAAATGCACAGAAGATATAAAAATAAATTTAAAAGACTTTATTTCTTTTGTTGCATCTCTTGTTGAGCAAAGTGATTTTTATCAATCATATGCGAAAATGCAAAAATCATTGAAATATTTGTTCAATTTCAGGTGGCCATTTAAAACCAGCTTCCCCTTGGTTCACAAAAACACATCGTGATAGGATAGCTACAGTCCTCAATTTCAAACTGTTAGTAATATTTTCAAAGTCAGTTTTGGTCAATGACATCATGATTGCTTACAATAAATTGAAGGCAGGAGTTAGGACAGTATGGTTTCACAAAATTATTACAATATTAAAACTACTTACTGGATTCATGACTGTACAATCAACTTGAGTTGTCGTAAATGGATCACATTTATCAGCACAAACTAACACATCAGGTAGGGGGTAAATACGTAGACTTCGATCGTATGCCCAGTATATAGGAGAAACATGAAGTGGTAAGGGACACAGATGGCCTTGGCTTATTATTGATTTAGCAAACTGTAATGTCAATTATTGTTTTCAGTAGAAATATTTTTTTATTATTTGATTAAATGTTAAAAAGGTATAGTCAGGAGCTTACTTTATTATGTAAAGCATTATCATTTATTGCAAAATGTGGACAGATCTAGGTGTACTGTATACCATGTCATCCTAGCAAAATGCAGTACATCTTATGTGGCAACAGCATTTTGTTTGATATAGAACAGCAGGATTTCATACAAAAATTCAGTTATAATTTCAAATAACATTTCAAAATGAAACAAAATCAACTTACATGAGTTGGAACATCACCATCAGATGGAAATTTAACACAATTTCTACACATTTTAGTCACAATATCTTCACGGAATATGACTATTTCTTGAGTACAGTATTGTAAACGACAAGGATTAGTAGTGAATATTGCTGATGGTATTTTACGGCGTATTTCTTCTGTTATACAGTTAGGAATCGGAGGTCTACAAATAATAAGAAATGTTTGAATTCAGAATTCCAAATACTCTTTTGATATCAGGACATCAGAAAAAGATGTATATTCATTGTTTTAGGTTGTAACTCAACAACCTGAAGATTTTAGGTTTAACACTGACCTTTATTCCCTAACATTTAATACATTTTAATTCTTTCACTTTACTATTGTCATTCGGTATTGTCATACCTTATAGTTAAAATCCAAACTAACAAGACAAAAAAATTCCTCTAGAAAAGTGTAACGTTTAAACTTTTGTGTATTGTACAGATTAATTTCATTCTTACCTAGGTAATATAGTAGCTGGACCAGGATCTTGTGGGCCAGGCACAAATACAAATTTACAAACTTCTAATAAATGTGGATATTCACTCAACATCTCTGCCAAGTTATGAAACGACTCTATAATATATAATTCATACTTAAATATTTAATCACTACCTAATTCATATGCATATTAATGATTTACTAATAATTATGCAAAACTCTTGATGATTCAACATATTTTACCAATTAGTGGCTTTGAAAATGAAAGTATAAAGGATAAATCTTAAGATATAGATGTATCAATAGAAATTGATCACAAAGTCTTCTATCTCACCTTTTAAAGTTTTAATATGCCCTGTACCATGTGGTGCACTAGTAAAATTACCACAAAATATAAAACAGGTAGGAGGGAATTCACTATAACCAGCAAATAATTCTTTTAATTTTTCCATTACCTACAAATCATAAACAGCGGGTACTGTCAGAACCTAGTGATCTACAATTAGTCATCAAATCTTGGTATACCAGTAAACAGATAATCATGGAAAAGCTGTTGCAAAGAGGTTTGACAAAGTATCAGCTCATTGCAAAGAGTTCAAGTGAAATATAGATTTTACCATCTATGTGTATTTGAGATGTGGCTAGATTTTCTACAATAATTTCCAAATTCTTTGGACTCTAATATGGCCAAAAAGTTTCTGACTTACCTTAACATTATCTAACCAAACATCTGATAATATAACAAACATAGCATCTTGATTATCTTCTTCTATTTGTTTTAATTTACTCGAAGCTTTAACACTGGTTGTAGTTGGTCCACCAAAAAAGTTCATATTACCAAAATAAGACCTACAAATAGATAACAAAACTTATAGTTAAAAATGAAACTACATGTAGAGTAACGATTGTATTGATTCTCAAAGAAATAATGTAGAGCTATAACATTTTAACTAACATGCTAAAATATTACTGCTTTCACGTAGAAACCTTTTTTTAACTGATATTCCTTGCATGGAATCTGTTCAAGGTTTTTGACTAAATGTGAACATTTTATTAAGAATGATAAACCTACCTAGAAGATTTAGCAGTCTCTGTTGGAGGGAAACCAAATGCATTAATATGAAATAAATCATCTTCATACCAGCCTTCAGCTAATACAAAGGAATTCTCAGTAAATAATCCTTTATGAAAGTTCTGCAATATGTTACTAAGGAAATATAAGTATAAGTATATTCTGCCAATAACTTGATTTAACCCTTTCAAGATTTTATTAGTGTGAATTTGTTTTACAAAATAATTGATATTGAAATATTTACTGACTGGTAAGGCGTTTACTTGTTTATGTAAAGAAAGTGTAGAATAGGGGTATATCAAAAGGATACAGCATTACTGATATCTATTTGTACAAAACCAGTAGGGTCTTCTATATACCATTTACCCTATAAAACAATATACAAGAGTTGTACCCCCTTGTGGGGGTGAAATATAACATTTACTCTGTTAAGTGACAAAGCGAGATCAGTTGGATCTCAATCAGTTTATAAGGATTGCAATGATCATTAGCTTTGTTTCAATTCTCTTGCCTTGCTTTATCATCAAACAAGGTCATATCGTATCAGTTCACAAGGAACAGCAAACAACAAACAATAGGCTAACCTTCTTTCTGATTGTTGAGACAAACTCAAGGTTAAATAAATAAACAAATATTGTATTACCTCTTTCATCTGTGTGAGCATGCCCAGTACAATAATATCACCTAATTTAGATGTACTCCCTAATAAATATTCTATTGGTTTTAACTGAAAAATAAGTTTCTAAGTATTATACACCATTATTGCACAGTATACATCAATATCATGTGTAAATGTACCTGATAAAGAAAATAAACTTTGCTTTGTTATTCTTAATCTTCCTGCCTTAATTCTGTTGTTCAATCAGCTAGTAATGTTATTGTACTTTTTTCTGAATCTGAATATGCTTGAATGACGTATTTAATATATATATATATCTTATAGTAAGTAAGTATTCTCAAAATCAACCAATTTTCTGTAGCTTTATATGTCCCAAAAAGAAGATGACTGGTGTGATTAATTCATATATAATGCCATTAAAAAATCAGAAAAACCTGAAATTTTGTATTTTTTTCATCTGGTGCAGCGCCTAAAACAGGTGGTGTAAACAGATCATGGCGTAATGTTCTCTAAAATAAAGATAAAGATAAGGCTTTATTATACAATATAGGTCATAGGATATAGAATTATAATAAAACCTTTCAATTTCATGACGCACAAAGTTTCTCTACAGTTCCACTTTTGTATCCCTGTGATTCTATGCCTACTATTTACTATAGGCAAAAGAAACATCACTTCTGAAAATACTAATAAAATAAACTCTGGCAGTTAAATGTTCAGTGGTCAAAACATTCTACTGCTTCCTTTTGCCTTAAAATTCCTTGAACTCAGACTTTCCCTGATGTCTTAACTTACATAATATAAGCAAATGAAAATAAAAGTATATGTTATATCTCCATAAATTTTCATTTGCCTTTGAGTAAAAGTTTTATTTTAATAAGAATAATAGCTATTATCAAGTTCAGCATTTAAACCATCAATGTCTTGTTTCAACAAATTTTAAAAGAACTTACAGGAAAAGTTCATTCATCACACAATGAAAGTTACTGAGTAATAACATGTGTAAGTGTAAGGATACTCTGATTATAAAACATTATATACAATACCTGATGTAAGACAGTATATCTTTCTCGGAACAATGTAGCTTTATCTTCAGCATCTCCATGTAACATGGGTGCTTTAATACCTAGACTAGAATTCCTGAAACAATCAATATTTTGTATTTATAAATTGCTCAAACTCAAGTATCTTTGTTTTTTTGACGTTTTTTTGTTCAAAATCTGATATCATTTATGGATACATCTAATAAAATATCTTATTATTCAGTGATATCATGTCCTGGAGGTAGCAATGTATATATGCCAAAACAGCAAGAAATTAAAGGGTAATAACTCTTAAAAAATCAGGTAAAATATAATGTCATATTCTATATGAGAGAATACTCTTACTTACGGTATAAATTTTTTCCTATCAGGATGGTAAGTAAATCTGGGGACATTGAAAGCATCAATAATACAAAAAACATTCTCTCTGAAATAAAATATGTCATTTAACTCAGACTTGACATGAATGGTACTTTTTTCAAAAATTTAAGAAAACAAAATATTCAAGATAGCTAACTAAAGGGAAATAACTTGATTTCCCGAAGTTCTGACTTCAAAACTAAACAGAGCTGTATACTGAAGAGCTGAAAACATGTCTTATTATCTATAACTTAATCAAATTTTGCTTACCCTTCTTCATTTTGTTCTTGATTACACTCATGGATAGCAGCTTCACAAACTGACTTATCTATCATTGAACTTGATACTATAATGGGAAAAGAATGGTATATATTATATTTACAATCTTTGATTCAGAATTTGTAATATTTAGTCAATGATGACTGCTTTAATACTTTAGTACTATGTACCCGGTATATTTCCAGTATAACTTGATACAGATCATATCCCTGCATAATTTAGAATGAGCACATAAACTGAAACATGAGAGGAGAATCCAAACTTACATGGCTGCTTTTGAATTATTTCAATCACATGATCAAGCCATCCTTCTCTGTCACCTTCATCTATTGGTAATAGAACATCCACCAGATATTTACTCGACTCACTGTCAACAGAGAGAACATAAAAAAATATTACTGTTTTACTAGTGAAATTCCAAATTTATAATTCCAAACCAAATCTATTATTTGATCAATGACCTTGGAAAGTTTAAAATTTCATTCTGTAATCCCAATAATTTTTCATTGCATGATTTTTTTTACCTAATCCCAAAGGCAATCTGAGAGTCTCTTTGAGGTGCTTTTGGATTCTGTAAATAATGTGGACGAACGGATAGAGAAATGCATCAATATCAATCATTCTATTTGTCTATTCAATTTCAATAATATTACGTGTAATAATTATAATAACAATAAATGTAACTTTATTGCTCACTGATTAAAATGTTATTTTTTACTAGAAAGAAGACACGAGGTGTTTTGACCGTATTAACTGTTATAAATGTCCATTACCTCCGAAGAGTGAGGCCATGCATTTTAAATGCTGATGTGATAATATTCCTAAGTTTAGCAGCCATTTTAACTTCCCGCCATAATACGAACAATCCGATAAGCAAGTTAAACCAAAAAAGGAAATATTAATGATATGACACACAGACATCATAATTGCTACCCTTGAAAAAGCAGATATAACTAAGCAATATTTGATAACTCAAAGATGTAAAATTTTCTTTTGTCAGAGATAAACGTAGATTTATCGGATATAAGATAAAGTTGGGGAAAAACCCACCAGATTAAATAGAGTAGTTTCCCTTACACTGTATTGGAATCTCGACCTGTTAAGGTTGGCTGAGGACTTCCGACTTCTCAACAGATCCGTCACAGGCGACATATTAAGAGAAACGCTCCTATCGAAATTCGTCGGACGTCTGCAGGAGAAATTTAAGTTCTACGTGTAAGTTTTCAGAGAAGCGTTTTGTGTAGGCTTACAACAAGGAACACCATAGGCCCTATCACCGTCTAATGACGACTATCAATGCTGGTTGGTTGGTAGATGACAAGTTAACGTTCGCTTCCAGCGGATGCTGATATCGCAAACTAGGTAGTTGTTGGTAGTCGTAGTAGTTGGTAGTTGGATTGGATCAAATTGGATGATTCGGTGTTGTTGGTTTGGACATGCTCCTGTAGGACATATATATAGGCCTCCATACAGACCCTGCCGTTTGCGATATCAGTATTCGCTGGAGCGAACGTTAACTACCTACCTACAGACCCTGCCGATAAGACAAGACCATGTCACTTTGGTGTAATAGGTTTAATTTTATATCATGTAAAAAAAAAAGGAGCTTATTAGGCTCACACCATAATTAGGCGTTTTGATTACGGGTATCTTTAATTTAAGCTACCTGAATAGTATAAAATAACTTAACGATTACATAACGATACATAATATAATGTAAATCCTATATATAAATATATATATCAAATGAAATTAAATAAAAATTGATACCATAAAGTAAAGCAGACAGGAGTTTTGAGCATTATATCACTTGAAAGCATCTACATTAGGCACATATCATTGGTTCATTTAAGCGCAAAAAATTGAAAATTGACATGTAAATCGTTAATTTCGGATATCATTGACTAATTGTGTAATTTGATCAAATATAGGCCTATAGACTATATAAAGTCGCGAATCAGATGGTCCTATAAAGGAAAAAAACATATACACACATTTTCCTATGCAAAAGCTAGACCATTCATTGATGTTGCTTATTATACGCAAAACAATATTGTTCAAAAAGTAGACCTATTACGCTTTTTGGTAAGTACGCACTTACATTTACGGTAAGCCTAACTGTCGGGAATTTTTACATAATTTTGGTCAATTTCGAACTGCAGTGTAGGCCCTAATTAATCAATTCTCTTAATCATTTTCATTTTCGGTTTGTCGGATCTATCTTTTTCATTGAACAGCTAATTTCCTATAAAGTGGATTAGAGAAACTCGGATCTTGACCAGTTGCAAAATCTTCTGAGTCACCAACTAATATCAAATCATCGTCATCTTCGTGTAATCTTGTCATTTGAAATTGGCTGAAAATAGAATCACATGCAATTAGCATCAAATTTTAGTTTAGGGACAAGCTACCAATCCATAGAACGAAATTAGGCCTCAAGGCCACGGTTCAGCATATATGTAAATACTATCAAGATCGACCTGAAAACTCACATAATCCCGTAAAATATCCAACAAACTTTCGACTTTTTATATAGGTCTATGTCTTTTCTATATATAGCGGAGTCTCAAGAAAAGACGAGTCGTCATTTTAATTTTCAAATGAGGATAATTCATGACACACATGGATTTGAAGGCTCAAATTTCAACGGTGAGCCATGAACACAGGAGATGTGAACACTTATGGATAAGTTTAGACTAAGTAAGGTACGATAGGCCCAATGGCGAAGCCGTAAGAGAGAATTATTTAATAACTCAATACTAGTACAAATATATATGTATAAATATCTATCTCGTAAAACTTACAATAACATTAAATTCCTCTTCCGTCGTAAAGCAAAAATAACTATTACCAACATTGCAATGAAAAAGAAAGCTACACAGGACACAACAATTGGTACAACTACATCAGACCCATCTGTAAAAAAGGAATAAGAAACAAACTAAAGATCAAAAACTAGGTATCTTTTCTCCACGTAATGAGTAAGTGGCGATAACAACCAGGATTCCAACTCGACCATGCATAATTCCACATTCATATAGTCATAGCGTTGCTGATGTCTCTGATCATGAGCAGAAACAGTTAATTTTGTGTAAAATAGGCTGAAACTTACCAGGATTTTTAGAATTCAGTGGTTCTTCGGTACTCGAAATCGGCTTAATGTTCATTGATGATGAAGTTGTTTTCTCTGATACGGCGTCACTAGTTCGACCAGTTCTTGTAGTTGTAGGTGGTTTCACTGATGCTGTTGCTGGTTTCACTGATGCTGTTGTAGGTGTAATTGGTGTTTCAGATGTAACTGATGGGGTTGTAGGTGTAACTGATGTTGTTGCAGATACTGATGTTGTTGGAGGTGTAACTGATGTTACTGATTTCACTGATGTTGTTACAGGTGGTGTTGCAGGCGTAGCTGATGATGTTGCAGGTGTAACTGATGTTGTTGGTGGAGTAACTGATGTTGTGGCAGGTGTAACTGGTGTTACTGATTTCACTGATGTTGTTACAGGCGTAGCTGATGATGTTGCAGGTGTAACTGATGTTGTTGGAGGAGTAACTGATGTTGTTGCGGGAGTAACTGATGTTACTGATTTCACTGATGTTGTTACAGGCGTAGCTGATGATGTTGCAGGTGTAACTGATGTTGTCGGAGGAGTAACTGATGTTGTTGCGGGAGTAACTGATGTTGTTGCGGGTGTATCTGATGTTGTAGGTGCAACTGATGTTGTTGCAGGTGTAACTGATGATTTTGAAGGTGAAACTGATGTTGTTCGAGCTTTAGCTGATGTTGTTGTAGGTTTTGTTGGTGGTGTAACTGATGTTGTTGCACGTGTAACTGATGTTTTTGCTGGCTTTGCTGATGTTGTTGTTGGGTTCACTGATGTTGTTGTGGGTGTAACTGATGTTGTTGGTTGTTCCTCTGATATTGTTGGAGGTGAAACTGATGTTGTTGCAGGCGTAACTGATGTTGTTGCTTGCTTTGCTGGTGTTGTTGCTGATTTCATTGATGTTGTTGCAGGTGTAACTGATGCTGTTACATGTGTAACTGATGTTGTTGGAGATGTAACTGATGTTGTTGCACGTGTAACTGATGTCGTTGCACGTGTAACTGATGTTTTTGCTGGCTTTGCTGATGTTGTTGTTGGGTTTACTGATGTTATTGTGGGTGTAACTGATGTTGTTAGTTGTTCCTCTGATATTGTTGGAGGTGAAACTGATGTTGTTGCAGGCGTAACTGATGTTGTTGATTGCTTTGCTGGTGTTGTTGCTGATTTCATTGATGTTGTTGCAGGTGTAACTGATGCTGTTACATGTGTAACTGATGTTGTTGGAGTTGTAACTGATGTTGTTGCAGGTGTAACTGATGTTTTTAGTTGTTCCTCTGATATTGTTGGTGGATTTGGTGATGATATTGCACTCAATGATGTTGTTTCTGATCCTACTAATGTTGGTCTTGCTGATGGATTAGTGTGTGTTAATCTAATATTTAGCCTTTTCATTTTCATTTTCACAACTGGTCCCATTCCATTCGATACAGAAAATGTACAAAGAATGAAAAAATAAATTACATATTTATTCATCCTGGTTCTTGCTGAGTGATATCGATGGGATTTCTTGGAATATCTTTAGAGGAATGTCTGAAATTCAAATAAAAGGCATTTTGTGTAATCAACTTATTTTTTAAGTTAAATGAACATAATAGAGCTCTTCCAGTAGAGAAACAGTTCAGTACAGTTCCATTGATCAGCATTGATCAGTTTTGGTTTTCAACAAAACTGAAGCCACGGTGTCAGTGTGGCACATCATCAAATCTGACGGACCATTAGCCTAGTCGATATGAAATAAACTGTATTTTTTCAATGTTAATTCAACATATGACTGAAAGGCTTTCCTTTTAACATAAATTGTTATACGTGTGGTGTAGGATATACTAATTTGTGGTTCATCCTTAATTATTATGATGATCGTACAGCATTTAGAACAAGTTCTAAGTCATCTTATGTTTCTTAAAATGTCGACTTGGGCCCAAATTACAAAAATCTTGCACATGGTAGACTACATTCAAATTAAGAATGGATTTGGGCAAATAGAAAAAAATATTACCTATCAATTTGAAACAATTAATGCACCATAATATTAGAAAACAATAGATTAAAGTATTTTATCAGAGTTTCAGTGAGATAATATCCGAGCTCCGCCCCCTTATAATCAGCAGGTCATGGTTATTTTTAAACCTTATGGCAAACTGATTTATATCAAGAATGGGCTTCGAACAAAGTGCAACAAAATTAGAGAAATATGGACACCTTTTTGCGGAGAAAATGAAATTATTTAGTAAAAGCACCTTTCCATGGTAACAAATGCCTACAGATGGGTTAAGATTGTTTAATAATGTTTCTCAGAAAACAGATTAGTGAAAACTTTGACGCGGTCAATTCGATATCTCACGAATCCATAGGCCGATATATTTAGCATAATACTCAATTTCAAAATTACACGATGAAGGGAAACAACTCATAAACCCTTCATTGAAATATTGTTTACTCCCATCCCGTCGAGATAAACTGAACGAAAGCTAAAAATTCTACCTTCTATATGAACGCTAGGAGATCAGATATCAGGATAATTATGCCAAGTCTTTATTGTTTTGGCACGTTAGCACTAAGCAAAGGGCATTGAGACATAGGTTATTGTCAAATTCTCTACATGACCATCAAAATCAATGAAAAACTCTATATATATAGGCCTATATATTTTCATAACAAGAAATGTCGACACTTGGTGGCAAACTCAATAAATTTATACGAATTAAATTAAAATTAAAACTGTACGCATCGTGTTAAAATGGAATGCGAATGTTAATGGACCGTGGACGGAACGATGGTCAAATACAATAGTGACAATAGGTTAGGATTTTTAGGACGTAACATTCAATTGTCACTCAAAAGCGCAGGCACAGGCCGGCATACAGGCTAGCTACGCCTTCTTCCCCATTTAGTCTGCATAATGCACTTAAAACAGGCTTATGTCATTGTTCAAAATTACAATATATAAAACAATATAAATAGTGTCACACGTCTTCATTTAGGCCTAGGCCATATAGAGTTATAAATCCTAAACAAAACAAAATAGATTTTTAGGCCTACTCAATTTCCCAATTTCATCTAATAAAAAAACGAGTTATGCAAAACATCTTTTCAAAATTTCTATGAGATTAATTAGAATTAAAAATATGTTTTAGATGTGTTTGAAAGGCTTTTGTTTTAGAATTTTGTAAATAATTCAGACTAGGCCTATATAAAATTATAAATCTACACGTGAGTTTAATGACTAAACCAATCGCGTCTATGAATGGCGGGAAATTGTCATTCACGAATGTCAATAAAATACTGAAATCTGATTGGATGATAATTACGCTACATTTATCACGTGGTTAATGGTGACTGGAAGCAGGAAACATGTCATGGCAGTTTCACAGGTACAATTTTCTTATATTTGCGCAGTTTATTACCATATTGTTATATGCTATTATTTGAAAGGATATTTTTGAAAACTCATGTCAAGAGAAGAAAAAGAATCTTATGAACGAGACCCAGCTCTCTCCTTCACTTTACAATCAAGGTGTACACAGATAAGTCATAAGAATGTGAGAAATGTGTTTCGATAGTCATTCTATGTCAGGGGAGATAATCTGTTATTTCGAAATCATATTTGAATATTGCAACAATTGTTTAAAGAATTGGCTCACCGGCTTGTGTTATCCTTTTATAAATTATCTTTTAAAATGTATGTTTCACTCTTCACTTTTCTTTTAATGGCGTTAGTGTTTAAATGAATTACATAAATAACATTTTTTTTTTGTATTTTGTCGAAATATATTTCATTCTCAGTATCATTCATTGACTAGCTTAGGCCTATAGGCATATTTAATTGGTGTGAAAAATTCAAATCAGTATTTGTAGACCTTCTGTTCCATTGCTGTCCCGGTTATGATAAAAGTAGGGGTTATAGTCAACTTGGCAATTAAAAAAAATGGCCCCCAAGTCAAAATGGTCCAAAAAGTCAAAATTAGTCAAAATGGCCCTAAATACAGTTGAGTAACCTAATTTCGTGGAAACCTATTATTCGTGGATTTCCGAAAATGATTAATAATTTACATGAGCGACCTTGCGCGACCTCTGCATTAGTTTGTTTTGATAAACATGGGTTTTCTCTACAATATCAGCTAGTAGAATGAATCCAGTAGTTTCAAGCAAGGTAAAGTGTAATAATGTATACTTCGACAAATACAAAATGGCGGATTTCACTTATTACCAAACGTCACAATTTTTTATCGGCCGAATTTCCTTATAATCCCAAGCGGTAATCGGAATTCCAAGTGTCGTCTGCTAGAATATAATCCAACGAATGAAGTCACGTGATCAACAAGTGGATTTCGTGTCAGCAGAAAATTTCTATGGAACACAAAGTGGACCATATTCTTATGTTGTTTCAGTGACTTTTAGCAATAAATCACGCTACGTATCTTATTTTGTCATTATTTTTTTTTAAAAATCATGGTTCTTTGAAGGAATTGTCACTAGTTATAATGAATTGATATTAAAGATAAATATTAATAGAAGTTAATTATACCATTCGGTATCCATACAACGTGTTTTTCTAGACTTATTTATAGATCAAACATTGTACACGAAAATAGGTGAGGCATTCGGCCGCCGTTGCCGAGTTGGTTGCTCATGAAATATGGGTCAAAGTGAAGGATTCATAAAGAAAATCGAAATAAACCAATTTTAATTATTTTGTAGAATATCTGAGGAAACATCTAAGGCATAAAATTTTTTTTTCGTTTTTTTAACTTTGACGAAATTCGGTGTTGAATCCTTATATCCACGAAAATAGGTTACACCACTGTACAATAAGTGAAATGGCCCGTAAAATCACTCTTTCAATTTAACTGAAATCATTAGTCATCTGCATTAACCTACTTCCCTTCAGTTTCCATGGGATCTTTATCGTGCACAGGCTGTAGCGTGTAGCACATGGGGCCTTAGTTTATTGACTTATCCAAATGACAGGATACTTTTTCCATGTCAACCACTCAGACCTGCGTCGCTGACAAGGGGAATCCGGTTTGAATATCTGAAAGTATTATCTTGCCTTATGCTAGGATTGAACCCTAGCGAGCAAGCATCTAAATCACTGAGCCACTGCTTTTCCCAGATATGTTTTCTGAGATGTGAAAAAATTGTACTTGGGGCCCAAGTCTTGGACAATTTAACCTTGATAAAAACAGGTGTTTCGTGTTCATAAATAATAGTTGCATTGCATTATAATTTGGAAATTTTGTTGTTGTTACATTAAACTTTGAGCTACATAGCATGGCTTGGTATCTTATTTTTTATTCTTCCAGGTTAATATCAGAATGAGATTCCTCAAACAAATGAATGTTACATTATTAATCTGTGTGCTGCTAATAATTCCTACTTTAGTCAATTCCAAACTTATTTTCAATGAATTTAAATTATGGGGTGAAGCATCCTCACAATTTATTGAAATATACAATACAGACAATACCACAGATGTTCCATTTTCATCTAATTATTCAGTGTTTCTGTTAGATGAACCTGTAAATACTACTTCAGAATTAAAAGTGATTCATGTAATTGATGTGTCTGAATATGATGTTGTCAATGCTAGTGGGTATATAGCAATCGACACAACAAACGTCTCACTATTGATAAATGAAAACAATACATATGCTATTGTGTTACATGAATTGATAAATGGCAGTGATTTTGAAATAGGTCAGATAGTTCATGCAGACGAAATAGAAGATTCTGTTGTGTTTACTCAAAATGAACATAAACGGATATCTCTGCTATCTTTAACAATGTCAATTTTGAATGATCATCAAGTATTTGATATAATGGAGGATGAGTCTTTAAATGTTTGTATTGAGGATCCAACAATTAAAGTTCATGTGATGGAATTTAAGGAACCGTCAAGAGGTCAACCAAATCTCTGCGAAGAACCAGGTATAGTTTCCTTTATGTAATGAATGTTTTAGACTTTTCTATGGTCATTCATTAATTTTTCTTCATAGGATTATAACAACTTTGAAATATAAAATATAATCGATTAACCATGATTTGAAGAGAAGGTAGTAGGATAACATTGGTTTTATCTGAATTCTAAGTATTCTTCACAATGGTGTTGACTTATAACCCTTTCCAATGGATTCCAGCACAATTAACTGTCGGTTTCTGTTTACCAGTGTTACATTAATGAAAGCAAAGTCCCAGTTTGTTATCGAAATGTCCATTCTTTTTTTTTTTTTTTTTTTTTCGTTTCGTCCACACCTTCCCGAGCTTAGACTGCAGTAGTTGCAGCAACGTTTCAAATTTCATAGACCTTCTATATAGGTGACGATGTGCATAAATATAAATTGGAACATTTTTGCAAAACCGGAAGTGCCACAGTTCAACATGTGCAAAAAGTCGAAAATCGGCTCTAGAAGGCGCATTTTTGCATCGATTTTCTTCGGGTTTTCATTTTTAAAATCTACCTGTAATTTCTGACGTGATAGCATTTGAAAAATTACGAAATTCGAAAATTCGTCGCTCACTTTTTTCGATCAAATATTTCGATTTTTTTGCAACTTTTTTGCTTTTGCATCGATTGATCTAAAATTTTAAATGCAAAGAGACTTCACTAATGTTAATAATATGATACAGTCAAATTTTGTACGTCGTTTCCGATTTTCAACAGGAAAGCGACTGAACTTCAAATCTACTTCCGGTTGAATAACTTCCGGTATAATTTATGTAGGTCAACAAAATTTGGCTGATCTTTGGCAAATAAAATTTTATGGCCGATTTTAAAATAAAATCCAGACCGGAAGTGACACTTTGGCCGCCATATTGAAAAAACACACTTTTGTAAAACTGAAAATGGGGCCTCAGGGTAAATGTTGATATGCTCAAATTTGATGTGAATGTATTCAGCAATCGATTGCGCAAAAAACATTGGGAGCCGAATTTTGAATTTCGCTTTTGCTTTTTTGCAACTTCCGGTTGAAATATTTTAAAGCTTTAAACGATCACAACATGTGACCTTGACCTTTGATGACCTTGACCTTCATAGGGTCAAAGGTCATTGACCTTGGCTATCGTTTGATACTTTGACCTTTGACCTCCGACATGTACTTCCGGTTTTATAGCTATCCGTAAAAAGCCAAATTCGCAACTTTGGACTGCTCTAGCACGTGACCTAATTAACCTAGAGGGTTAATTTTTTCGGTTTTCTAATGTGCTTCTCGTGCACTTTACATAGATATAGAACAATTGCTTTTTTAAAGCAAAATTGAAATTGGTAATTTTTTCAAATTTGAGTCTAGTTTTACCATATTTGTGTCTTTTTGATCTTCGTGTATGTATATCTTATGACCTATTCTATGTAGAACCTTGATATTTGGAATACAACTAGACACTTTGAATATGAATTCACCTATGACAAAAAAATTCGGGTGGGCATGGCACATCCGGGTTGAATTACAAATTGTTTACATTTTGCGGCTGGGGCATAACTCGCATAGGATGCGTTTGTTCAAAAAGGGACTTTGCACACAATTACCTCATCCTTTTGGCCAGTTTGTGTTAACAGCTCAGTTGTTTCAGCTTTATAGTTCCAAAAAAGGAATGGGTTTCAACATTTGGATATTTTCATATTTCGATTTTGACCTTTATTGACATTTGTTGACCCATATCTTTTGACCTGAATAATGTAGAAGCTTGAAATTTAAAACACAATGTAAGATTTGGAATATCAATTACCCTATGCAAAAAAAATAAGGTGGGCGTGGCACATTCGGGTAATATTACTCATTATTGATATTTTTGGCCAGGAGCATAACTCGCAGAGTATACGTTTGTTCAAAATGGAACTTTGCATACAATTATCTCATGAATTGAGCCACTTTGTCTTAGAAGTTCGATTGTTTCCGCTTCTTAGTTCAAAAAAAGGAACAGGTTTTGGAAATTCAAAATTTTCAATTTTTGACCTTCACCTTTGATGACCTTGACCTTTATTGGGTCAAAGGTCATTGACGTTGTCTGTTAGTTTATGCTTTCATATTTGACCTCTGACGTCTACTTTCGCTTTTATAGCTGTCCAAAAACTCCAAATTCGCAACTTTGGACTGCTCTAGCACGTGACCTAATTAACCTAGAGAGTAAATTTTTTCGGTTTCCTAATGTGCTTCACGTGTACTTTACATAGATATATAACAATCGTTTTTTTATAGCAAAATTGAAATTCGTCATTTTTTCAAATTTGAGTTTTTTTTTTTACAATATTTGGGACTTTTTGAGCTTGGTATATGTATATCTTATGATCTATTTGATGTAGAACCTTGATATTTGGAATATAACTAGACACTTTGAATATGAATTCACCTATGACAAAAAAACTTATGTGGGCGTGGCACATCCGGGTTAAATTACTAATTGTTTACATTTTGGGGCTGGGGCATAACTCGCATAGAATGCGTTTGTTCAAAAAGAGACTTTGCACACAATTACCTCATCCTTTTGGCCAGTGTGTATTAACAGCTCAGTTGTTTCAGCTTTATAGTTTCAAAAAAAGGAACGGGTTTTAACATTTGGATATTTTCATTTTTCGATTTTGACCTTTTTTTGACTTTTGTTGACCTATATCTTTTGACCTCTATTATGTAGGAACTTGACATTTGGAACATAACGTAACATTTTGAATATTGATTAACTTATTCAAAAAAAATTGAGTTGGGGCGTGGCACTTCCGGGTTAAATTACTCATTATTGACATTTTTGGCCAGGGGCATAACTCGCAAAGTATACATTTGTTCAAAATGGAACTTTTTACACAATTACCTCATATTTTAAGCCACTTTGTCTTAGAATTTTGGTTGTTTCCGCTTCATAGTTCAAAAAAAGGAACAGGTTTTGGAAATTCAATATTTTCAATTTTTGACCTTGACCTTTGTTGACCTTGACCTTTGTAGGATCAAACGTCATTGGCATTGGCTATCTATTTATACTTTTATATTTGCTGTCCTAAGTCAACTTCTGGTTTTATAGTCGTTAGCAATTTGAAATTTTAATGGCGTATATCTCTTGATCTTGACCTTTTTAGGCATTCTCCTCTACAAGATCAAAGGTCATTGACCTTGGCTATCTGCTGATACTTTCATTTGTGAGGTCTGACGTCTACTTCCGGTATTAGAATTTTCTAAAAAATAAAAAATTATCAACTTTAGACTTGTTCTTGCGCTTGACCTAATTATCGTCGATGGTTGATTTTTTCGGGGTCTTTAGCAAATTGTTACATTTGCAAAGTCCCACTCTGTGCCACGAGTGGCTCTAGTTATGTATTTAAATTTACTTTACAGTTGTTACAGTTGCTCCAACAACAACAACAACAACAACAACAACAACAACATCAATGCAAACATCATCTTCACCAGTTACTACCAACACTAGTACAACAGTTAATTCTTCTTCTGAATTATCTACTGTACCAGTTACTTCCCCTGAACCAGCAACTTCCTCCCTTACCACCACACATGTACCATTAATACCTACTACAATTCATAACCTGATAGACCCTAGTAATCTTACTATCAATGAATTCAATATTTACATTGGTGATCATTCTCATCCTAGATTTATAGAGATTCATGGTATGTATAATATGTTTTACTTTATTGAAACTCTTGTATTCTCATACATTCATGTTTTGAAATTTATATGGATATTGCTTAAAATCATTTTGCTAATTTGAAAAGGAAAATTTGTAAATATCTTTATCTTGTGTAGACTGTCATGTTGACAATGCAAAACTGTGATGATTATCAGGCCTGCTTATATTAAACCTTAGAATAAAGGTCTTATTAAGCTGCAAAATGATAAGGTTGACGAATAATTCTTTTATTTATTTTTACTTCTCAATTAAGTAGAGTAGCAGTAATTATCCTTTTGTTTCCATTTCAATGCTGTCATTGGATGATCGTTCATTGTCTATCTTAGTCAAAAATATGTTTCACTGACTTTGATTTGAATGTTTATCGGTAATACTTGATTGATTTTAGGTCAACCAAATGCTTATTTTTCAAATACCACATTGGAAATGATAAATGGTGGAGATGGATCTAGTATAAAAAGTTTTAATATAACACACACAGATGATAAGGGGTTGTTTGTAATCAACTTTCCTTCATTGGTAAGTGTTATCCATAAATACAGAGTCCTTCAAATAAAGAGTATGCTTAAAACAGGTCATTGTGGACTCAGTTATATAATTACTTTTTTTTTTATACGCCCACACTATATTTATGAGATCTTGGACAAGTTCAAATTTGACAATTTTTCGATGAACTATTTTTGAGTTATTGTCTTTGACTCGTCAAAATTTGTTTGTGAACACAATAGAGACTACAATTTTCATCCGATTTAAATGAAATTTGGTGTGATCAATTATAATGGTGAGATCTTAGACAAGTTCGAAGTAAACGATCTTTCAATGAACATTTTTGAGTTATTGCCCTTGATTTATGAAAAACGTGTCAAAATTTGTTTGTGAACACAATTGAGAGTACCGTTTTCATCCGATTTAAATTAAATCTGTTATGATCATTTATAATGATGAGATCTTAGTCAATATTGAATTTGACAATTTTTTCGATCAACGAAATTCGAAGACGCATCAAAATTTGTTAGCGATAGAGGTGACAGTTTATGTCAGAATTTTATTAAATAATGTGTTTTTGTTTAAATCAACAATATCTTGCACAAATTTGATATTTGGAATGATTTGACACAGATAGGTGACCGCCCTTGATATACTGAAAATGTATCAGTAAAGTGGACATATCTTGCTTGGCAACCACTTGTTATTTATTGCTTCGATTGAAAATGTTTATTTTATATAGTATTTAAAGGTGTTTGTTTACTAAAATAAGTCACAAAATGTGTCATTGTGAGTGTTCTATCATCACAAC